CCATTGTCTGTGGGAACAGGCAACTTAGACAGAGATTTTTCTTGCTTTGCAGGCAAGCCTCCTGCATTTGGGTGAGATCCACTAAATGCTTGCCCCTCTTTCTCAGCTGGTTTTGTACCTGAAGAAATGCTCTCCTGCTTTGTGATTTCATCCATGGTATTCTTGGTATTATTAGGCTCACTGGATGTTTCTTTTCTAGCTGTGGTGATTGTTGCTGTAAGTGGAGTATTCTGGCACTGCTCCGAATCTCCAGGTCGCTTATGGTCTCTGTCTGTCGCTTTATCTGCAGTAGAGACTGTTGATAGAGAGATTTGGGTGCTCTCTCCAGCTGTGCGCTGAGCTCCAGACAATTGCTCCTGACCAGTCTTTGACTTGAGTCCCAGATATGCTTTCTCAGGAGCCAGTCGTCCCTTTTCCATCTCAACAGGAGGAGCGGCATCCCCTGTAACGTCTGTGCTAGGAGTCCAGTCTTGGCAGTGGCCCATGCCAGTGCTCTCTGCCATGTCTGTCTCCCTGTGTGCAAGGCTTGTTTTCTCAGTATTACACCCGTAATGTAAATCCTGCTCTTTTTTAATCCGGTCTGTCTCACAAACTGAAAGTCCGTGTGAGAGATTCTGTATGTCTCCAACAGCAGCTGACACCAGTTGTCTTTGGACAGCCTCAGTATCGAAATCCAAGGTTGGGTAGTCCTCAGTCTCCTTGGTGTTGCAGTTTTGCCAAGCCACTGTGGTGCTCTGCTCTTTACTTGCGGCCTCTGTGTCTGCTTTCTGCTGCTCTGACTCAGTGGCAGGGCCGACCAGTGGTGGTGGTAGGAGGGCAGCTGCGACCGGCTGCAGGGCATGCTGGGGTGGCCCGGCCACATTCTGCGTAGCCGCAGGGATGCCACCCAGCACAGCCACAGCCGGAGGGGTGCGCTGCTGCACCACCTCCTCCCCAAGTCTCCCTTCTTCTGGACTGCCTCTGCTACACACTGCACCTGAAAGAAAGGAGAGAGATAAACTAACCTTCCCAAGGTGTCTGTGTTATCATACACCAAATGGACAGTTCAGCAAAATTTCTTTAAAAACAAGAACTATAATAGCAATAATAATAATAATAATAATAACAACAACATTGCACAAAATAATTTGACAGAAATTTTATAGTCAGTCCTAACAATGTCAAAGTCTAATAGTTTAGATACCAACTAATAACCTGTATGTGGTGTAGGACCAGCCTCTTCCGTACTTTCCACTTCCAGGATGCTGAGATCAAGAATACCACTGCATCTAAGCCACAAAAGATTACAAGAAGTGAAACTGAATAATCTGAAGGGGACACGTTATACTATACTAAAACAAAGAGTCAGGTAACAAGTGATAAACGCAAGAAAAAAAAGAAAAAAAAAAAATCACACAAACTCAAAGGTTAGTTATGTTGAAGCATGATTTGTGTTGCCAACTTCCTCAAAACTTTCCTACATGTATTTTCGATGATGTGTCAGAGGCTCAACAGGGCACGGTATGATAATTTCGCACACTACATAAGGACATGCTGTAAAAGATTATTTTGGTGATATAGCGGCAGAAAGGTGCACAAAAAGTGCACCATATTAGCGGTTCTCATGTTAACTATGTGTAATACACAGTACATGAGCAATGTGTATTATACATAAAGCAATTAGCTAACTCTGAGACAAAACTAAATAACCTGTACGCAAACCGTTTAAAGAATTTCTCATTATGTAGCCGGCAGGCTAAGTCACAGGCTCACCTCAGCGCTCACTGAAGCTAGTTAACTGTTTGGCCTAATTACCCACCTAATTAGCGATTTGGCTAAGAGGAGAGGTTAGTTTATCACAAACAAAAATTTCGGATTGTTCTCGTATTAAAACAGACATATCGGGCAGGGGATTCATCGCTCATTTCCTATAACGTTGACTATCGGCTGTAACTTCAGTGAGCGGCGGCGGCAGTCTCTCTCTCTCTTTTGAGGCGGGCTGCAGTGGACTCGGGCCTTAACACAGTCACTCAGCACAGAGAGACGGACAGCCCGGGATCATTTTTGGGCTCACAACAAGACCATCAGCCAGCATTTAGCCGTAAGAAGTTAAGGCCTTTTGTACTGAAGTGTTTAGTGCTTCGTGAAGAGAAAACTTAAAGCTAGCTAGTTAGCTAAGCTAATGCGGTGTCCAGCTAGCGTGCTCACTCGCGGTTTCAAGCTTACAAGTTAATCATGTAAAACAACGACCTGGACAGACCCGTGCGGTTCACACAGGTGTGGAGTTTTCTAAGCACAGTAACTGAACAAAACATAAAAGTAAGAAAGTCTTCATTCTCTCAGATCCCGCTAAGTTAGCTAGGTTACCTAGCTAATGTTAGCTCGGGGGGGGGAGGAGAGGACAACCAAGTGACGTCACTACGCGGGGTCATATGTGTATGACCAAAAGATGACAGTCAACAAATCCTGCAGTAGGTTTTATTTTTTTTTCTTTTTCGTTCAACTGGTAAACTCGAAACAACGTTATATCAGAATATTTAAGGATATAAGACACTGGAATAGTATTTGCAGTTATGAGACCAAATGCGTTCATTATGGCAGGATTATCAGCGTCTGCAAGTTACTTATGAATATAAATCACTTATTAACAAATAAAATGTTGAATGAGGACACTGTTAAATTACACATGACATCGCAGTTTTACAACATGAAAAACAGGTAGCTGGCTGGTTAAGGTTAACCGACTACCTAGGTAGCATTTCAAGTTTACAGAATTTAAACTACAATCTGATCGAAGTGACTGACGGTAAACGTTTTTGGTGAAGTGAGACAGCACTGGTCTTCTTAGAGAGCGCCTAAGCTGATAAATATGCCTGCGCTGCCCTTTACCTCGCCACATAAAGCCATCCTAATCAAACGGCCTTCCAGATCAGTATGTTTCTCTGTAAGGCTGTATGTTTATCAACTGAATCCATGAGAGAGTCAACTTATCCCGCCATGTCAAAGTCCCCCCGCCGCCTCTAAACACCCCCCTCCCCTCATACTTCCCCCTGTCTCCCCCCTCCTCTCACCGCCGCCATCTTAAGTTCCCACCTACCTGAAAATTTCGAGCACTTTTCTTTTACTAAATTCTCGCTGAAGGAGTCGCCATCCGCCTCAAATCGCACTCAATCCGTGACGGGGCTGTTCCAAACTATCTCTCGGTACCCAACGAGGTACTGGCAGGTTCGTGAGATCAAGTTAAAGAGCGGTCCAAGAGAGACTGGGTTCGGATCGCTGAATGGAGCGGTTGCGGGGAGGAGACTTTCGACGCAGCGAAATGGAGGAACGAGAGACTCAACGAGATCCGAGCGCGACCGAAATCTCGCGAGACTTGAATCGACGCGCTGTAGTGCCGCATATGAGAAACAGATTCGTGCTGTTTTTCGCAGTTGTGCTCCGGTGCTGTGTAGTTCTGACATTAACAGTGTTAATGTCGTGGGCGCAGCGTTATCAATGGCCTTTCCCCTCTTTTAAATTTTAAGATTTTGCTTTATTACAGGGCCTGAAGGCTGGGTAAACCTGCGAGAGCAGGCTAAGTAACGTTAACTTGTGAGGAAGCCAGATTATAACACAATCTGAAAGATCGCTTAAGTAGATTTTATAATTACTTAGAGATTTTATCATTTCCATCCTCTTTTGTGTTTTATCATGTCAATTAGTTGAGAAGTTTATGTAATTTTCACGTGTCATTGTCGACTGTCATTTTTTATTTTGTCTTTATTTTAACCTTTAATTTAACCAGGCAAGTCACTAGGAACACATTCTTGCTTGCAGAGGCGACCTAAAGAAACTCTTGACACGGACAGTTGGGAGATGTGTGTAAATAAGATGTAAAGTCTCTGAACTACATGTGAAAACTGAATGTTATAAATCTTTAACATTGCTTTAGTTGCAGTAATGAAGGCTACAACAGAAGACCAGCGATTTGGCTGACCTGATTTAGCTTTAAAAAGTGACGGGCCTTGTTATGTAGCCCAGTGGTCACCAGTCCAGGTCTCACCCATCATGTTCTTCAGAAGGCACTGTTTAGCTGAATCAGACACTGGGTAGATCTGGACTGAGCTATAGTGAACATTTTCAATGTCCAGTCTTCACTCTCAGACTAAGCTCAACCCGTATCCAAAAACAAGCCCGGGGAGGCTTTGAGGACAGGGGCGTAGCTAGAATTTTTAGAACGAGGGGTCCAGGTAAGACCCAGAGATTATATAGGGGTGGCGCACTGCTAAGAAAATATAGAAATGAATAAAGTAGCGCTGACGTATTGAAAGGACGCATGCATTGATGCATTCCTTTTCCCTGAACATAACTAGATCTGTCCATTTCCATCCATAGGGAAATAGTGTGTTTGAATCAAGTAAATTCAATGCATCACTTTTTCAGGGAAAGAAAAAAACATTTCATATAAAGAGGCCATAAAAGTTCTTAAGGTTGCATTCATGACAGATTTATACATGAATCCAATGATTAGGAAACTAGTCAGACAGCTCTGTATAAGGTAACATAAATGTATAAAGAAATTAGCATGATAAATTATAACTAATTTTTGAGTTACTCATCTGCCCATCAGATATCCTACTTTATAAGGTGGCTCACACTCAGCACTGCTGAAGGGACCCAGTACACAGTCACTCGCCTGTTTACTGAGCAAACCGGCCTGTCACAGCAAGATATGCTAATTGTTAAATGCAGTGTCATCAGAGTCTCATAACTGATTGGTAACTACCCAGCATAACTGATGCTTTATTAATGATGGCTGACTGTCTCACATTCCTTAACTGGTGACCAGAGAGGTGGCCATGCTTCAATCCTGGCCACCCTTTGGTTATGTGTCTGTTTAGGGATAATAAACCCTGCTAGATCCATTTTCAAGCATTTTAATTAATACAACTATAAACAGGTTTCATATGTACAATATAAATCTAAGGGAATCACTTATTTTAACAAAATAGGTATACAATGAAGCAATACACCAACACACATGTAAATAACCAACGATTTGTTTAATAATTAATCTTTGTTGCTTTCTTTTCAAGGGGAACATATTTAAAAGGTATAAAATTGTTTTTGCTCAAATAATTAAACCAGAATGTCCTGTTCTCATATCGAGTCCCTTCAATCCTGCTGTTTGTTTGCACGTACAAAGCACTCCATTTGTCCAGTGCCCCACACCTGCCTGACGTGTGTCTTTTGTGGAAGATGTTGTCCACATGGGAACTTTCATAGCTCAACTCGATCTTTTACCATTCATAAATATATTCAGCAACCAGCAACATAGGGGACAGGCTTGGTAATGGTTACAATCCCAGTTCAGTGGCATTTTGTATCCCCACTTTCTTGTAGCAGTTGTACTGTGCCATTTCCTGGATCAAAATAGAAAGTTGTTCTAACAAGGGAGTGCAACTGGTGAGACCTGAAACAATGACATTATGACAAACAGTGAATATGTTTATTATATAAGGTAATTAATGTTAACAATAATTACAAAAGCAATATCACTATTCTACTGTATTCTGTCCCAGCTCATGTATCAGAGTGTAGGAGAATGAGATTTTTTTCCTTTTAAATTTTAAAATATTATCAAACAAGATGTACAGTTAATAATAGTTTTTAAAGATTAAAATAAAATAAATCTGCAGACGTTCTTTGTAACGTTCATGGAAGTTGTGCCTCTGATTGCTGTGGACTAATTAAGAACAGGAAGCTGAAGATGTGTTTCTTTAAGTTCATTTTACAACAGTGCTTTTTTTCTTCTCTCTAGTTACAGACAGAGCACACACTAGACAATCTGAGAAGCACTACTTCAGCCATTGTTCAACTTTTTTCACTTCTTCATATGCAGATCTCAATCTCTACAGCAGGCTTTTTACAGCCACGAGTTCATCGAGGGAAACAGATATGTCAACCGATGCGTTAAAATGCAAACATTATCTCTGAATACAATTCTGGATCCATCGGCCTGGAGAACAGCCCTGCAAGGCTTGTATGTATATCTCTTCATATGACAGGACAAAGCCTTTAGTCTCTGAACATCCACAGGCCTCTTTGAGAAACAAAATCCTAAATATAAATCAAAAGCACAGGAGGGGAGTGGGGAGAAAGAGTACCTTAAATTGCACCAATATAACCACAGTGGATAAATATACTGAGCAGCCCTGTGAAGTCTCTCTGCCCTCCACTCGGGTCATCAGAACACTCATGTACGATCATTTTAGCTTCAGCAGGTTGGGCTCCTGCATGTCCTTCCATTAGTAGGAAGAGCAGTTCAAGAGCAGTAAATTCCTTAACTGCATCAGTCTCACCTAGTACTATCTGGACTCGCCGTCCTTGTGTGTGCTGAACAGGGCCAAATCTCCGGCCCCACCAAGTCTGGAACTACGAGGCGGAGTGGAGGGCCTAGTCGCAGACGGAATGAGCGGAGGGGGTGCACCAACTGATAAGGGCCCTACTAGACTGGGCGTCTTAGCGAGAATTCCATTTGGAATATGTGGATGCAAGGGGGCCAAGCGAGAATAGATTGGGTGATGCGGTGAAGGTGCGGAAGCTCCAGCAGGATGGAGCTGAGGGTGAGACAGTAAACCTGCATGCAGCTGCTCTAGGTGGGCTGCAGATGGGCTGGGCAAATGAGGCGGAGCAAGGTGTGGATGCATCCCAAAGTAGCGCACCCTCTCAAAGTCCTCTCGCAGGATCTGGGCACGCTGCTCCTCATCCAGCAACCCACCACCAGGAGCACCAACCTGAGGTGGGCGGTCAAAAGGATGAGACATCAGTCCAAATTCTGGTCGGGCCGCTGAGGATGAAGCAGAAGAAGTGGAGGTAGGTGCTGGTGGATGATGTGGGCCAGCTGCCACTGCTGCCGCTACTGCTGCTGCTCTCTCTGCCTCTAGGAATCGTGCGTGCGGATGCTGAAACAGGCGGGAGAAGTGTGGGTCAGAGCGCAGTGCGAGATGGGGATCCGGCTGCAGAGCCAAGACGCTCTCTCTACGCTGCTGCTGTTGGGCGGCAAGATCCCTCCAAGTATCCCAGGGGAAGCTGTGAGGAGGCTGAGAGTGGCCTTGGGGTGGTGTATGTGGATGGACTGAAAATCGATCCCCAGGAGCTCCTACAACCAGTCCGGCCGAGCTGCCAACTCCACCTATTAAAGCCTCGATACGAGTGCGATCCAAGAGAGAGAGATGATGGTGGGCAGGGTGGTGGGTAGGGTGGTGGGTAGGGTGGTGTGTAGGGTGGTGGGTAGGGTGCGGGGTAGGGGGGGGAAGAGGCACTCCAGCTGTGGGAGTCAATGAGAGGGTTGAAGAAGGGGTTGAAGGGTGGTGAGTATGGCGACTGTTGGGCCGCTCAAAGCTATTAGATATGGGTGGGTGTTGTAGAGAGATGGGCACTTGTTCAGGCTCTTCTTTTCTCTCCTCTTTCACCTTCACTGGGGGATGAGGCAGCCCAGGAGGGAGACCAGTGGGCGGCTTAGAAACTGGAGTGGTTGTCCGATCTGGCTTCTTGACTGGAAGAGAACTAACAGAGGAGGAGGAAGAGGCTGGACCGCTGCTCTCCCTTTGGGATGGATGGGAGGGCTCGGAGTTCAGAGCATGTGCTTGTCTGGGAAATAGGTCCAGAGGGGAGGGTGCTGAGGGGGCATTTGGAGGAGGGGTCGCAAGAACAGACGATGTGGACGAACGAGGTCTGTCTGGTGCTGAGGAAGTCGATGCTTGTGCCCTGGAGGCTGAAACTGAATGGTGTCTCTTGTCTGGCTCTCTTTCCCTTTCACGTTCCCTTTCACGATCCCGCTCCCGTTCCCGTTCTCTGCTTTGTCCATCTGACTGTCCAGCACCTCCACTCAGGGGGCCCAGGCCATTCATGTGGGAACTGGGGGTGCTGCTGCGGTGCTTGAGGGATGGGGCACTGGGAGACATTCGCACAGGTGGACGACCATACATTAGGTTGTCTCTGTCAGAGATGAAGTGAAAAGCAGTTAGTAGGTATGAAAGCATGTGTATATAATACAGATATGCATAAACTTACATCTTGATACAATTTACATGCTTAAAACACAAGAAGGGATTCTTTGCAGTTGTGGCATACCTGTCCTTTTCATCTTTTATGTGAGTCAGCTCTCTTCTCTCCATGTCTTTCCCTCTATCTCTCTCATCCCTTTTCTCTAGTCCTTTGGCCCAAGAGGGCCCTGAGGGGAAAGACGGAGGGGCAACATGCAGGCGATTCCATGGTTCATGCGGGTTACCCAATCCTCCTACTGCACTTGCAGAAGATTCTGCCTTATGGCCAAAAACAGAACTAGCAGCTAAAACAGACAGAATAGATAAAATAGGTCAATACATATGATCAACAGAAACTGAAAGTAACAAAGCAAGTTGTGTTTCCATAATCAAATTAACATTTTGACTCACTCAGTGAGGGGCTACCAAGTCCTCCGAAGGCACCAGAGCCCAGGGCTCCCAGGGGTGGGAAGGGTGGGGAGCGGCCATATGGATCTGTGACACACAGACAGAATATCAGCACTGTGAGACTGACGCCAATCACACAGCTCCTGTGCACAAACTGTGCATTAATAAAAATTAAATCATGAGGGGCCCATTTAGATTATGTTTGCTTCAATACGTGTTCTTGCACCCCCTTTTATGTCTGATGCCACTCATCAACTTTAAGAACATGACCACTCTTCCAGTATTATTATATTTTGAAAGCCAGGCTAGGCTACAGCTCAGTGGTCCAATCTCTTACCCAGGTGTGTTGCTGGGGTGAGGAAAGAAGAGTGGGGCGTTGATGGAGAGATGAATGGAGTGGAGGATGGATTGACTCCACCTAAGAAGACACAGGGGTCAACTCAAATACTGATTTAACACCCTTTCATGGAGTACTATAGGCTCCATTTCCGCTTTATGTTCTCTCCCAACCTTTTAGTGTCACATGGGTTACCTCAGCCATTTCAATAACTCTTAGCTTTTATTTGGTTAATTGCTTTTTGTCATAACTGATAACACATTAAGGGATTTACGTAAACATCTCTTCATGTACACATATAAGATACATGCCCGCATGTGAGTAAACAGGTCATTTCTGCAGCAGTACAACTGTATAAGAGAAAAAAACATGTACCAGAAGCTGCAAAGAGGCTGCCTGGTCTGGCAAGTTCATGAGTTGGAGGCAGAGAACCCCCAAGTGGCCCAAGACCCCCTATTCCTCCTATGCCACCAGGCCCAGGGAGACGTGGCAACAGGTCATTACGGAAGTCCAGCTTTTGAGGATCTGCCTGCATCAACTGCAAGAGAGTAAAGCATAGAAAAAAGTAAAAAATTCTGATCAATATAAACCATCACGCAAGAAATATCACTGCAACAGTACAGAATATATGAGAACTATCAGAACAACCAGATGCTTCAGTAATCTAATCCACTAATGAACATATTTCAAAGATCAACCTGGAAAATAAATTGACAAACCTTAACTTTCTCCTGATGCCTCAAAATCATCCAGGCCACGCGCACATGCATAGCACACCACTTGCCAGGCTTCTGTAGTGGTGAAGGAAAATCAAACAGGGTGAACACTAGTAAACCAAAAAGAAGTTAAGTGAAAAAAAGCACGAAGGGCAAAGAGATTACACTTACATTACTGACTTTTAATGATGGTGCAAATGGATCGGAGATCTGTAGGCACAGATAAGAGAAAAATGATAATTATCCACTATCCAACTATGAATGATGCATTTGCCCACAACAAATGAGGCAAAGAGATACTGCAGTAATTGAATTAGTAACAACCCTACAAAACACATTAGACTAGTGGATTTTAAGAGGTCCCCCTGTACTGCATAGCTGTGTTCTCCATGTAACATGCTTGATTCTGCTCCAGAATAGATGGGCCTCCAGGACCAAAGTATAGAAACAATGTAGACCAAATGTTATTATTGAGATCTCCTACCCTTGGGTCTTTAGGTTGCAGGTGGGGAGGTACTACTCCTAGACGAGCAGTCATCTCTGGGGCAGGTCCCTGGAGGGCAAGAAGCTGTCAATCACAGGACACTGTTTTAACCCATTACAGGTACAGGCACACTAACAGCATGCATTAGCTTTAATATTCAAAGACCTAACAAAATAATAATATAACATAGAAGTGAATTAATATGCCATTCAAAACCACTTTGAATTACATAAGAGTCTGTATAAAATAAAATTGTTACCGTTAAAATATTATTGAAGTTATTTTTGTTTTAGTCCTATTACTACCACTGTTGTGTTTTTCCAATATTACTGCTACTTTTAACTAATGACTACTTAAAACATTCTAACTGTCATTTCATATTGGTAAAAAACACAATGGCAAGTTAATATGTGAATCTGAATCAAAACATAAAAAAAAAATAAATAAAAAATAAAAAAATAAAAACACATTTGTACTATTCCTCACCTTGGGCTGAAAAGCTCCTTGTAGGGAACTAAGTGGTCCAGTTGGGGGGAGTACAGGCTGAATTCCAGGCACAGGTGGTGGGTACTGAGAGAAAAACTTATAGTGAAACAAAAGAGCAATGTCATTTCACTGGCATATCCATATTTCCACAAATAGTCCAAAATAATGATTCACTGTTTAATGTTTAGCAATCATATGATGTAACATTTGGCCTTTGGCCACTGTCAGTGGTTTTGTGCATAGCCATTTAAGGCATCAGCTTCTAAAGCACAACTTACTGGGTGTCGAAAAAGACCGTCTATCTTGCCCGGATATTTCTCAAACTGAAAGAGAAGCAGAGACATCCAACATTTTTATAGTATCAAGATGACCAAAGAAAAACTAAATATTGAGCAAAATTTCTTCTAAAATCATTCACATACGAGCATTTGTGGCCTTCTCACCATAGGGGGTGCTGCAGCAGGTGGATGTAGAAAGTGTTGGTGGGTGTGGGTGTGTTGGTGCTGATGGTTGTGGTGATGGAACTGGTACATAGCAGGGATGGAGGCCTGCGCCTGTGAAGTCCTACTGGAGGTGCTGGAGCTGGAGGTGGAGGCAGAGGGTCTCCCTGACCCTGAGCTTGAATTGACTCCTGTACTGCTCCCTGAAGCTCTATTCTCACGGTCTGCACTCTGGGCGGGCAGGAAGTGCGTGTTCAGGTCTTGCCGGTACAAGTCTTGATCTATATACAGCGGAGAAAAGCCACAGAACTGATTTACCTGGAAATCCAGAAAAGACTGGAAGAACACTGGCAACAACTATTCACATGGTTAACATTATAGAGGGGCATATGGCATTGCTATTTGAGATCCAACTAAACTGGACTCAATTTAGTATTCATTAACTTGATCAGACATTCCAATAAAGTATGTGTAAATACTATTAAATACAGTGTTACTGTCCTAATTATAAAATTTTCTAAATATATTTTACTGACAGAGCAATATAGGACCACAGAGAATTTTGGGACACGCAGCTGATACTGTATCGAAATGAAACAGAGGGACATCTGAGTAGAGCTGTATATTAACATATTTCAAATAAAAAGATGATAAATTCATACAGTAAGTTGTGCAAGTTATCATACCATAGGCCCACTGGCAGTATATGAAATCACATGTTATAAGTACAATGATTAATCACTAAATAGGTTGAACAATCGGGGTTCTTGCACAATCTTTAAAAACAAATTCTTAAAAAACCTATCAAATTCAAAAAAGCTTTTTAAAAATATTTTTGTAAATACTAATTACGTTTCCAAAGCACTTCAGCATTCACAAACTTAAAAATGGTATATAATAATGCCTAATTGTTGAAAATCAAACACGGATACACGCTTTGAGATTGCAAGACTGCATGATCCTTCTACGGTAATTTTAAAGTGTCTAATTCCGCCATCTAGTCCTTCTTTAGTGGTCAGGTTCAGACCATAGCACCCCGTCATTTGGTTACTTCTGGTTCACAGACTGTCCCGAATTAGTTTATTCTACACAATAACTGTTTTCAAAACTGTCTTTAGACAACTACACAACATATGTGCCATAAGGAAACGTTAAACCTGCCATGTTTTTGTTTTTACTCACAATAAAAAAAATTTTCTCAGTAGAATATTTAAATACTATTCATTCAAAAGAATGTCCATCCATAGATAACAGTACAAGAAATTTGTACTATAAAGTGTGTCATAAAATTGTGGTTAAGCGCACCTGTCGCAGAGCGAGGGGACTGCAGGAGAGGAGGAGGTGGAGGAAGGCCAGGAGAAGGGGTGAAGAGAGCGCCAGGACTGGGCCGAGAAGAGGGGCGGAGCACTCCTGTCCCAGAAGGGCCTCGGCCAGCAGGCACACTTGTGGAGGGTGTGGGAGGTCGGATTGATGACGAAGAGGCGGATGAAGACGGAGGCTTAACTGAGGTACCACTCCTGATAAAAACCAAACAAAGGTTTTGTAAAAATGACTGCCCTAGTGCTGGGAGACATTAATAAAATTCAGTATAGCATTTTTTTTCAGAATATATCAAGGCATCAAACTATATGCAAATTTTAATTAATAAAGTTAATGAATTCATATTTCCTGGTAGTCTATACGAACAGAAAGTCAGATTTGACATCGCTTGTTTTGATTGGTCCATTTTGTTTCATTTTGTCCTCTTAAAATCACATCAAAGGAACTTTATTCAGTATTGTAAACGTTAATCAAACAGAAAGCACATTCATAGAAAAAAACTTTACTACTTCGAATGGGTTTTAAATTGTTCTTCCAAAACAATCTGAAGCACCCACTACATTACAAATTACAGGTAACCATCAGGTCCCAGACACCATAAGTAACATGCACAGAATATAGTTAAAAACAGAAAACCAACTGCTCTGCAAAAGGGACGTCACTGTTTTATGAACATTATATAATGGAATGTTGTTGCTCATTATCTGTCAAATATGTTGGTAAAAATATTTCTAAAACTGAAAAGCAATATAGCAGTATACCAGTATAGATGCGTTGCCTAGCACTAGTTTGACCTATCCAAAACATAACGTACTGATATCGACATTGGACACATGCTGGCACTGACATTGAATTCTACTGACCTGTTCCCATTACTGAAGACTGTTTGTGTCCGACTAGGAAAGGGGAGAAAGGGCTTTTGTCGTGGGGGACTGCGTTGGTGTGGTCCAGCATTTCCATTGTGCTGTTCAGACGGCGGGGTCACAACAGAGGCAGGGGAGCGGGGCAAAAGGCCGGGAAGAGAGGACGAGGTAGAGTTGGCTTCAGGATAAGGCAGCTCCAGACTCCTCTCCTGACTTCGCTCCAAGCCAGACACTCGGGGCGTCACCGACAGACGGGGCGGCCCACTGTTTGAAGGCAACAGGGTGCAGCCGTTGCTCACAGAAGAAGCCATGCTCACTGGGTTGGATACCACTGATAGGAAGATAAAAAGCGATTACTTTAACCTAAGCTCCAATGTATCGTTTGCTTTTATGATCAAGAAACATGGCTTACAAAACAACACAGTCAATGAAAAAAAATTACGACATGAAACATGAGACCAAAACTTGGGATGCATCATTGCATGAGTGTTAAACTAGAGTAAACAACTGATTTTAATTGATTTTAATACTGTAGCAAGACAAATATCATATCATTCGTAGTCAAAAGTAGCAAACACAAACCCACAAAATGATTTTTATGCAATCATGAAAAAAAAAAAATACAGAGCAACCACTGTAAAGCATTTTACAAAGCTTCATTAACATCTGGGGTTAGGTACTACTATTAACCATTAACTCACAAACAACTGTTCACTGAACATGACTGGTGTAAATACATCAATTTCATGCGATTTCTTTTGCAGTAAAGAACACTGCATATTTGAATAGGAGGGTATCCTTCAAATTAAGGAATATTTTTTAATTGTACACATGAGGGTGCAATAAAGCAAAATAATAAATAATAAAAAAAATAATAATAATAAAATATGCACATAAAAACGGTAGCATTTGGAACCGCTTTTTGAGAAGACAACAGCACCACTACAACAGTGTACCATGTCAAAAGCAAACATCCACAAGCAATAAGAGAAAGAACTATTTTGTTCGTGTTCTGAGATAAAATGTGTTGCACGCCGAAGTGTATGAATGTACAAAATTATAAAGAAGGACATGGTGGACAGTGGAGGCTTTGGAGAGCTACTGAGATACACTGAGCCAAAGCTAGATGTAATCATGATATTTATGTTCACTTCAACTTAGGACAGGAACAAGTGGAAAATATAACTTTAGAACATTTTTTTTCAACAGCCTATGCTTGTATATTACTGTTGTTTTGTCAACTTTTTAGTTTTTGGTCATATAATTATTGTCAGGCCCTTGGTTTAAACAAAACTTCTTACATAGAGTATGTTTACTTTATGTAGAGGCTGATGCCTGGCTTCAGCTGTCAGTCCTGCATTCCACAATCCAGGACAAAGAACACTTCATAATATCTCTGTACATTAATACAGAATGATTTCATTTAATTTTACAGCTCCTTCAAATGTGGCTCAGCCAATCATATTTCAGATCCAGAACTATTCTTTAATTTTTTATTTTTTTATTCATATTTTGATACGCTCCATCAGTTTTTTCTGGTTATTACAATTGGTTAAGAGTCAAAACAATTTACTAAAATTTGCATTCCTAGCAGGGACAATCTGGCATTCACCTGTGTACCAGAAAAAAGGTATTCAACCAGTGGTCCGTATTAGCAACATGTAAACCTTTAACCAAATGTTATTTTAAATATGGCTAATTATTGACAACAATAGAAAATCATATTTAGATTGACCTCGTTTATTAGTCCGGCAGAAGTACTAGCTATGCTTACGTTTTCAGTGCAAGCCGATGTAAAATGTTTCTCTTTTCAATTGTTCATATAGAATTCACCTATCATGGATAAATGTTAATGAACACTGTCTTTCAAAAGGAAAGATCAAACTCAAACAGATGGGCAGAATGTCTTCAAGCGACAAGATCTTTGCTCCTCAAAAACAAATGACATCGAGTGGACTTTCCGTTTTGGAAAAACAAAAGGAGCAGAGAAGGTTTCAGTACCTCATTCAGGAAGTGGAACTTTTTGAAAGCTTTCAGAAATAGCTTGGATGTTTGTAAGGTCGTGAGAAAGCAGAGAACAAACAATCCTGTTACCGTGAAAGATCAAAAATTCCGAACAGAGCGAATAAGTAATGTTGCATTTTCACCATTAGAAATATCACTTTTGGTGTGTAAGATATCAGTTATACACAATTGATTTACTTTACTGGCATCCGAAAAATGTCTGAGAACAGTAAACAAGTAACTACAGCTCTGAGACGAATGGTCTTTTTTGAAAAAAGCTTTCAAAGCTAACAAATTACACCGTCATGTGCAGGAGAAACAAATATACATATAAATCTATTGAACCAGACCGCCTTCTTCAGCATGTTATCTAGCACTAGGTAGCTGCCAAACAACACCTGCTGAGTTAGAAAACGTTTTTGTATTACGTTGTTCTGTATTTGTTCACACTTAATGATGTGGTCAGTAATTTCTTGTGGGCCACGGAAACAGACACACACACACACACATACACACACACACACACACACACACACTCTCAGCATGGAGTACTTTAAAACATTTTTAGATGCAAACTTACATCATGCATCCCACAATAAAGCATTTACTACATTTAGTAAAAGGATAATGCAAAATATCTACCTTCTCTAGTGCTAACGATGAACGTAGGCTCCATATCATTGTCAGAGGCCTAGGTTAAAGGAATGAAAAACAACCATCATTGACATTCATTTACCAAAACACTACCACCACTATCAAATTACCAATACAAGAAAATAACCCACCTTATCTCCTGACTCACTCTCCGTGTCACACTGACACAAAAACAAAGACACATCAATGACAACATTCACTGGTAAACAAGACACTCAAGACCAAATACATGTAATGTGAACATACTGTGTATACACACTTGTAGAACTATAGCTATAAAGAGGCATTAAAAAACGGACAAATAACACTTACAATGTATCCTGTCTCCATGAGATTTCCCGAGACCTGTAACACAAATCACAACTGATTTCCTGCAGACACACTAAGCAAACAGAAGGAATCTTCTCATATATGGGCTCAAATTTGATATTATTACTTTAAATTACTCAAAAGGTACTAGTTCTTGTAATTGCCAGATGAATAGCTTACAAAAGTAAACAACTTCATACATAAGGCATACATTATTGTAAAAATTATGGTGACATTTTTATACTTTTCAAATGAGTAATACTCTACTGAATGAGTAAAACCCGAAACCCTGCAGGTGTTTAAAAAAAAAAATTACAGTAAACGCAAAATCTGAACTGAAACCGAAACGTTGACATTGGGCAGAAAAACATAACTTTTTCTGTGTCTCCTACCTTAGCCTCTCTCTTCCTTTTCTCATTCCTGCGTTTCTCCCAGCTGCTGGTGGTGTACGTAGCTGGAGCTCCTTCCTCAGGCTCTGAGAGAGGCCCGCCATTCTCATCCACACCTCTCTTCCTTTTGTTCACTCTCCCCATCAGCGCTCCAGGTCGCTCTGGTGGCTTCAGAGAACAGTCCATCTATTAAAAACGTGCAGTGATATACATGAGTACTACTATTATTCAAAATTTGCTTGCTCCATATATTGCAGAAATCTAAGCTGCATGCCTTTCAGTCCAATACTTTAAAAAAGTCTTTTTTTTGTATAAAGATTGCAATTTAAAAAAAAATTAAATAAATACTACAGTGAGGCTAATACAATCTTTGTGTCATGAAACATGCACTACCTCTCTATCATAACTATCTTGTGCATTTTGATATGGACGAATAATGACACACACCTCCAGGGCCTCCAAGCTTATGAAGCTGGCTATAGCAAATCCATCGATGATGTCTTCCTCGCAGGACACCGATTCTCGCTTCCTCCGACGCGGAGGCCGGTGTCTGGCACCAGGAAAGACAGGCCGACATTCTCCACCACTAGCACCGAGGAGGGAGTCTCCTCTGCAAAGCTCCTGATCCGAGGCCGAGGAAGGTGACGAGGGCCCGAGGTCTGCTCTCCTTCGCCGCCGCTCTCTGTCACGCTGAGAACGGGAGCGACGGCTCTGTCTTAACCCTCCGCTTCGACTCGGACCGTCCATGTCAAAAAGTACTGCAAGTCCACACACGCAAGGCACTGACACCTCGGCCCGTGGGGGAACCTTACTTTAGCCGAACACACCCAAAAACCTCCTTAACCGATGTAGGTATCCCAGTTTAAAGCAGAGTTAATATTCTTGCTTATAGCTTTGTACCAGTTGTAGACTGCATGGTGTCAGCACACTGCTGTCTTATGAGAGTCATGCCTGTCCATCTGTGAGACTCTCGCCATAAAAAAAAGGTTCTATATATTTAGGATATTCCCTTCTGCGTTACTGTCTTCGTGTCAAGACATTGTCCGTCTCATCTGAGGAAAAGAGGAGAAAGGAAAAAACCATCAGCTACTAACATTGCATACACACTTACAGCACAAAAGTAATAACTTCTATCAGGATAACAAAACGAACTATATATTTTGTGGACTTCTACCAGGGAAAGGCATAGCACTGTACAGACGTAACGTTAATAGGGAAATGTCTGAGGGAAAATTTTCGTCACGTACTGAGAGGAAACCACTAACAGGACGTGCTTGAACAAATATGAAACTGGAAGGCCGACAGACAAAAACAAAGAAATGCGCCTATTCACAGACACGAAAACATTTCTTATATAAAACAGTAATGTGAGGTGGGTATAACACGTCTTACCTGACGACCTATTACCAAGTAAAAAAAAATTAGTTAGCTAGCTGACTAGCCTTAAACTGACAGGTTCATCAAAGCTAGCTGAACATTATATTTTGGTCTTACATGTGAAAACAATACACGTATATTGTATTTGGAAATAGACAGACAGAATCCAAACCTGGTACGGCGCATTATAACGGCTAAAAATCAGTATTTGTCAAAGTCAGCTGGCTAGTTTTTCGACCGCAGACGACGGATGGCTAGTCAGCTAACGCTAGCTATCTCAGCTGGCCTAGCAGGCTAGCATCCACCATAAATGACGGTAAGGTAATTACCATATTGCTAGCTTGCTAACTGACGCTACTCATAATATCCAGCGTAAACACTGTTTTTCATAAACGAACACTGATTTACTATGCGGGGTACCTGACGTTGACAAATAACGATAAAAAAGCAAAAAGACTACTTCTCCGTTCTGCGTCTTTCAGACACATCCATTGACACAGCTGGATCTCAATGCAATACATTTACAGCCGTTTGCTAACTGCGCTACTCTCCGCTAGCTCAACCCAAGTTGTTTGCTAACCAGCTAAATAAAATATTACACTCACTCGTCTGTACTTCGATGACACGTCGCGATGATTCTCACACACATAATACAGTAAGTCAGCAAAATCCTTTAAAAACATCCAGCAAGCACATCAAACCTATTTGATCGATTTAAAGAACAAAATATACAAAACACGATTAAACTACCTTTGGTTAGCTAGCCAAAGCTAGCGAGCCTTTGACGAGCAGAAGAGAGAAAGGTGAATTCGTCTGAGCCAAAAAACGCTTCCACTTGCTCGGATTGTTCAGCAGATGCCGCTCTCTCACACACAAAAATCACCCTCGCTTGTTTGTGCTGTATAAGCATTAAGTAGAGTAGCGTTATTCCGATCGTACCCACCGCTCCAAAGTGGCCGATGTATCGGATCGCTCTCTTCTGGCTGCTGCCCGTTTCGTTTCTCCATCAGACCATCAGAGCCGCCGCAGGCCCCGAGGCCCCGAGCTCGAGTTTCAGCTGCAGGAGCGCCGGCCGAGCCCTGTAGAGTAGGCCGGGAAGGGCACCTCCTTCCGCCCGCGGCCCTCTGTCTAATCCACTCAGTCGGGCGAAGCTGAATTTATTTCCCTCTTTTAGCCGCGGTGTAGATGAACTGCTCTCTCGAAGACGGTCTCTAGAGGGATTCTTAAAGCGCTAGACTGAAATCCGATCGTCAAAATCAGGTACATATACGGTTCGTTTTAATCTGAAAAGCTGGCAGTCCGTGAATCCTGGGTGGATAAACCCCACAGTGAAACTGCATTGTGTGCTTCAGTCGATTTTTTTCTTCCCTCTCTGATTCACGGTCAGCTGTGTGCACCTCAGGATAAGGCAGCACTGCCGCCTGTTGGCTCAGCTTAACATGAAGCTGTAAAAGAGCTGCTAAGCATTTACAGCAGCATCCACAGTCTCTCCTCAGGGTGTTTTTACAGCTCGAGAACACTTTACAGCAAAATGTACCGTTTAATAAATGGTTGAATAATCCATATAGCATTTATTCAGTGACCGTGCATGAATGGTACTGTTTTGCTTTGCACGTTTAAAGGGAAATTCCTCTGATTTTTCCAAATTTTTATTCTTTTACATGGTTCAGTGGTTGAGATGCAAACTAAGTAGATTAGAGTGCTTTGATGTGAAACTGTTCATTATAGAGAAACTAACCGAGTCAGATTTCTTTACAGTGGTGGTGACGTTAACCAGAAATCACCATGTCTACAATACAAATACATGTACTTAGAAGTAGCTGTGAATAGTGGATCATGACCACTGAACCTGTATGTGTCTTCTAAGTTTTCTTTGGTATCGTTTGCCTTAAAACACCTTGTACATACCTCTCCCCCTTCAATGATTTAAAAAAATATGTATTTCAGGCCAAAACGTTCTCTTAAAACTACCCTAAATCAATGAGTGTGTTTACATGCATTTAATAATCTGATCATTATCGGATTTTAGCTGTATCAGATCATTCAAGTGGTAATATAAACAGCATACTCCAATTTCTTAGATCGGATTAAGGCCTAGAAATCTGATTAAGAAATCCGATAAAGAGAGCTGTATCTTAGCTCGGTAGTCTGGTTTAGTCTGGTTTTTCAGCACATGTAGACCCTTATTCTGATTTCTTTCATTTTTCTCAGTCTGCACATGCGTGAAAACAGAGCACTGTCCCAGAAACAGTGAGAAGTGTTTAACACCTGCGAGATGGGACAAGAGCACTTTTGGAACTTGTCACATGTTATTCTGTGAGTCTCATTGCAAAGCAGAAATCTGATTACTGCCTGACTCATGTAAACCCAGAATTTTTCCCACATCCAAGTGCATGTAAACACAGTGATACACTGTGTCTCAGGCAGCGTATTCAAAACCATTTCATTTAACAGCTTTCAAAGGAGCTTTTAGAGGCCTTCAATTCTTCAGATGTCTGATTCCTGTCACCACCACTGTGAACAACTCTGACACTATAAGTTTCTCTAGAATGAAGCATTTTACTTAAAAGCACTCCAAATGACTTAGATTACATCTTAAGGATGTAATTAGGAAGAAGTTTAGAAAAATTGAAAAGTGGACTTCTTTTTAATATCATCACACAACACAAGAATATGTATCACAATCCTCAGTGTGATTTCATGTTTATAGAGGTTTGTAATGTTTCTCTTATAAAAAGATCTTACAATTATATAATTCATATAATCAATAAACATCAACCAATATGCATGTGTTTGTATTGCTCATTACCTAAAACTATCTGTTTTTTTTTTCTTTTTTTTTTTACAACAGAGGGACACATTAGATTATTACACTGAAGAAATGACAAGACATTTGATAATGACGTTAACTGAAAAAGGTGATACGTTAATTAAATAAAATAAGAAAAAGAAGGAATTATAAATTAATAATAGATACGAAGTGGGAAAGAATATCACAATCAGCAAGATAACTGAGACAAGCATTTTTAAGTTTAATAAGTGGGAATGATCTAAACAAACAAGTCTTCTTTAAAAACACAAGGGGGGGGGCGGGTATTTAAAAATTTAATTTATGTATGAAATATTTAGCCAAATGGTTATTCAGCCTAAATTCGCGGTCACAATCTTATTTAGGTCCCGAAATGTAATGATGACGTCATTCAGCCGCTCAGAACTCTGGGGCTGGATGTTTAAATCGTACGTCAGTCCTGTGACGTAGCGACCCTCCATAGGAAGCGCTGAGATGCGGAAGGGAAAAAAACAAAACGAATAACTAGACTGACCGTCGCTCACAGTTAGCCACAGAAAACAAACACTGCGGACTCGGTGTGTCTGCGGGGAGCTTCTACTGGTCTGGAGGACATTATTAACCAAGAGAAAAGAAAGTTAAGGTAAATATTTTTAGTGATTTTATTGTTCGGACTCCGCTGAGTTGATGTTAGCAGTTAGCGTTAGCCGCCTGCTAGCAGCTTGTTATTATTTCAGTCGCTAACCTTAAACGGACATAGCAAAGTGAAAGCGTGTTATATATTCTCTGGAAAGGCTTTATATAATCTTTCCCGTCTGTAATCCACTTTATTTCATACTGTCATCCAAAAAGTGTCATATCACCGTTGCTAAACCTTTGACTAGTTAACGTTAGCAGTTATATTGCCTACTGTAAGTTAGTCAACTAGCTAGCTAAACTTGTTCACTTACACTGTGTGATGGTCATTATATAGTTTGCGTATACATGGCCAGTAACACAAGAATGTGGAAATGCCAATCAAATCTGATGTCACATGTGAATTTGGTTTAGAAATTTTTATTTAACTACTTCTCTTACTTAAAACTACAGATGGTACTGTACACAGTATTTTAGGCAACTACAACACAAACAGGAGGCAGTACTTAAGCGTATTAAGGTGTGTTTCTGCCAAAGATGATGTCAACAGCATACACTCATCTGAGTCATTCTTTAACCTTGGTTGCCATGTGACTGGTCCTGAGCCTTGTTCACAGTATCTGATGGAAATGTAATGGAATTTGTTGTCAGGATGAAATAACAAGATAAAATCAATCCTTTCTGATTACTTATTAGATGGAGTTCTTGTTTGGGCGGAGGAAAACTCCAGAGGAGATGCTGAGACAGAACCAGAGAGCACTCAACAGAGCCATGAGAGATCTAGACAGAGAGCGCCAGAAGCTGGAACAACAGGAAAAGAAAATCATAGCTGACATCAAGAAAATGGCCAAACAAGGACAGATGGTAAGGAGAGAGTCATATTAACTCAGTCACATTTGTGCATTTTCATGATTATAAACCATGAACTGATGTGTTAATTACTGCCTAAATGTGATATTTTTATTATTCTAGGATGCTGTTAAGATTATGGCAAAGGACTTGGTTCGCACCAGGCGATACGTTAAAAAGTTCATCATGATGAGAGCCAATATCCAAGCAGTCAGTCTCAAAATCCAAACCCTTAAGTCAAACAACAGCATGGCACAGGCCATGAAGGGAGTCACTAAAGCCATGGCCACAATGAACAGACAGGTGAGTTTACCATATTAGTTCTGTTTTGTAAAGAGTGCAGCTTTTTAGAATGTCATACTAAACTCTGAGTTCAGATTTTCAAGCATCACCATTTGTGATTCTGAGTCTGAAAACAATATGCAGAATGTTTCTTAGCCTCTATTCCTCGAGGCCAAAGTCACCAATCACAAATATGCAAGGTTACATTCACTGAACTCATGGAAACCTTTACCCTTCATACAGTTGAAGTTGCCACAGATTCAGAAGATCATGATGGAGTTTGAGCGCCAGAGTGAAATTATGGAAATGAAGGAGGAGATGATGAATGATGCTATTGATGATGCAATGGGAGATGAGGATGATGAAGAAGAAAGGTGGGGCTGCGTGTATAAAAAGGATTCTTGGGTTGAATTGTGAACTTGCACATCTGTGACTGTTACACTGTTTTAACATTCACTCTCTTTGTTGTTTTTGATAGTGATGCTGTGGTTTCCCAAGTGCTGGATGAGCTGGGCCTGAATCTTTCAGATGAACTGTCAAGTATGGAATCTACCTGATGTTTCTCATTTTATAGCTAATAACGCTGTCATTATTGTACATAGCCAGCTGTTTATAGTTGTCTTATCGCAGCCTGTGCATGTTTTCAAACAGGTTTGCCATCAACTGGCGGAAGTCTTTCAGTTGCTGCTGGGAAGAAAGCGGAGCCGCAGCCGACTCTGGCAGATGCAGATGCTGACCTTGAGGAAAGACTGAATAACCTCAGAAGAGACTGAAGCAGACAGGACTTTTGTTAAGGCTTTAGTTCAGAAATGTGTGTATGAAGCTTTCTAACACCTTACTGAAATGCTGCGTGATTAAAACAGTGGATGGTCGAACACTGCACAATTGGAATGCAGTGTGTTTCTGGCATAAGGCACTCTTGTATGAATGTTTCTGTTTTTTGTTTTTCTTTCTTTCTTTTTCTATTTGACGTGCCATTCAATGTCATTCTACCAAACAAACGCTCCAATCAAAGATGTGGTTTTCAGGTCATTTGTGCCACACATCATATTTTATTAGGGAAAGTTTTCCTGGGGGGAAAGTCTAAAGCACTGCAGGTACCTTAATGGAAATTGCTGAGAGGAATAAACACTAAATAGGACTTTAATTAAAGGGGCATATGGTCTGCTATCTAGTCAAATAAATGTTGATAAGACTGATATTTTATATGAGTAGTTACAGTTTTACATGTCTCATTAGTACTGTTGTGGTCTTATTCCAGAATTGTAAAGCATGGTGGTTTATATATTTTATCACAATGCTTCAAACTTATGATCATAAAAATGCTTTTCTCAGTCTTTACAGAACTGTTCTTTACTCATAATCACACAACTGTATGTAATGGGCCATTGGATTTTGCATATCTAAAAGCAATCTTTCTAGTTTCTCCCATTGAAAGAATAAATAAATATTGGTGACAAAAGGGTTCAGAGAAAAAAAAAGTATGATTACTGGTGTATAATAGTATAGTATTTATCTAAAAGTGAAACTGGGATGTTGTATTTTGCCTTTTTTTCTCAATAAACATTTTTCACAGAGACTGAATTGAGTCCTATAATAAATGCAGTGGAGTCATAGTGGCTGAGTATAACAATGCAGCGTCAACTTTTCTGTAAGGAGGTAACAATGCTGACAACTGTGCGATAAACCTGGCGTTTTGAAATACTTTTGTGGCATCCCTACACTAAAACCTATATTAGCTTAAAATAATAAACCTTTTTCACTGGAAGGTTTCTATTATTTGTTACTTACATGGCTACAGTGCCAAACTAAAGAAAAAGAAAACGCCTGACCTGTCTTAGCAGAGATACTGCAGGTGGTTTGAACTTTTTGTTTTTAATAGCTTGCAAGAACTGGGTTCAACTTACCTAAACATCAGTGAACATCAGTGTTAAAATGATTTAATGCTATCAATTTTTCAGATTCTTTAATCGTCAAGCCCATCACACTAGTGGTACGATGTCTTTAACCCCAGCATTCACTTGTTTTGTTGGCTCCTTGATATCTGAATCTGCTTTGATATTTCGGTGAATATAACCTTGCTCACACCAAGCCGTAGTTGCACCAACTTTTGTGTACACACACACACACACGTTATCTAAGCCACTTGTCCTCCTGGGTCATGGGGTCTCTTTGCACACTGCTCACCAAAACTGTTTCATGATGTGTAAAAACTAATGCTTAAAATGTTAGATAATGAAAAAAGACAAATGCAGAAGTAATAGGATTTGTATTTTTTGCAAAACAATTTTCTTCAGTTATTCTGTCAACATTCTATCAATATAATATCTATACTGAACATACAACACTCAAACATAAATAATAAAAAAATAACATCTTCCCTTATATACATCCTACAAGTATCATGAAACTAGACATAAATTTTACAAGGTCAAAAAGAAAAAAATAAAAAGATGTGGGGGCAAAACATGCCAAAACAAAAGAATCATGTAGCTACAGACTACAGTGAGGCATGGCTTTGGATTTTTTGTTGACATTTTGTTGTACGAGGCACAGAGTATATCATGACTTAACTGACACAAAGCTTTATGTTCTTTTGGATGCAGGCGATACAAAGGTAATAAAGAAAGTTTCCAATTATAAGGTCAGATAGGCATAAAGAACGAGAACAATGATCAACAAGCTGCTCCACATGAATAGATTATTAGATGTCCTTTCAGTCCAGTGGCATGTTGAACAACTTTAGAGATGTGCAGACCTCCAGTATAAGCTCACAAATAATAACTACTTGCTATAAAACAGCAGCACACACTGCTTATTTAACTCTGAATTTGTTGACATTAACAGTTCTTTTTTGATAGAATTTCAACTGCGCTTACAAAAAAGGAAATTTCTCCTTGTATGATTTTGTTGACTCAAGACAACCATGCATTCTCAAGTTAAATTTAAGGATTTAAGTCTTAAGCCATTGTATCATCGAGTATTCTTATTCAGGCTCTTCACTATACCTCCATGGTGCATGTACAGTGAAGGTATGTTTCAGCGCAGCTTGATTTTCAGAAGTTCACTTAGGCATCACATGCAAAATACACATCAGATAGTCCATATTCACAAGGTAATGCACGTGAAACTGTTGCTTAAAGCAGTGCCTGCATAATATAATTTCCGTAAACTAGACAGAGCAGGACCAGAATTATTTTACACAGCAATCAATCAAGGCTGAACACTTATTAAAAAGAAATTACAGGGCATTCTGTGGATGGGTTTCTCCTAATGACTAACAACATAAATAAATCTGCAACACTGCCCTTTCCTCTTATTGTCACATGGTAGTCTTATTGCCATTTAATTATAAACCCACACAAACCCATGGAGCTGATCAAGTATCCTGTAGCCTCAGGACTGTCTCCCTCTCCAGCATTCAACTGGGATATGCACTCAATTTCTGTGAGAGTGGCTTATTTCCGACAGGTCCTATGAGGAGTTTGTTTTTTCTGATTCTCTATACGGCAGCGACTTCTTTCATCAAGCCATGGCAGCTCGAAATTCCTGTGCGGGTGTGAATGAGAGAGAAAATGTAAGGGAGATGAAACTTATACATATATCAAAATCAAAGCGGAGATGATAGGGCTGCATTCAAGACCACAGCCAACCGATTTCCCTTTGGAAAGTCAGAGCTTTTCAAACACAAACTTGCCAGTCCCTGAAGAAAAAAAAAAAATGTTTGTTTTAAGCTTTTTTGGCAGCCTTTTGATGTTTGTGTATGACATGCTAATTGTATATGAAATCCTTAAAATACAGATGGATCCTTTTGGACACTTGCAAGTTTAAGTTGTTCTGTACGAGACTGTAATTTCAGTCGGTTATATTAACGAGTAACTGCTATAGCCTACATCCATTTTCAAAATAAAACCTGCCACTAACCAAGCGAAACTCCCAACTCTAGCTTTAATAATTTTTTGTCTGCTCAGGATAGCCAAACAAGTGCTAGGTGAAGCTGCATGAACATGAAGGTGGAAGGCAGGAATTTGAAGAGTTCCCAGTTGTAATGAACACAACATACTACACCTAAAAGATTTAAGATTTATAATAAAGTCACGGCATCTAAATGGAGCTGTATCTGAATGACAGGTACTCACTGTGGTGTGAGCCTGGGCAAAGGCCGGCCAAAAGCCACAACAGGCAGAAAGGGTGTAATGACAATTGACTCCACTGTGGAGAAAATTAAGTCAACAAATTCATGTTAGAAAGCCCAGTTTTCTGATTTCAAATGCAAACATAATTTAGTAGCAAAAGAATCCAAAAAAACTTCTAGCTGAAGTCCAGATATTACCATCATCAACATCAGGATAAAATGACGACAGCTCTGGCTCGCTCTCCTGAACATTTATCTTTCTCTTCTCCATGCGCTGCTGCAGCCTCTGGAGCATGCGCTGCTCCCGTATCCTCTGAATGTCCCATCTAAAAATTTGTAAAAGAGAAACTTCAGTAAGTAATACAGAAGAAAGAAAGTATATCTGAAAAAATTATAAAATAATCTAATGAGGATCCTCTAAGCAATAAAAAAAAATAAGTACTTCAACTCTTTACCTTTTCCTTCTCTTCTCATCCAGCTCTAGCTTTGCATGGCGTTTCAGAAAGACACCATCCTCAAGACTCTAGTTAGCAGAATAAAAAATATCACCTTGAACTATATGCGTTTGGGAATTTGACTCTGGCATGAGTGGAATGTACTGTAATAATAAGATGGTGGAGAAAACACAAATTAAAACATGACGTCACCTCAGGGATGTCAAAAGCATCTTCCTCCCTCAATGGCTCTATGCTGTTCTCTCTCCAGGATGGGACTGTGTAAAACATTTATACATACATATCATTTCATGATATATAATTGTGCGTTTGTTGTTTTTTTTTTTTTTTTTTTAAATAAAGTCTCTGCATTTAAAGTACTCACTGGCAACATCCTCCTCTTTCTTGGGGGATGGCTCACGCAGGGGTGAGACAGGAGGTTGGTGCCAACAGCATAAGTACATTTCTGTAGTCGTCATATATGGCAAGTCTTGGTGTTCACAGTTTTCTTCTCCTTCTGAGACGGCCTCTGCCTGCCCTGTTGACTTCCCCAATCCAGTCTTCTCTGGAGTCTCCTTGTTTCGCAGGTCCCTCTGACATGGTGACGTTCCTCCTGTGTCTGATTTCTGGGGAGTTAACCTAGAAGCTTTCCCCTGTGACCTCTGTACTTTTGAATCTACAAAGCCAAATTTCCTACAAAGCAAAAAAAAATTTATAAACTTAAAACTTATACCACAGGGAAGACCAAAACATGACAAAAAGCATCATAGACCCATCTCCATCTGTTACCTCTTTTGCACCTTGCTGCTTCGACTAAAAGTAGAGGTTTTGGGTGTGTGGGTCTGAGGGCTGTCTCCCACATCCGAATCCCAGAAGTCGTCGGTGTCTGGGACCCAGCGCTCCAATGGCTGAAAGAGACGCTTGTCACGAGGTTCTTTACTCATCAACTGTAAGCGCCGTTCCATCCGCTCAATTCGCGCAAGCAGCTGTGGGAAGACGTGTTGAAAAGAGACATTTCATAAACTAGCTACTTGACTAGGAGGGATGGTAAGTCCCAAGCCTAAGAGGAAAGGGAACCATTAATAAAACACTAGTTCAAGCTTAATTCAAAACCTCACATACCGTGTCTCTGTCTGCTTTTAGTTCATCTATTTCCTTGTCCTTGGACTGCAGCTGCTGCTGCTGTTGCTCTATGAGGTCCAGCTGAAGCAGGAGGAGCTGGCGAAGACAACTGGCTTGTGAATTGGGATGGCCCGGGGTCTTCTTTATGTTCTTCCGTTTACCCTCTGTATGTTCATGGGATGCCACGCTGTGAGCCCCCATAGTGTCCAACCCCTTTGTGCTATCTTCACCACCAGAATCCCTGGAATTGTGAGAATTCATTGAAACAAATTCTGCTTTGTTATCAATAGCGTTGGTCTGTCCAAGCGGAGTTTTACTTTTAACAGGGGTCCCTTCGCCCCCCATTTGTTTAGCTTGAGATGCAACTGCGTCGGCGCTCTCAGAGCCTCCTCCAGAAGGAACAGCTACCGTTTTGTTCTGTCCTACCGGCAAAAACGGCCGAGCAGCCTTCCCAACGAGGTGCTTGTCCAGGTTTCTGGATGTGATGAAGTGCTGTCCGGCGTCGGTGAGGGCAACACCAAGAGGATCATGCGTTTCAGTCACCAAAGTGTACGAATTTCTCGAGACACCTATAGTATGCCCAGAGCCTCCTTTGGAAAGGTAGAAATTGTTAGATTCTGAGCGCAATCCCACGTTAGAGATGGACTCGGAGCGCATATTCATGGTGAGAACAACAAGCTACAGAATAAACCATAGCTCCAATGGCGGAGACAGAAAGGCAGACTGCAGCGTTTACAGCCAGTGAAGACCAAGCCAGAGCGCCGGTGTGCTCCTAACCTGCAATTGAAATAAAGAAAGAAAGAAAGAAAGAAAGAAAGAAAAACGACGTTTAGCTTCCAAGTAAGCCTGCACTGTAGGCAGAAAGAAGAAAAAACGACAGAGCTCACCTGGACCAGCCTGGGAAGAAAGTTGCAAATCCTTCATGATGCTGCTGCCCAGCACCAGCACCGCCTTAGCAGGCTAGCTTAGCTAATTAGCCTGCCAGCTAACTCACTTGGCTAGCTACCTAGCTTCTTGATTTCGTGCACAGACTAAGCGTTTGCCGATGAATTGGGCTCCAAAAATAAACTGAAACGTTCAAATCTGTGTTAATCTTCTGATTCAGGAGCAGTTCGGCACTTCTTCACTAACTGCCCGGCGTAGCTACTCAACACTCGCCTCCATTTTGATCCGCAGTGCTGGAGACCAGCGGCTCCAGACCGAGCTGAGCTCACAGAGAGGGACAACAATAACAACCGCTCTAACACCCGCCGGCCTTAGTGACACTCACATAAACACGCCTCTGTACCGCTGATGTTAAGTTGTCACCGCTTATTCCAGACGCGTTCTCATCCGAAGAGAAAAACAGTATTTAAAGTGATACTTCACTCTACTTTTATTAGAGTCCCCCATTTTCTGGCCTGATCTTCAGCACCATGTTGAGCGCACGGTCGGTTTAAACTGGAGACACTGCGCATGCGCGAAGGCGAGACGCGTTTACACAACCATGCAGGTGGAGTCTCAGTAAAAGCTCCTCGATCAGACTTGGAGAAGGCAAAATTACTGTTTTATGAAGCTTAACGAGCTCTATTAATGATCACAAGTCATGGACACATTAATATTAGATGGAAATGTAATGTGCACTGAACAAAGTGCAGTTATCTATTTTTATGTTGAAATGTTCAAAAGAAAAAGAAAAAAAAACATTTTTTTAAAAGATGAATCTTATTTGTTTTTAAAGTGTTTCCAGATTGCTTAGCGCTTTGTTTGACAAATTATATTATTTAAGAAGTTCAGGAAATTGTCACGTTGTTGTTGAAAATTGCTAAATATAAATTACTTACATATAATAATTTTTGCACTTTTTTTGTAAGCACAGTTTCTGTTTTCTGAGTTTAACGTATTGGGGGAAAACATACAATATAAAATATGCCATAACTTTTGCACAGGCCTAATTTTCCCCCTGTATGCTAAATTGAGCAATAAACAGTAATTGTGCATCAAATTGTGCAAAACATACATACATGGACCATTCTACTGACTTAGTTCAGCTGCAGTAAAACAAAGTATTTAAAAAAACAGTGATGTATTCAGATCTTAGATATTTACAACGATTATGTTATGATCTATTTAAACCCAAGGCATCAATTGAGATAGTAATAAGCTAAACATATACAAAATAATCATTTATCGGGTACTTTTTATAGGGAGGTGTCTGGCCCAAACCCTAACCTTAAAAGATTTTAACTAGTGAAAATAATATTTTTGTAAACATCTTTTTTACTTCTTTTAAAGTGAAGTTGAAAGATTTAAATTCATCACAAGCCTAATTTTTTAATTGAAACTTTGTTTAAGAAAATGCTGTTCCACATGTCTGTACCGAAACACAGAGTCTTAGCTCATAGGCGGAGCCTTATTTAAACCACACCCCTGAATTTTAGAGCAGGAAGTGAGACTGCATCCCTGTTCTTCATGGCCACATGGTGAGCAGTCAGATCCCACTGTTTTGAATAAATGTGTCCCAAAGTCTGAAAATTAGTGTGTAACACTGACACAACAGAAACACATACTTTCTGCAATTAAGAACTTTTTTGTGTTTTAATAAGAAGATTATGATTTTATGTGTGTACAGTTGTTCAGATCTGTGTTTGCTAGTCATGTACTGGCTAGCATTTTTGGATTATGCTCAGAATTCATTAAATTGTCACTACTGAAACATTTGGTAAGGTTTTGATAGTGTTATGATTGTTTTGATAATGGTAAAATTGAATGTTCAATCTTTTGTTTTAATAAAGTTGCATATTTACATAATTAAGTTTTAGGGTCACTCAAAGCAAAATAGTCTACAGACCAAGTCAGTTAAATTTTCTATATGTGAGATACATTTAAAATACATTGTTTCAAAAATGTATTCCAAACACTAAAGTACATTTTTAAAGGTATTTGATAATAATACTTTTTTCTGGCTTACATTTACATCATTGTTACAGTTTACACTGGTCTGGAACAAAGAGTTGTATATGAAATGGAACAAATTTGCCCAGTTTCTTTAAACGGGTCCCCAAAAGACCCAAATTAGATCTACAGACCCAAAAAACTAATAGAAGTAAACTAAAACGAAAAGTCAAAACTGAAACCTGATTAGTTCTCAGGACAAGGTCCGGACTGCACATTTATTTGGGACATGTTAATAAGCACTGTGGTCCATTTAGTGGATATATTTTGTCACTGTCTGAGGATGACTGAGATCTTGTGTAAAGGGCTCTTGTAAAGACTCATAGCCTGAATTCAGTCAGAACCAAGACCTGAGAACAAAAATGTCTAAAACGTTCCACAAACATTTTTAAACTGCCTTAAAACATATGTTTTCATTAACCAGGTAAGTTCACAATCAAAGCCATACAGGCTTTACATCACACAGTTTATTGACTGTGAGGCCATTAGAGTAAATGACTAATTTTTCCACGGCACACCAGATAGGCTTCTTTTAACTGTTCCACCTTCTAAAAATGTAAGCAGAAATAGCGGAAAGACTTGTGAGAAAGTAAGCTTATCAGTATTTACACCTGCATAATCACTCACATAAGTAATAGCTCTAATGATGTGGAACTAAGTTATTTTTCCAAATGTTTACAGTGTTGTAATGTATAAAAGGCTAGTGCAACTCACTGTAAAGCACCTAACCATTTTAAACCATCACTGCTACAGCACCAGAGCTGAGAAAGGTAGGACATATTTTTCAGCTATTTTATTGCATGCTACAGTTAATCTGTCAGTGTGAATGTCTAATTTTGATCTGAATTTCAGACTGTGGAAGATGAAGATGAAGGTAGAGTTGATTGCACTGGTTTTCCTTTTCATGGGTGCTGTACTGGCAGTCGGTGCAAGAGCTGTTGACAACAGGCAAGATACAACCATTCATATTTATTCATGTATTTATTTCACACTTAAGTTGCTGTCTTATGGTAGAATGTGGATCTTACTGTAAGTCGTAGGTGTTCAGTTGTGTCAGTATCTTTATGAGGGGTTTAGTACAGATGGAAGGTGGGCGAAGTATCGATACTTCTGATGCTGATGTTTGATGCTCACATGAAAATATAGATATCAGTGGCATAACTATCGAGGGGCAAATGGAGCAGTCACAATGGGTCCTATGGTGCAGGCCTTAAAATCATTCTTGAAACACTCATGAGTCACAGAAAGATCAGATTTCTGAACACACCTCAATAGTCGGCTTCCATGAACACTACATAGACAGATCTGACATCTGATTATCTACCTCTTGTTTATAATGTGTCTCATTCATAGTAACCATTTTCAAACTCATGCTTCACAACCTGCAACATGATATATTCAACATAGCTCTAAAATCTTAGGTAGTCCAACATAAATATGTCAATGCTAGTGGGTGGAGGCAGAAGACTATAAAGCATCATCATGTTTAAATCATTGCAAATTACACTGTAATTTTGTATTCATTAATGATTGTGATGGCTCCCAAAAGACGCAACCATCTCAGCATTGGCCCTATAATCGGGAGGTAGCAAGTTCGATCTCCAATGAAGCCACAGAACTTAATTGCCCTCCCTCTCCCCCCATCGCTCAGCACAATGCTAGCTAGTGCAAGTGTCTCTTAGCTTGGTAGTTCTCAATATTTGTTCCAGATTTCTGCTTGATTTATGTGTTTCAAATTGGGTTGGAGCAAAAAATCTGTTCCGTCTGGGGGGCTGAGATAACAGAATTGGCAGTTAGCGTCCTCCTCCAAGCATGTTGAGCTGTCTAATGATGTTGCATTAGCAGCAGTTTGAAAAGATGCAGTAAAAGCTTGTGCTAGCCTTCGCCCTTCTGGCTAGGTAGCATCATGTGATTGGTGAAGCTAGCGGGAGGAATTATCAAAGACTATACTGGGGAGAAAATTGGGTGGGGAATGTATCAAATAGGATAATGTGTAGGATACCAATGAGTGAGAGAGTGAATGCTCTATAATAGAAGTCTAATATTTCACACTATTACTATTAAGTAATAATGTAAAGGTTTTTGAGTGTAAATTTTTTGATGTCAATATTTTACTGTTTTTCTCTACAAAGAAATTGTCTTTTATATGCACAAGAAGATCAGAATCAAGATATTAGCCCTGTTATTAACTATTGAATCAAAAAAGAAAATTAGTGGTATCGCCCATCCAACAGCCCACTTATCTCTGAGTTTCCTTTATGAAAAATAACTTATTTACTCAAGGAATACAAACATTTTTCATGATTTGCGTATCACTAATAGCCCTGCAGACGATAGCCAACGCTTGGATCGCCGCTATGCTGAATCGACTATAGCGAGTGATATCAGTAAAATAATGGACTCCATGGTACAGAAGAACTTTGTGAACTTTCTCCTAAACCAGAGAGAGAAAAAGAGCATGTATGTATGATGTGGAGCATTTTATCACTGTTATAGATTTATTTTTGGAATAACACAGAATGAACAACATGCTTTTTTACTGTATGTTGCTTAAGGCCAACTACGACACCAGAGGATCCAGACGTTCACATCTTCAATGATCTTCTGAAGAAGGATTTCACCATGTTGATTCACAGCAAAGGAGACAGATCCAAGTAAGTGTGAAAATAAGTATCTGTGATCATGACTGATCATGAATAAAATTTAGCTAAAAATGGTCATTTTCTGTTCTGTCTTACAGGACTCATTAGTGCCCAGGAAGAAGTGGCATCAGCAGAGCAGTGGACAGGTTCAAGAAACTGCGGATAAACTCCTCGTTCTGCCTTCAAAACGTCCCAAAATGGCCTAATGCTTTAAAGTATCCATGATAGTTATAATTTCAATAAAAGCATATTTCAAAATGAAACCCTTTCTGACTTTGTGTCTTACACTGCAGTCAAACAAAGTTGTAATAGTTAAAATAGCACAATAGACATAACCATCTATACGTGGCAAATCCTTTATTTGTTTTTTTACTAATTCCCTATAAAATATCAAATTAAATCAACAAATAAGTAATTTTGTACAACTAAATCTGATTTTTCTTTGTATTTTACAAAAAAATTATAATCATTGTTTACAACAGTAAAAAAAGTATTTTAATATGTTATGTTTAATATATGTTTAATATGTTATGTCATTTACTAGTTTATTGTTCACAGAACACTTCAAATACTGAATATAACATCTAGAACTATTTTTTGCCAAATAGTCTTTAAGATTTAAATCAACACTGTATAAGTTATTCCATATAAAACAATAAAAAATATTAATGTGGCAAGTAATTCCAAACTTTTTCACCGTACACTTTTTACAAAATGGCTCCTCAAAGGGTCTTTAGTAAAGGCAATGGTTCTATACAGAATGAATACTCACAGAACCATATGCATAAATGTGCATTGCAATATGCATAAATGGTTCTGTGCATGGTCAAATGGATCTTCTCCATAAACAGTTGTATATGTCTCTTTAAAGAATTCTTTTAAACATGGTTCCATGCAGCAACAAAAAGGGTTCCACTGTTGCAAGTTAAAGAACCCTTTTTCAGTACTATATAGAGCCCTGAGTATAGAAGCAAAATGGACCCAAACTGTTCGCACCATACTGTGAAAACTCTTGTAACTCAGACTGGGCTGCGGGTAACCTTCAGAAAATGAGAGAAGCCCCCTGAAAGATTTGCAGAGCAGAAAGACTACAGATGTCCAGCCAGTTGCTTGAAACTGGCCTGAATACTCTCTATATAGTTCTGGCCTGAATACTCTCTATATAGTTCTCTGTGATTCCTCTGTTTCACCAGGTTGGAATACAATGCTCTAGTTATGAATGTCTCCCTGTAAAGGAGAAAGAATCATTTATTTTTCACTGACTGCAGAAAAACATTTAAAAATGTAATTTATATCATTAAACTATATTTTTCTTATACAAAAATGCTTCAGAAGTAAAAATTATAAGTAAAAACCCAATTCCAAAAAAGTTGAGACGCTGTGTAAAATATAAAAAATGTAAATAAAAACAGAATGCAATGATTTGCAAATCTCATAGACCCATATTTTATTTACAATACAACATAGAACACATATCAGATGTTGAAAGTGAGACATTTTACCATTTCATGAAAAACATTAACTCATTTAAAACATTAACTCATTTAGAGCAGCAACGCATCTCAGAAAAGTTGGGCCATGTCTACCATTATGTAGCATCCCCTCTTCTTTTATTAACAGTCTGTAAACATCTGGGAAGCGCGGAGACTAGTTGCTGGAGTTTTGGGAGAGGAATGTTGTCCCATTCTTGTCTGATGTAGGATTTGAGCTGTTCAGCAGTCCTGGGTCTTCTTTGATGGATTTTTGGTTTCATGATGCACCAAATTTTTCTATTCGTGAAAGGTCTGGACTGCAGGCAAGTCTGTTCAGCACCCAGACTCTTCTTCTGCTAAGCCATGCTGTTGTGGTGGATGCAGTATGTGGTTTAGCATTGTCTTGCTGAAATGCACAAGGCCTTCCCTGAAAGACCGCTGTCTGGATGGAAGCATATGTTGCCAAAAGCTGTATAGTTCATTCAGCATTAATGGTGCCTTGACAGATGCGCAAGACACTTATGCCATGTGCACTTGTGCTCCCACATACCATCATGGATGCTGGCTTTTGAACTGTGTGCTAATAACAAGCTGGGAGGTCTTTACTCTGGAGGATGCAGTGTCCATTATTTCCAAAAAGAATTTCAAATTTTGATTAATCTGACCACAGGACACATTTCCACTTCGCCTCGGTTCATTTTAAATGAGCTTGGGCCCAGAGAAGTTGGCGGTGTTTCTGGATCCTGTTTATATATTTGCATGATACAGCTTTCACTTGCATTTGTGGATTGCACAGTGGACTGTGTCCACAGACAATGATTTCTGGAAGCGTTCCTGAGCCCATGCAGTGATTTCCATTACAGAATCATGCCTGTTTTTAATGCAGTGCCACCTGAGGGCCCAAAGATCACGAGCATCCACTACTGATTGTTGGCCTTGTCCCTTGTGTACAGGGATTTCTCCAGATTCTTTGAATCTTTTAATGACATTATGTACTGTAGACGGTGGGATATCCAAAGTCTTCACAATTTTACGTTGAGGAACATTTTTCTGAAATTGTTCAACAATTTTTAGACGCAGTTTTTTGCAGATTGGCGAACCTCTGCCTCTCTAAATTGCTCTTTTTACACCCGTCCCTGGGTAAAGCAATAACTTGTATATCCGGTAGGTGGCAGTAGCGCAGCCTTGCAGCGCTCACCCGGCATAAAGTCCCCAAAGAAGAAGAATCATTCGCTTCAATGCGGAAAAACATCAGAGCGTCCAAAAGAGAAACACATCGGTTTAAAATACAACAGAAAGAAAGAAGTGACGTTCGTTTATTTCTGTTTTTATTCGTCTGCAGAGTTCGCTTATATAATATCACAGACGTTTAGTTCTCTTGTTTTTCCTCCACACTGCTGACAGTGTTTTTATGCAGTGTGTTGAAGTTCAGTCTGTGTTTCTCCGGGTTTTCTCCAGAATCTCGTCACTAAATGTTAACTAACTAACTCAGGACTCCTCAGCGGACCCGAGTCTACAGTTCACTGAACTGTCACTAATCCTGCTCACCCACAGCTGCGGAGCACAATGCACAGGAGGGGAGTGGGAGCCGGAGCCATCGCCAAGAAGAAACTGGCGGAGGTAGCGCGGAGTTCGCGTTAACGTTGTTTGGGCTACGGGAAGAGTGGGTCACTGTGGGGCTCTGTGTGCCTGGATTATGGTTCTGTACACACTGAAACTAAGAGGGTTCTTCAGATTGACGGAGAATGTGTTATATATGGTTCTAAATAGAACCGTTTTGAAAAGGGTTCTGCTGTTGTTACGATGTCAAGCTTGTAACAATAAAAAAACATTTTTTGGTGCTGTACAGAACCATATACAGCACATTCTTCATCAATCTGAAGAACAGTTTCACCATGCAAAGAACCTTTTATGTATGTAATGGTTCCATATAGAACTCATAGTTCTAAATAGAAGTATTTCCTTTATTGAAGAACCATCTTTTTCTTTTTAAGAGTGTAGGGTTACAAATGCAGAAGACAAGAATAAAGTGCAGATATTTCAGAGCAGCAACTTAACCCAGCATATCCTAAACCTTCTGCACTTCAGGTGTAACGTTACAATAAATACATCACATATGATTCTGACATCATCGTGCATCCTTTTTTATTATTTTAGCATTGGAGATTTTTGCTTTAATGACCTGTAAGTGTTCACACATGGCCATTTAAGTTTTCAATCTACACTTTATTGATATCAGAAATTCAAATTAAACAGTTAAAATGTTTGTAATACTTATAAAAATTAAATGTAACAAACATCTCAACATTCAACTTTTACTAGTAGGGATTATATTTTAGCATGTACGATTCTTCAGTCATTACTGGTAAGAATTCCTGTTTTTTCTCACTTTAATTTAGGGGGATAATAATTTACTTATCAGTTTTTGTTTTAATACAATAACTAAACATTTAAGCTAAAATGTGGATTGAATACAACATCTTGGCATATTAAATTTGAGATTTGCCTCTCGTTATTCTCTCATTGTTGTAGGCCAAGTACAAAGAAAGAGGAACAGTCCTGGCTGAGGATCAGATTGCACAGGTAAGAGTACAGCAGGTACTACTCTCAGTTCTCCAAGAAATGGAAAGATACTAATTCATTTATGAAATATTTAAATCAGTAAGCGGAATAGCATCACAGGTTATGCTGAATCGTGGTCTGACCTTTTTTCTTTGTAGATGTCTAAACAGTTGGAAACATTCAAAACTCATTTGGAGGAGTTTGCCAGCAAACACAAGCAAGAGATTCGAAAGAATTCACAGTTCAGGGTTCAGTTCCAGGAAATGTGTGCCACGATAGGAGTGGACCCACTAGCGTGTGAGTACTCATATCCGAAAGTGTTTATCCAAGCTGTTGGTTAAGTTTGAGGTCAAATGACACTAATTAAAGTGGCACATTGTTTTAAGGAATGCTTGTTTTGAATTTAGATGAATCACATTATTACTTAAAACTAAATGTAATATTACATTGCTCGGTTATTGTTCAGTATATAAGTCTTTTCATTATATTTTTTTTCTGGTCTTATTTTGAACAGCTGGTAAAGGATTCTGGTCAGAGATGCTTGGAGTTGGAGATTTCTATTATGAGCTTGGTGTACAGATAATTGAAGTCTGCCTTGCTCTAAAGCACAGAAATGGCGGTGAGTTACATTTAGATTTTTTTTTTAAAGATCTAACTGTGTCACAGCACATTGATGTGCTCTGGATGACTGAACCAGTGAGTTTAACTTTGTAATTCATTTATATATGAACGTTATGAAAATCTAAGAAATGAACAAAGAATGCACCTACAAGATAAAACCACTTTTTGTTCCAATAGGACTCATTACACTGGATGAACTTCATCAGAGAGTGTTAAAGGGAAGAGGCAAGTTTGCTCAGGATGTGAGCCAGTGAGTGTCTTTGCTCTCAAACGTTTTACCTTAGTAAAAAGCTTTAAATAAACCGGTAAGAAAGTAGGAGAAATTTGTGTTGAGAGTCTCAATTTCTGTCAGTTCTATACAAATCTTGAGATACATATACACAATACAATACAGATATACTTTATTTGCCAGAGACGACTTGGTACGGGCCATCAAAAAGCTCAAAGCGATGGGGAATGGTTTTGGAATGATTCCTGTTGGAGGCTCCTATTTAGTTCAGTCTGTCCCAGCTGAGCTCAACATGGATCACACTGTTGTTCTTCAGCTGGCTGAGGTAATCAGTACTGAAAACAAAGAAAGTGACTAAACTTTCATACCTACACTCTTTAACAAGATGGTTTTTCAAGGGTTCTTTAGTAAAGAAAATGGTTCTATATAGAACCATGAACACTCAAAGAACCCACTGGATGATGGAGAATGTGCCAAAACGAGCTATTGACAATGGCAGAACCCTTTTCAAAAAATGTCTTCATAGAACCATCTACAACACATTCTCCATCCATCTGAAGAACGCTTCCATCATGCAAAGGGTTCTTTGAATGTACATGGTTCTATATAGAACCATTTTCTTTACTAAAGAACTCTTGATGGACCATCTTTTTTTTGGAGCATAGTTTGTGAGATTTGTGCGAAATACTTTCCGTTTTTTTGCAGAAAAAGGGCTACGTAACAGTGAGTGAGATCAGAGATGGCCTCAAGTGGGAGAAAGAACGGGCATGTCATGTACTTGTAAGTGTTCAGGAAGAATACATTATGTTGAAGTTTGATAAGAAACCTGAAGAACACACTAAAGCTATGACATGGTTTTCCTATGTTCAGGACCACCTGCTGAAAGAAGGTCTAGCATGGCTGGATTCTCAAGCTGCAGGTGAGCCGCAGTACTGGCTGCCAGCCCTGTTCTCAGAACTTTTGTCTCGTGATGTCACACCTGAGGAGGCTAACCAGATGACACCGTGACAAGAAGAAACAACTTTCTATAAACTGAGCAATCAGTCAAAGTAATCAGCCAGGTTGAATACTGTCCTTTCAAGTGCTGAAACCACATCATGTAATGAGTGCTTCCTTGACGTGTGATTGTGAAAGCTAACTGAAAGAATAACTGTCTCGAAATGGATAATAAAAGCATTTATTTTCTGTAGGAATTTCTGTAAATATTTGTTTGCCTTTTTTGTTTCATTTTAATTTTTTATTTAGTCACCAATTAAGATGCAGGTGTACATTACATTGTTTTACAATACTTTTTAAAAACTATAAGCATGCATTATATTTAGAATTACAAATAACATTATTAAATATTAAATGTCAGGTCAGATTTTGTGGTAGTTTATGGTCCACATCATACATCTTAATGTATTAACGTCTCACGCATACATCTTCTCCAAAAGAAGTTTTGGTTTGATATTTAGGTCTCAATTGCACTTCTTCAGGAATCAACATTATGCTGATGAACGTCCTCCCAAGTTTTGAATGAGTTCTCTTGAATGCTCTTTCAACTCACTCGCAATCATCACCGTCATCCACTCAGCGAAGAGGTCCAGAGCACACCCAACATTACAAAATGTTCTTCCACATGATCTGTGCAATTACACTTTTCCCATCAGAGAGGTCTCCAAATCTCTAATCCTTACACTGTGTAGCTTTAAATAATAAACTAATGTAAAATCTTTCTCTATAACATACTTTGAGGCTTGATTTCCAGCCTGATCAAAAATCAGCAGCCAGCACAAAGGATATAAAGCATACCTGGGTTATCTAACCTCGTCTTTAATGAAAACTTATTTCCGCCACACAGGAGAGAAAACCCTGTTTTTTTTCCCTCTTACTCAGTCAGCAGTATCAAAATTTAGACTTTTTATGTCAAAATAATGACATTTTAGCTTTTGTCAAAATAAAGACTTATTTACCCAAAACTGACTTCTCAAAAGTTTAACCTCTGATAAATTTTGAGAAAAATCAAAAAGTCAAAAATTTATTTATTAATTATGTATTTATTTATTTTTTAACATAGCTGAAACTTTTGACAAACAGCTGCCAGAAACAGTTGTTTTCCTCCATAGCTTTTGGAACATAATTCAAGTAATTGCTTTCTCATTCAAAGATAAGGCGCTGATTATTTGATTAAAAATTAAAAACAACATTTAAAACCTAAAAACTTTTTTTCCTGTGAGCTTCCTCTTTTCATGGTATTCTCGTCCTAGATTTTAATCAGTTGTATAGAACTGTGGCTACTTTGTTTATCTACTAATTTCGGTTTTGATTTGCTTGTAGTTTTCGTTTGCATTTGTAAGGGTTTATGTTTGAAGATACTCCAGTACATTAATTTGAAACAGTTCAGAGTCTGATATTTGAGGACCATGCACATTAAAAAGTTTATTTTTATTGCTCTACCTATTATTACAGCAACTTAAAAACCACCACAGTTTTGAGAACATCTTGTGGCATAGCTGCATTCAACACGCAGCATGTCAGTGCTTCTAGTTTAAAAAAAAAATGGAAGAAATAAATATAGTAAAGTATTTAAGCAGGCAGAAATATCTAGAAATTTGCACCAATTTACATAATTATTCATGTTTTTCCAAACTTCAAAAGCTTTTTAAGTTGGTAACGAATAATTATTTTCCCTAGATGGGCCTTGGTGATGTGACTATTACTCGTGGCCGTAGACGTGATCTTCAAACTCCTGCTGTCCCAAATCATCACAGATCAATGTACAGAAAGGACAAACCTTGTGAGATTGCTCGTGCATTGCCAGTTCGTCTTCACTGATATCAGGAAAACTCTCCTGGCAATGACGGCACACCATCTGTTAATAAAGATCAAGAATTACTTGAGAATTAGAACACGCGTGCTAACATAATTTGCACTGATTTTAATTAATGACTGTGATATGCATATGTCTATACGTATGAATTACCTTGTTTTCTAAGTCAGTGGAAATTCCTAGAAAACAGGAGAAATAAGGCATTTTTGAAAACACTAGGTCTAGACTCTTGATTCAACTTCACAACTAATTGCCAAAAACACTGTTTTATTTGTTCTATATGCCTGTACATTACTCTTTATTCAACTAACTTAAAAGCAGATTACTCACTTCGATAATTTTAAAAATGATTTTTCAAGCATTTACCAGAAAGTCCAGTGATGCTCTCATAGTAATGTGAGGCTGATTGAGGTTGCTGCTGTGAGTTGAAAGGGTCAGTAAAAGATGGACTGAGAGGGCTGGGTTGCTGCTGAGCGACTACAGCTACCGATGCGAGCTGAAGTTCATATAATTGTGTTTGTAATTTCGTTACTTCTGCTTTGAGTTCCTGTCAAAGAAAGACCAAGACACTGTCAAACTATGCTGTGCACACACGACTATGGCAAACATGAGACCAACAAGAAATCACCTCATTTTCTTCAGCAAGTTTTTCCTTTTCTAATCGCGCTATTTTGGCCATGGTTGCCTGTTCATTGATTCTCCTCTGTGCTTCCTCAAGCTGTTTCTGAAATGACAGGCAAGGGTTAAAGGAGTAGTTTGGTGAAATTTTTAATTTATGTGATCTTCCACTTACCCCAAATGCAGTCGATCAGCCAAGACATGTTTGGTGACAAAACCTTGCTTCATTAGTTTAGAACTGCACTAACAAGTCTAATGTTGCTAATGAACACTGAATGTCAGTAGTGCAAATAGTGTCAATACATGCCAAAAAACATCTCTCACCACTAAAAAAAAACTTCTACATGTGGCTAAAATAAGTGGAAGCAATTTAGGATAACCAAAGAAGAATCACTTCTTTCAGTGTTTTTCCATGCAAGACAGGGCTAAAGGAATTTGCGGATGCACTGTAGAATAAAACAGGTAGAGAAGCACATTAAGTGTAATCAGAAAATCAATATAATGTCCTATTAAGTATTTGAGGACCATATTTTCTGCACAAATGAGCCTGACCATATATAAATGTAAACCCATATACAAATAAGATATAATAATATATATGCTCATATACATAATATACGAAGAAATGCTTCAGTTGGATGCTGGACCCACTTATTTGCACGGAGCTATACAACAAAGACTGAGGGAAAGTAAACAGCACTTGCTTTGGATTCACTTCTTTGAGGTGTCATTCGTAATATGTACTTGGTATAGCTGTTTGTCTGCATAATTGGGAAATCAGTGGTAATATACCAGATCTTTTAGTTCTCTTTTTGTAAAATGGAACACAACAAATTTTTGTGGGTTTATTACTATTTAACTCAGTTACAGTAAGCAAGCATTAGTTGTTACTGTGCTAATGCTACATACCAGCATAGAGACATTTCACAGCACAACCTGGTACTCCAGCCTACCGGAGTCTGAAGGACGTTATGCAAATGATAACGTAGTTCCAACTTTAGCTTAAATGTGTAAATAAGGTCTGCCCATGCCATTTTACCAAATTCTGTTTTTCTAAACAGGTTTACGTAGCTTACTGACGTAATGCGAAGCAAATATATGAAGATTTCGACACGTATTTGTGGAAACGGTTTTGGTGACCAGTGTTTCTAAGCACCATTAGCCTTACAGTTCCAGACGAAAAACTTACAGACACCAAACATGTCTTGGCTGACTGACTGCATTTGAGGTAAGTAGAAAATGTAAAATTGTTTTTTTGCTGAACAATTCCTTTAAAGTGGTCGTTCTGTCAAACATGAAGTTATGGTTTTAGTTTGCTTTTTTAATTTTGTACTGGGGCCACGAGGCTCAGTAATTAACAAGTAATGGAAACTTATACTCCAGGAATTACCAACTAAATCATCAAACATGCCTCAAACCACACCCATATGTTAAGTAAAATAGACTTGCATATCTCAAAGAGAGTCAAGTGGTGGCTACAAGTTTACATTACTTGTCAGCTACATTAGTCTTACAGCTCTAGTGCCAAACTAAAAAAGCAAACCTTAGACAGCAAACATGTTTTTCTGATTCTTTGGAGTAAGGGGAAAATGGGCAAAACATTTATTTCAGGCCAATCCAACGTGTTAGACAAGATAAAGGTAATCAAGAGGTTTTGATCACCAAAAAAAAAAAAAAAAAACACCTCCATCTGGCTGCTGTCCACCTTCCGCTCCTTAGTCACTGTCATTTGCTCAAGCTGCTCCTTCAGCTGTCTCAGCTCCAGTTCAGCTTTATCGGCACGTCTGTTTGCCTCGTTGCTGTTCGCAATCTCTTTGCGTAGCGTCCCTCTGGCTTCTGTCAGCTGCTTCAGGACGGTCTGAATCTGCACCTATAACATTTCATAGATTACTGGATCTTTTTCCACAAAAAATCCCAATATTAGCAATCAATAATATACTGACCCTTTAAAGGGACCTTTACAAAATAATACAAATAAATCCTGAAGCTAACCAGAAACTTCTGCGTGCACAGTTTTCCAGACGTTAATTTTCACACCTTTGTATTACTTTTGTCCCCATCAGAGGGTCCCTGTTCTGATAAGCTTGCACGTAAAGTCTTGTTCTCGCCCCGCAGTCCCTCCACCTCCCTCTTCATTTCCATCAGCTCCAGGATTTCCGCATGCAACCTTTCATTCTCTTTCCGGCTACTTTGTACGTCAACCTAAAACAGGAAGACAGAAATCATACAGGAAACAATGCCATCTTTAGTGAGGAAAAAACATATTGTCCTGTAACTGGATTAAAAAAAAAGGCTGAGTTAACATGACGATATTGTCAGACCTGCAGCAGCTGGACATGATCTTGCAGTCTGTTAAAATCCTGCTCGTATTCTTTCACCTTGGGCCTCAACCTGCAGGGACATAGCAGAGAAAACATCTTATAAGAAACCTTAAAAAGAATGGGAAATTACTCAGAATGTTGTACTCTAAGGTCCCATCAATGGACTCACACTCATGATTACATACGTGACACAGTAGTTACTGAATAAGTCATAGTTGTTAATGGATAATAAGCCTTAAGATTAATAACTGAATAATGAGCTTAGAATTTAAGGGGCTGCACTATGTAAAAGTTTACTGATATGGTAACTCTATCAGACTTAACATATTTTTAGTAATACATTCAGATACTTCGACTTAGTCTCCTTTAAGTATGTCCTCAAAATAGCTGCATGTATTTCCACATTGAGTAGTACAATGGATCAGCATGTGGAATTGGAGGTTTTTGTCTGTCACTATAAAAAACGTAGCACAATTCTGTCCTTATTACTGGGTGGTCTGTGATAGTTTAACAAAAAAATCCACGGGTGTTTCTGTCTTTTCATCCCCTGTGAGAAGAAAACTCTTGCTCTTACTGAGAAACGTTAATAGAAAAAATGTAGAGAATTTAAAAAATGGACTGACCACTCCAGAGTCCAGACTTATACAGCACTGAATGTGCTTGGGATTACTTGGACTGTGAGAAGCAAAAAAAAATGCAACCAATATCTAAATCTGAACTGTGGAGGTGTGGAAAAATATCCCTACAGATTTCTTTGAAAAACCAAAAGTATTCCAAAACAATGGAAGCTAATAAAAGGCAAAGAGTGGACACCCCAAATCCTGAAAAAATGATGATATGTTTAGTTGTTTAGATTTGTATGTAAATATTTTCTGTTAAATATGTGTTTTCTGCCTTTTTTTTGCTGAAAATGAATAACTTGTCCTTATTTGCCCTTTTGACTGGAAAATAAGTAAATGAAGGGTAGTCTCTGACTTTTGAACAGAACTTTATAATCTTATTCATGTTTCCTTGTTTGAAAAAAATGTTTTAAAAATTCAACAGCAGCTGTTTGCTAAGTCATGGTCTTAATTTAGTAAAACGAATCATATGAAAGGAGCAGACTGAAAGGCAGAAATAGCTGCTTCTTGTGAATGTGTTAAAGGGTTAAAGCTCACTGTGAAATCTCAGCTTGCTGGGCTTCGAGCTGTTCCTTTAGCAGAACTTTCTCGTCTTTCAGCATGAGGATCTTCTGCACAGCTTTATCATACTTGTCTTGGAAAATGGTCAGTGACTGCAGAGCACAATCGAATAAAAAATGAGAACACAGCATTTATCCATATGTTTACAGTGATTCAAAAACAACAATACACATGGCTGCACATGCAGTGTTGTTGTCGGCACCTCCTGTTCCTGTTTGGCTTCGTTTTCAGCCACTGTGTGGGAGAGAAGCTGCTGCTCTTGGGTGACCTGTTCAACACTTTCAGGCTTCTGCTCATTTGGTGGTAGCGTTTCAGATGTACTGTCTGACTTCAGCTTATCTATGTGCGTCTACAGGATATGAAACCACAAGTACCTCAGTGACAGTGTTAGATTCAGTTACACAACTCAAAAACAGCAAAATAAGGATGAAGAACCAACCCTGAGATGGTGAATTTCATGCAACCTTTCCTCCAGCTCCTTTTTCAAAATCAGATTTTCTTCTTTCACTTGTTCCATCTGAGTCAATAAATCCTTTTTCTCCTTCTCCATCTGCTCTGCTTGTTCCTGTAGCCACAACCATACATGATTCTTAATGAATACAAAATATTCTGTTACTGTACCACACTCCTAAAAATAGGGGTTCTTAAATGGTTCCTGGCTTGAATGTATGGCTCTAGAACCAAAAGTAGCTCTTCTATGGCAGTGGTTCCCAACCCCGGTCTTGAAGTACCTCCTGCCCTGCACATTTTAGTGTTTCCCTGCTCCCAACACAGCTGATCCAACAAATCAACTCATTAACAAGCCCTTCATGACTTGAAATGGGTGTGTTAGAGCAGGAAAACAATAAACGTGCAGAACAGGAGGTACTTCATGACTTGACTACCATAGAACCTGTTTTCTACAGTATGACTCCAAAGAACCTTTTTGACATGTGTTTAAATAAAGAGTATAGAGTAAGAATGTGATTTCCAAGTGAACATGGAATGCTGACCAGCATGCAATACGCAGTAAAATTTCACAGTATGTAAAATGTAAAAATATAGTCCACAAAACAAGATGTGTGAGACAGGTGTGGGCAAAAATATACTTTGTATGTGTGTATATATGTATATATGTATATATATGTATATATATATATATATATATACATACAAAGTGTATTTTTTTATATTTTCTATATATATATATATATATATATATATATTTTGGAAAAGTGTGAAGATTTTTTCACAATACATAACAACCACCACACTATTTAGTTTTTTTGAGGTTTGAAAAATTGAAACAGGGAAAAAAAGAGTCTGTGGTGCCACATTTCAAAAAATACTATCAAAAACGGATGCATTGATCCTTAATTATTATTTCCCATTCCAACGTCTTTACAGCAGAACTGATGGACAATGTTTATTAACCTTTAATGAAACCAAAGCTCACATTATGTTGATTATAAAGTAAAAACATGAAACACACTAGTGCATCCAGTTTATTAGCCAAAATTACAATATTAAATAGGCTATTGGTTCTTCAATGAGCCAAACTGGCATTTTAAATTCTTAAATAAAAATCAGTTGCCTATTTTAATAACATTAAATAAAGTGCTTCATCAAAAGTAAGAGGTAATTGGCTATTTGCACAATGTTACGCATAAATAAATTGTAAAATTTTGGGTTAAGGTGTAGCAGCAACATTTAAATACAGTGAATGTGCACCTGCCTCATGTTATTTACACTATAAACATGCAAAGACATTGGCTTAATAAAAAATAATAAATTGGCCAATCTGGAGCAAAAATCGATTTTAACATACTATGAGTTTCACATACTGCACTAAACGCAATTAAACAGGCCTAATTTTGCTCTTGCTGTAGTGAAACATGCAGCTGTTTAGTGTTCTTTAACTACTGAAGATCCATTATCTGCTCAGAAAAGAGACAGCAATAAATATCAACATACTGCCCACCCCAGGTGTCAGATGGCATTTGTACCTGCCACATGTAGGATGTGTGGGTAAGTGTACCTGTGTTGTGATGACCAAAAGGCTGCAGTCTAAGCTTGATTCTGCTGGGTTTTGGAAGCAGAACGGTGTGCTGGCTCCTCTGACCTGACCACTGCTGTCCACGTAGCAGAACTGATAGAACTCCCCATCATCCTTAGGAAGGTAGTATTCTACAAGACCAGACACAGATAAACAGTAAAGCTATGGCGTCTCTCTCTTGTGACTGCTGCGGATGACTCAGCAGCACCTTAACAGGTTCAAGTACTTGTGTAACTGCACAACTATTTGTGATGCCCCACCCTAACAGCATCTAGCCACTGGCTCCAAACACATCACCATCTGCCAAGGAGATGGCAGGTGGTGGGAGACCAGATTCTTAATGAGGTACAAATTACATCACAAGACCTAGTTTAGGATCCCTGGACATGTGATGTGTAATTTACTGGAGCAGACTGACTCTACTTATGTTTACTGCAGATAAATCACAACATTAACTACTCACTTTCTTTAGTAAAGAAAATGGTTCTATATAGAACCGTGAACACTCAAAGAACTCTTTGCATGATTAAAGGGTTCTTTGCATTCAGATTGCTGGAATGTGCTGTAGATGGTCCTAAATAGCACCAAAACAGGTTCTGCTATTGTTACTATGTCAAGCTTGTCACAATATAAGAACCTTTTTTGGTGGTTTACAGAACCCATTTCAAAAAGGTTCTATATAGAACCATCTACAGCACAATCTTCATCAATCTGAAGAAACCTTTCACGATGCAAAGAACCCTTTAATCAGGAAAAGGGTTCTATGAGTGTTCATGGTTCTATAAAGAACCATTTATAGAAGAACCATCATTTTTAAGTGTGTACTGAGGTCCATTAACACGGGTCTAATATTTAGTATTTAAGCATAATCCACTCTCTTACCATCAAAGACAACCTGTAGTTTAAGGGGCTCAGCTCCATCATGGTCCACAGGAGGTTCCACCCATACGTAGCTGTGGTATTTCTGAGTTGAACTCCAGCCAACCTAGACATGTAATGTACAGGCCATACGTTAATACGGATAATATGGGAAATATGGAGTTTTACTAGAAGTGGGTGATGTGACAGTTTGTTAATTATGTGATATATTACATCACAGTTTGTTTTTAGAGTATCATGGGTATTGACAGTATTCCTAGTACACTGAGCAACTGTATGTATCATAAAACAGACAGATTTAGACTGAATACAGAGAGCTCTACACAGCAACCATGGCATAGCAACAAGTCAGCCCATTATATTACATTTTACTATATTACTATTTTATTGGTTTATTTTTACCAATTGTCTGATTGTTCTTCCTGTTCCTTAGTTTTACAAATGTTAATTTGTTTTTGTTAATTTGCTTTTGTTAATTATTTTTTTGTCAGCTTACAGACTTTTCCCAGTCACCCAGTCTTAGTGGATATACTGGTATAAAATGATGAGGAAAAAGTATAAGCTGAGGGAACAAAACAGGAAAAATTATGAACAAATCTCAAAGCATAAAATCACACAGAAGGTGATCCACCTTAAATACGCCGATCCAGTCCTTAGAGCTGGGGTTCAGTCCTCCGGTCACAGTGTAGCTGCACTTCACTGAAGTGTTCGGCGGATACGAGTGAGGAACATCCATAAAAACAACCTGAGAGAAGCAGGAGGACTCCATATCCAGAGTAATCCGATCCTCTTCTGTACTGTCGTTCATTTTCAGTCCGGAAATAACACCAAATTTACCTGGAATACAATAAAATCACCTGTCACAACTCAGAAGCTACTGATTTACACATACCGATTACAGTTAAGTTAGGTGAAGAACTTCAAACAGTAACTGAGAAACTCAAACACAAGATGTCTGACTTTAACTACGAGCCCCAAAAACGAAAGTCTAAAACCAAACAAGCAAAACAAGTTTCACTTTCACTCCTATCTCACTCGTCCACTTACTGTGGAGAAAAAAAAATCGAATAAAATCACTCTCAGCTTGAGAATAAGATTTATTAAGGCTGTTATGTCATTATCTTACGCTAGAACAGATAACAGGTCGACTATTTACGTTAAAAATGCTAATAAACTAATAAACAATAACTCGGTTACCGACATCCTATAAACTCGTCAACATCCTATAAAAGAAATACACTATTTACTCCTCAGTAATCTCTTCTACAGCTCTGATATCAAACCGAGACAAACTTCCATAAATAACCGCGTTACCTGAACCGTTTGGTGTCGCAGCCACTCGCGCTGTGAGCGTTTACAGTCCCACTCTGTGGCGTTTAACGATGGCGCCAAGCATGCTGGGAACTGTAGTTCTGACTGACACCGGCGACGCCCGCCGCACAGGTTAGCGTACTAATGGCAAAAGGTTTTAGCTTTTATTTCACTGTTTCTTTATATTACAAATTCAATTTGAACAAGTAAAAATGTAAAAAATAAATAATTAAAAAATCTGAATTGACAAACATGCTAACATGTCAAAACTAAAAAAAATACTAGCAAGCATTACATTGTAGCATGTAGTTTCACTTCTCAGTAGTAAGCATTTGACTTTTCCCCAATTCATTTTAATGAGGAACAATTCTTACGAGTATAAATGTTATTTTACCACGTTTAAATTATATTCACAAAAATAAAAACTTCATTTTGACGTCACATTAAATAAAATATATATGAATGAAATTTTACATACTAAAATGTAGTTCCTATTAGTAAAAATCTAACTTTGACATCTGAATTTGAGTCTTCATATATTAAATTTAATATTTTTAAAAATACTAATAATATAATCAGAATATCTGGTTGTGGATTAAAAGCTAAAACAGCTTTCCATAAGAATATGGCATCCAAACACACTTCACATAGCTTTGTTTTAGTTTTATTATATGTAAAATGAGTGACATACAATTAATTAATATAACAGTTTAGTGTAAGATATATTTTATTTAAAAACAATAGTTCTACATTAAAATAACTGGGATCAGACAGTTCGGTACAAAATGACACCAGATCATGCCCCAACAATACTGCGCTCTCTCTGATCTTACCCTCCACTAAACGTACTGAGAAAGCACACAATCATAACTCACTGAAGCACTGAGCCAGAGGCACTTGAGAGTAAGTTACTGTACATATGAAAAGTTGCTGAAGCCCAAATGAATCACCTACAGCATCTTTCTCAGTGTGTTTCCCTTGCAATTAAGTTATGAACAATTTCAGCTTCCTAAAGGCAGTTCTAGGTAGTGGCTCTGGCTATATGACTAAATGGAGCTCTATGATGTTATCTGAGAAAATAATATGTTATGACATGAGCAGTAATAATTATTTCCGGATCAGATACTGCAATATAAAAGCAATAAAAAATTAGTATATATACAGAGGTGTGGTGGCTGATCATCTCAAGAAATTTCAAGTCTTGAAACAGCATCCTTCTCAACAACTCACGAAACAATACATATTAACACCGAGAAACATTTAACACATTGAGATAAAAGCAAATAGCTCTAATCTCCAATAGTGAGTTTATCTGGTGTATTAAGTGTTTATATATTAAGAATTTGCTTTATCATTTTGGGTTTCCTGAGAACTCTGGTTTTCTAGAGTCAATGTTACTTGATAAGTACTAGTTTTAAGAAGATCCAATGTGATCATAGTGCAGCACAATGTTTAATAAAAAAAAATGAATAAATGAATGTGTGGCTGCAATTCAATATACAGAAAAAGCCATTGTATTAGACTATTAACACTTAATTCTGAGTAACTTTCTCAGCTGCAACAGTAGATGAGTAGAGGATCTGGAAGAGGTGAATAAACTATGGACATATGAAGATATGAAGAAAACACTGGAAAAAGAGAGAAAAGAATACATAAATTAATACAATAATAATAATAATAATAATAATAATAATAGTAGTAATAATAATAAAGTAGAGCTACACAACTCTGACAAAAGGTAACACATCCGCTACAGTAAACAAACTTAAATAGGGCATTTTTTGCAATTATCACATTTATTTGCGGAGCTTTAACAGACTGGAAAAAAATACAACAAAAAATAAAAATGTGCCATAACTTTTGCACGTCACATTATATATCTAGTTTTCCGCCCAGTATGTTAAATTTAGCAGGTAAGCAGTAACTGTGTATCAAACAGTGCAGGCGTGTGTTCTTTGTAGAGGATGCATTAAATTAGAAACAAGAAAATTGTTTTTATATTATATATGTTTTTAACCATGTAGCAAAGTAAATATTTACATGTGAAACCCTACTTTAAAAAGTACTGAACTCACCTCAGCTCAAACTAGCAATCAGGGCAATGGCTATTATCAAAATTAAAATTATACAGCATATTGCAATCCACATCTTTTTCTGAAAAAACAAACAAAAGAAATGAGTGACAACAGCATCTTTACAGTTGGATATGTACATTATTTGTATGTACGCAAACATCACTGACAATTTACTATAACCAACCTTCCAGCTTCTCCTGTCAGAGACAACAGCTTCCGCAGTTTCTGCAACAGCTTTCTCCACATAGTTAGAAGAGTTAATGATGTTGTTCTCAATACGATTAACCATCTCACCCTGCAGGCAAAATTCAATGAAGAAGGTGGGATGAAACTGAGCACTCGCCTAAATTCTTCTCCCAAACACATCAGCCTCCAAATTTTCAGACCTTTTAAGATTTTAGTATTTTTATTTTTATATAAATCTACTATTTATATAAGAATATACTAGTATACTGTTAACTGTTTACTTACAGTATCATTATGTACATTTCTTAGCAAATCAGAACTTATTAACCCCATGTTTTATTATTTTTTTTTCCTCTTTCCCTAACTCACCTGTGCCTCAACCTCCATGGCGAGGTACTGGAACATGTCATGAAGGTCTCTGATGCTTCTTTCCAGTTTGAGAATCTCATCATGCCGTGACTCAATTTCATTCAGTGCCTGCTTGGTAGCTTTTGCATCTGTTAAGATCTGTAGAAAAATCCCATTAACTAGTGTCAGTAATATGGCATGTAGCCACTTCCTATACTGACCACAACATAAATGAAGGTTATTAAAGGGCCCATATCCTACATTTTTTCTTCTATTTTATTTTTCCCCCCTGAGGCCCACTTGTGTATGTGGCTTCATGCATGATATATACTGAATTTTTACATGGCTAGCTGCCAACCTCTCTAAAGAGGCTGTTTTTGTGCTTCTGACAAAGAAGCAGCCGGACTAAAGCATTCCTTATAACTTTAGAGTGAATGAGCGGAGCTCACCTGCTGTAGGCTGAATAAGCAGGTATATATAAATACACTCATTGTTATGACATCACAAAAAAGTGCATTCAAAACAGGCTTTGTGCAGGTTAGTGCAAACGGTGCATTTTTGAAGTTTCATAGTGTTTACATGCCACATCATTTTTTTTAATAACAGATAAACTTTCCATGATATGGGTCCTTTAACAATATGTCTTTTCTTTTTATTTACATTTACTTTTTTTAATGTGGGGTGGAGGAGCACACTGTGTGTGTGTGTGTGGGGGGGGTGGTTGGTTATACTTTCTGACATACAACACATGCCAATGTCTAAATACAGGATGTAAGATGATGAAAAAACAAACAAAAAAACAAATAAAAACTTACGGATATCAAGGTTCATGAAAAGGGGAACGATGTAATTATGAGACTCATATTAATAAGTTTTCATTTCTGTTTTTACAGTTTCTAAGGGAAGTCAACGGCAACTACAACTACAAGGTTGAAATGTTTTAAAAAGAAAAGTTTTCATTATGTAAATGATCTTACCAAATCAATTCTCACTCCATAGAAAGCAGGAAAGAGTACATATCATTAACTGTTTACAGTGAATCACTCAAATAACTACAATGGCAGCAAACTACTTTGAAGTCAACCAGATAACTTGAGTCAAAAGTCAAGTTTGCCTAAGAGCTCAGACATTTTCCCATTGTGCAAAACTCTTTTTGGGCATAAATTATCCATATTTACTGAGGAATCCTGCTTTGCAAAATGCCCCTCAGATGATGTCAACATGTTCTATCTGTGTATAAAAACAGCTATAATCTGGAAGAGACTGGATCAAAATCAAATCATGTAACAACTAGAGATGCAGAATTGGAATCATCCAAGATTGGAATCAGCAGATTTTTTGGTCCAAACATCAGCACTCAGTCATTTTGTTATTTTTATTTTGGCCAATCTGTGTTGCAATATTATGACGTAAATAACATGAGGCAGGTTAGTGCACTCACACTGTCTTTAAATGCTGCTGCTGCTACACCTGTACCAAAACACTGTAGCAAGTAATGCATGATTCATCGTGCAAAATAGCCAGTTACCTCTTACTTTCAATGTATTACTTTGTGATTCATGTTAGATGTCATGTTAAATAGACAACTTATGTTTCATTTAAGAATTAATGGGTCCAAGCATCTTATTTGTTGCAACTTTGGCTAACAGAGAGTACTGGAAATGCAGTACTGTGTTCGTGTTCATTTAGCCCATCAATCAGCCAAAAAAAAAATTTATTAATAAATACGCCTAGTTGGCTTAAAAGAAAACTGAATCGGCCATAAATATTTACAACTGGTGCATACCTAGTAACAACCATTCTGAAATTATAACTACTTTAACTAAAAACTAATCAAACTTCCCCAGTGCTCTCAATTTCACCTCTGTCTATTTAAAAACCTCATACTGAAACCTGCAAAATTCAACTTGAAACAGGCAACTTGAAAAGCCCAACAAAATCAAATAAAAAAACATTATAACTGGAGCTTAGGCTGTGGCTTCCTGAAGACTGTATTAATACTAGCAGCAGAAATACCATTATAATGCACTCACGTTTTGTGTGAACACATCGGTCTGTCCACTCTCAAGCATTGACTCTAGCTCCTCATCGGTCACATTGTTGCCGGCTGCCATGCAAAAAAGATGATCAGGATCTTGCACCTTTTTATTTCACAGAGATTCAGCATGACTTCCATGCAATGGACCCAAATATTCAATGTCACACTGGAAGACAATAAGCTCTACGATTTGTTATCTCAGCAAATAAATCAGATGCTATAAAGTTAAGCTATCATATTTGTCTATACAATACTAATGTCCAGCAATCTTGGCAAATCTCACTCTCAAGTTACTACTTTTGTGGGCCAACAACTGCTTGCAAACATGAAAACTCTTTAGCAGTAAAAAGGATGACATGTTCAGAAACAATCCCCTGTAGCGGGGTCCGGCAGCATCGGTCCTAGGAGAAAATGAATGATTTCAACATGAAATCCTGGTGCACTCTGACACTAAAATACAAGGTTAACTGCTGTGGAATTATTTAGTTCAACAATGATGTAAATACAACTGTCCAGCTTTCTAAAAATTTTCACTTTTGTAAAAATTTGATACTTACCATATCGAGGTCAAAAGGCCAGTAATTCACAAACATCAGTTTTTGGCCCAACATCAATTATAAATCAAGACCATTCTAAACACTTTGCCATTTGGAGACGGCCGCTAACCTCACATAGCAGTTGTGACAGGTTCAAAAAACTTTCTATATCAATGTTAATTAAAAATGATCACGTTTGCAGACATGTAGTAGTTAGCGATGCACCAGTTCATCCTTCTTCAGATATGAGTTTTGTCATAACCATTATGCCAAAAATATGCACAGATAATGCGACATAAAAGCAGTGCAAACAACGCTAAGGTTAGCCTGTTTAGCTGAGTGGCTAAGTCATGAATGTTTGTCATGTTTCAAATGTTAATGAAAACACATCGGTCCCTCAATTACTTCCCACTGTCTGGTACGTTGGATCTGAGATAGTCCACTTTATTTTTGAGGCAGAGAGCATAGAAATGGTTGGTCTTTTGGGGTCAGCCGTAGTCATTCTGAAATGCCAGGAAACTTGAATAACCTTTAACAAAATCTTCTGCAGCAATTTTTTATTGAAATGCAAAAATCCGAACCTGCATGTAGACAAACCTCAATTCTTTAAAACCATTATTTGAAGGACATTTCTTAATGAAATGAGAGAAAAAATACTCACTGATTTTGAGTTGTCTCTGTATCCTCTCCACATTTCTGTCTCTGTACCAGGCCTGAAGTGTGTTACAATTGCCCATCACCTCCACAAAATCACGGGACAAGACAGCGTGCTGGGAAACAAAGAGAGTCAAAGGAAGTCTGAGTAAACTTCCAACAGAGATGTAAATAAAACCACTTCAATCTGTAGAAATTATACAGAGCGTATAAAGAATATCTCACATAACTAACCTGTGTTCTTTGCATTCTTGTATTGATAGGAACATATTTCCCATCTTCATCTGTTTTTTTGGGTTCAAGACCTACAAAAAAGTTGTCATTTGACTGTTCACTGGAGTTTATTCAAGCAGAGTTAAATTTTATTTTAATATTTGAATTACAATTCTTACTTTTCAGTTTCTTGTGGATCTGGCTAGCCAGTACTTTGATCTCATCCCGAAGGACTTGAAGCTCCTTCTTCATATCTGAAGCAAAAAAAAAAAAAAGGAAAACTTAAAAAACAAGGCACAGCTTTTTATAATTCATTTCTGATCTCTAATTATACATGCTGATCATATTAAACATTTGGATCTGACGTGAACATGGTTAACTTTCAATACGTTAAAATGAAAATAATCTGCCAAAACAGGTTGATTAAAAAATATATTTGTTATTAACTGTCATCTGGGAGTGCCACCCCTAAAACAGTTTTCTGCTTGTTCTCCAGTTCAGACACTTTCTTCTTAAGCGTTTCAAGGCCCTCCCGAATCTCTTGGACCTGTAGGGCAAGATGAATATTTTTACAATAAAACAGCTGAATATAAAAAAAGTATTTAAAAAATGAGAATCAGGAAAACGTCAGAGTAGGCATTATAAGTCAACCTCATTATACTTCTAACCTGTCAGAAAACACAGTCAGGTCTGTTAGTATTTGGACAGTGACACAATTTCTGCACACCACGGCAATGGATTTTGAATGTCAAGATGTGACTGAAGTGTAGACTTTCAGCTATAATTCAAGGGGTTTAATAAAAATACTGCTTTCTTTAGAAAATAATTTTTTATAACCCCTCTATTTTCACTGGCTCAAAAGTATTTGGACAAACCAACATAATTATAAACACAAGGAGTATTTTTATTACTTGGATGCAAATCATTTGCAGTCAATGACTGCCTGAAGTCTGGGACCCATGAACATCACCAAATGCTGAATCTCCTCCCTTGAGATGCTTTGCTAGGCCTTTACTGCTGTGAAGCACCATGCTGTCAGTTTTGCAGCATTTGAGAATGCTCCACTGGCAGCCATACATGCCCATGCCATAACACTGCCTCCACCATGTTTGGCATAGTGTGTTACGCTTCAGATCATGAGCCCTTTCTTTCCTTCTCCATACTCTTCCTGTCATTCTAGTACAAGCTAATATTCGCTTCATCTGCCAAAAGAGTCTTGTTCCAGAACTGGGCAGGCTTTTTACGCATTTTCTAGCAAGGTCTAATCTGACTTTCTGTTCTTGGGTGTTACCAGTGGTAACCTTGAGGTAAACCCTCTGTATTTAACATTTCTGAAGGTATCTCTTGACTCTGACAATGATACGCCAACCTCCTTTAAAATGTCTTTGACTTGACTAGACGTTGTGAAGAGGGGTTTTCTTCACCACGGTACGAATTCTTCATCCACTTTAGTGGTCTTCAGTGGTCTTCCTGAGTTATTGGTGTTGCTGAGTTCACCAGTGAATCCATTCTTTTAAAAAAAAAAAGTATCAAATTGTTGCTTTGGCCACTCCTAACGTTTCTGCTATCTCTCTGATGGGTTTGTTTTGGTTGTTCAGCCTAATGATTGCCCCCTTCGCAAACATCGACACCTCTCTGGACTGAGATTTCCAATGAACAGCTACCAAATGCATATTCAACACCTAGAATAAACTCCAGACCTTTTATCTACTGTATTTGTCATGAAACAATGAGGTGACAGGCCACACCCGACCATGAAACTGCTTAGCAGTGAACTGTCCAATTACTTTTGAGTCTGTGAAAACGAAGGGGTTATGTAAAAATTGCTGTAATTCTTAAATGGTTGCAATATTTTTGTTAAACCCCTTAAATTAAAGCTGAAAGTCTACACTTCAATCATATCTCGACTGCTTAATTTCAAATACATTGAGGTGTGGTACAGAGGCAAAATTACAAAAATTGTCACTGTCCAAATATATATGGACCTGTGCCTTTTTTGTGCCCATAACTAAGGAGCAATGTTTCTGACCTATGGCTCACACAAATAAATTTAACACCTTTTTTGATTTGCCTGTTTTTATTGGGAAACAGTAAATTGAACAAAATGTGTGTGGAATAAGGCTCTACACAGCAGATGAACCGAGGAAAGGTCAGAAGTGACAGTTTCACCTTTTTAAAGAAAATCTCATTTTCTTTGTCCTCCTTCCCTGAGGTCCCTGTGCCAGGTTTTACCATGAGCGCTGTGCCCTCCTCATCTTCATCTGAACCCTCCGCAGGCTGGAGTGGACGTGTGAAAGCATGGGGGACAATTTAAATCATATGAAATTTTACACGTGTTAAACATACACAAACACAGTAAGTTACAGAGGTGGCAACAAGCAAAACCGTCAACCAACATTAAACACTGGGACACAAGGTCTTAAACGGATGTGAAACTTCTGTGGCAACTCAGCTCAGCGTGACTATTTTCTATTTTCTTTCTTACAAGACATGGCTACATGTGATTAGAACTCTGGATGTAACGTTACAAACTATACAGTTAGAAGAAAGCAGGCAGACAGGCACTGAGAGGTCAAAAGCACATTCTCTAACGGTACCTCACCCAACCCCTATGTTAGCTTGCTAGCTAACCTAGCTAGATTAACTAGCTTGCTATATATACAGAAACGGTACTTGTATCTTCCAGTGCCCGTCTATTGCTATTTGCGTAGACATATTAGACATACTAACACTTTATGAAAAAGATGTGCAATAAAACGTACAACAGTGTCATATTAGCTCCTCGTTTGCAGTCACATCTGACAAACACAACTACAAGCTAACCTGCTAACTTCACTGACAAACTTTGGCCAGCTAGCTAGCAGCCCCCGCTAACACGCTACATTAGACTCGCGAGTGTCTGAGTTAACTTACATTTCCCAGTTCTTTGGTTCGGTCTCGCATTCTTGCTCCGTTTCTAAAAGCTTTCTAGAGGCCGAGTCACTTCATCTAACACCTAAACTTTGTTGACAACAACAACAGGAGAAGGGAGTTTCCATTCAAAGTCGGTCACCACAGTTGTTCTTCCTCAGGGTTTAGTATATCCACCATTAAAGGCGCATCATCTCCACCTACTGAGCCTCTCGTCAACTTCTGCTGCAAACTATGCAGCTTAAGACAAAATGTTGAAACATATACACGAGAAACCCACAGTCACATAGTTAGTAGAGAAAATCAGAGTGCATGTAATCTCTTTGAATAAAACAGGCGGTGTTTGTTTATGTTAAAGATTATTTACTCTATTGTTCAAAAACAGGATGAGTGGGCGAGGCTAAATGACTGTGGATAGATTATGTGTAAATTGTGTTGGTTTTTGTGACATCGTAAAAACTATGAATTCAAGACAGGCTGTTTTTACAGCTAAGTTGTGGTATATAGACTGAATAGGCTCAGAGGTGAATGGTCTGAAACGTACATACTACATCAAACTCTTTCATGTCAATAAAATGATAAAGTTTTATTGTTTTCATGACATGGACCCTTTAATGCAACTTTTATTTCGTCTTGTATGACAAGTGTTAAATGTAGTGCTAAATATGAAGATTTTATTTCATTCATTTTAAACCAATAAAAATGAAATAGTTAAAAGTACACACACGCAGAAGCAGTGCACTATTTAATTGATGATTTTTATACTTTTACAGAGATTTTGAAAGTGGCCACTTTAGGAAATGAGTTGACTTAAAAAAAAACATTCAAGTAAGAAAGATAAATGAAAGTACAAACATGCTTGTAGCTTGCTCTACTTCTTGCTCAGAACACATTATTCGCTGTATTGATAATTACAGATGACAGCAGGTGAAGATGTTACATCTTATTTTCTTCATTGCTGTGAGGCCTGAAAATTCCTACTATTGAGGTCTTCCACCTTAAGTTCCCCACAGGCCATACGTCACCAAAAGTAATATATACATATTCATTAAATATAGTATATAAAAAGTTCATTCACAAGCCAGTTTCCCATCAAAGGAGGACAGAGTGATGGCAAATGCTTGCAGTGCACACATGGGGAAGCTGAAGTCCATGGAGAACACATCCTCCGCCACTCTCCCGAACTGCATTACAATGTAATCCTCTGAGCAGAATAAAAGAGAAAAGCAAAAATGACAGGTTTGATTAACACAGAGTTTAAAGAGAACCCTGACTGTTAAGACATGTAAGCCTCAGTATGGGATACATGTCTAGTACTATTAAAATATATAATATAAACTAAGCGAAATACTCAATTTATTGTTAAGAACAGACAAAATCCCTCAACTACTTGCCATTTTTGTTGTGACATCAAACAGTTGCTCTCTTTCTTGTCCACTGAGTGAGGAACAGCTAGTCAATTATCTAATTTAACTCAAATACATCATTCAGTCCAATTTTAGCTGGATTGTGATATTACTCAAGAGAAAAACTAGTAGAAAAAATTTGTCGTTTTTTATATTAAACAAAATATTTCATTTTTTATACATCATATTTTAGAAGTATTATACATTAACAGTGTGTCAAAGCATATACAGTTATTTGTAAAAGTTTGTGCAGTTTTGTTGATTTTTGTGTAATTCAATCAGGGGTGTTCAAACTTATGCATACAACTGTAAGTCTTAACAGTCCCTTTAACACACACACATAACTGTACTGTAGGATTTGTGCCTTCACAGTCAGCCTTATGCATCTATGAAGAGAATATGTTGTTATATGTGTTTTCACCAGCTCACCGTTATCTGGATGAACAATCTGGAAATTCTTCACAGACGCCTGCGTAACTCGGCCATGGAAGTTGAGCACATAAGACTGAGTCTGCTCATTCCAGCTGGGAGACTTATTCACCAGACACACCAGATTCTCAGTGTTTCCATTTTCATAACGGGTAAGCAGAGATTCAAGCTCCTGAGGTAAAGAATAGAGAGTAAGAGTTTGCATATTGTATTAGACTTTTTTGATGTTAAATGACAGAATGAAAAAAACAAAATAGATTCCATCTCAGGACCACCACAGGGCGGGTATTAATTGGGTGGTGGATCATTCTCAGAACTGACGTGGTGGCGTGTTAGTCTGTGTTGCGCTGGTAAGAGTGGATCAGACACAGCCGTGCTGCTGAAGTTTTTAAACACTGACAGTGTCCACTCACTGTCAACTCTGTTAGACAGTCCTACCTTGTTGGTCCACCTTGTAGATGTAAAGTCAGAGACGATAGCTCATCTGCTGCTGCACAGTTTGTGTTAGTCATCTTCTAGTCCTTCATCAGTGGTCACAGGACACTGCCCTCAGGACACTGTTGGCTAAATATTGTTGATTGGTGGACTATTCTCAGTCCAGCAGTGACACCGAGGTGTTTAAAAGCTCCAGCAGCACTGCTGTGTCAGATCCACTCAGACCAGCACAATACACACTAACACACCTCCAAAACCACGTCAGTGTCACTGCACTGCTGAGAATGATCCACCACCCAAATAATACCTACTCTGTGAGGGTCCATGGGGGTCCTGACCAATAAAAGAACAGGGTAAAAGGGGGCTAACAAAGTATGCAGAGAAACAGATGGACTACAGTCTGTAATTGTAGAACTACAAAGTGCACCTCTATGGTAAGTGGAGCTGATAAAGTAGACAATGAGTGTAGAAACAAGGAGATGGTTTTAACAAAGTGGACAAATTAGTCTACAAGGAAACTAAGCTGAAAAACAGCCTGTTTCAAATTCATTGTTTTTGTGATGTCACAAAAACCAACTCATTAACATATATCTGTCTGTTCAACGTTTAGCTCCACCCATTCACTTCGAAGTTCTAAGCAGTGTTTCAGCTCTGAGTGCTTGGTGAATGAGGCTCAATACAGGGCAGCCAATCAATTGGATAATAGTCATATACAAATGAATTGTGACTGTTTTCAGTACATAAAACCACACCAACATTATAAGTGGACCTCAAAGAAAAAACATAAAAGACAAGAAAAATATGAGATATGGGCTCATTAATTTACATAAAAACTGCACTTCTACAGAAGAATTTGTGGTGTTAGGTAGACTTTCACCAATTTTGAAATACTTACACTTTTTGGACGAATACTGACTCGTTCATCATTCTCGTGCATTCCAGGAATGATCACTGTCATTTTTCTGGGGCCTTTAAAGCCCAGTATATTTTTCTCCTGTGTGATAATGAATAAAAACAGTGAGAAATGTATCAGTAAATTGGGTCATCTCTGCACAAAGTGGTCATTTTACTGCAGAATGAGGTTTAAAATAATGTAATCAAACCCTCTAAAGATCTTCATGATCATGTTAACTTACATAACATATTGCTGCAAGCTCTTGTCTAAGTGATTCAGATTCCTTTATAAATGATTTCCTCTCTGGATTCTCTCCGTTATTGTACACAGTGAATTTAGTCCCTAAAACATTTGACCTGAGAGAGAAAATAAATCATTAACAAACATTTCCAGTTATTTTCAGCTGATAAGGTTAGAAAACAGATGGGGTCTTGGGGATAATAACCTAAGTTTGCCTATGTAGCTGGTTGTGTCTCTGGATAAATCAGTAGGATCAATGGAGATCAGATAATTAGACGTTGTGCTTTTCTTCCTTTTTCTGCCAGCCATGAGAAATACCTGAAGATGAAGAAATAAAAAAAGCAATAATATAATTACATATTCAGTGATTAGCAGTTAAAAATGCAGTAATAAAATAGATTAAAATAGAATACATTTTGTTTCAGAAGATTGATGTTGACAATGTTTGCACCTTGAGACTAAGGCTTATGGAACTTTGTGTTGTGAGTTTAGTTCATTTGTATCTATTTCCTGACTGTTATGTGTCATTCAAGGCTAACATAACAAACAAGTTTTTTTTAGAAAACGTGATTAAAATCAAACGTTTCAACTGGAGTGATGTGGGCAAAGTGTGTGTGTGTGGTGATGATTTCACAGGAAGATGATTCATTCAACCACACAGTAGAGACAACAATATAACATTCTGTTTTTTGCTCTTTCACACAATAAAATTTCCCTTCATTTGTTTAACTTCCATTCAAAACAGCCACTAAATACAACTTATTCATTTTTCAGGAGATATTTCTGTGGGGCTCAGATGCATAAGGAAGAAGAGAACAAAAAACAATTAAAAGATGGAGAGAAAATGGGACTCCTAATACGTGCAAGACATGGTAGACCACCAAAATTGTCACTATTAGATAAACAGTGATTAAAGCTTTCATCTTTGAGAGAGACAAGAAAAACAAGCTGCACTCTTGCTTCAGATCTGAAAAAATCCACAGGTGATTCTGTCCGTCCTTCCACTGTGAGAAGAGAACCCAACGCTACGGGTCTGTCTAGCTGGATGTGTAGCTGTCAAGAAGCTGTTACTGAGAAAAGGACCAAAAACAGACCAGTCTAGAGGTTCAATATGACAGCAACCAGTACTAACTCGTCTTTTTCTTCATTCTCTGAAAAGAAGCTTTCACATGAGTTTCGCTCACGTCGATGTCCACCCACAAACACATTCACCACAAACCAGTTTTTGACACATATGAAAAAGTCCTTGTGAATGCAGCCTAATAGAGATAAACTGACATGAAATTGAATTTGATATAAGCTGATATAAGCTTTTCTCTCACCCTCTTCCCATCCTCCTTCTCCATGTGGAGGTAGTATGTGGGGTAGATTCCTTTCTCTATTCCTCTTCTGTCTCTGGTGATCCGACACTGGATAGTTATGTCCCTCGGAGCAGGCCGAAGAGCAAACTGTTCCAAATCCTCCAGAGAGACTGGCGAAGCCTGGAAAAAGAAGGGACAAGCAAGAACAGCAAGATCATATGTGTTTATTATTCAGAAATGAATAACGTTCAATAAATACTTTCATTTACTTTTAGCAAAAATTGGAATTCGCTCATCAAGCAGTGTAGTTTGTTGACAGTAAGCTGTGGCTGCCAAGCAACATATATTGCTCAAAGATTATTCCATGAGCAGCACTGTAATTTTAATAATGTAGAGCAGCAATACAGAATTCAGCTGATGATTGGTCTTCTGTGTGCATGTCAAGATTTTACAAAGAAAAAAAATTTTAGAACCTGAGCTATTAGCTTAACCTTGGTCCTAGAGGTCCACTACCCCACATTTTAGTGCCTTTCCTGCATTAATACATCCTCTTTAATAATGGGCTGTTAACAAGCTGATTGTTTGGATCAGGTGTGTTGGGAGAAGGGAAAACACTAAAAAGTGCAGGGCTGAGAAACACTGGTCTACTACATGTAAAGTCTCACCTTTCCCATGTCTGAACAGTCACTCTCTGAGGAGGACGGCCTGTAGTTAGAGTTCAGTGAAGCAAGGTTGTAGTCATTCTTTGTGCTTTTCTTGGGCTTTTTCTGTGTTTGTACAATCTGCCTGTCATCCTCCTCAGCCTCGTTCTCATCCACACTGTCACTCAGATGGCACCTTGCTGTAGCAATGATAGTAACAATACATACTCATTCACTTCTCCTCAATATACAGTACATAAAAGCAACATGCACTACAAAAACTATTTGTCAGTTCAACCTAAAAAACATCATTGTGGTGGTAACAAGCAATTGAACTGATTTTATTCAACTCCCACAAATACTTTGAGTGAAACAATGCAAAGCAAAGTTTTAGTTTACATAAACAGAAACCACAGATGTCTAACTTAATGGACAAAATATACATACATATATTTGATCATATAAAAAATATATATCCAATATATGTGACCTTTTAAAATATATGTGCGGTGCCACTTCTAAATATTTAAATATATGCTAATTTATGCAGATACATGTCAATATGTTGAAATACATGCATACATGTAGATTATATATGTAATAGAAATTGTGTCAATTTTATATATTTAAAACTGTTATGAAGCATCATTCCTAAATAATGGAAATGAACCAAATGAATGAAAGCAACGGAATCAGTTTGTATTGAAAATCTATTGTAAGTGTCTTTGCAGTGAACAGTTTTTTTGTTCTTTTATAAACATACATGGAAAAACATCAGTCTTTTTTCAATGGCAATCAACTGTGCACTGCAGAGGCAACAGACACTAATTAGGCTGAAAAACTGCTTGAGTATTCCTTTAAGCCTCTTGAGATTGTAGGCCTAAAATAAACCCGAATCACTATAACTTTTAACTCACAGGCAGAGAAATATTGCTTTTTCTTTGGTGTTGGAGGCACTGGGCTCGTCGGCCAGTCCTTTCTGTCATCCTCATCACTTTCTACATCAGCTTTCTTTTCCTCTGTGATGTTGAACTCCACCACTGACTCAATCTGAATTGCTAAACACAGATGGTTAAAATTTAAGTACAATAACAATTTTAACTACAATTTAAAAATCAATACTAATCACTTAAAGTAAGCTGGCTGATAGGAATTACTTGGATCTCCCTCCATTTTCTTTAGTTTCTCCTTAGAGTCATTCTTCTTTTCTTTTTTCTTCACTGTTTTCTTCTCTTTCTTTTCATCTCCTTCTCCCACTTCATCAGGTTTGAGTGCTTAAATAGAACAGAGAACATCAGGCTACTGCACACTCTGTTTATAAATGACATGTTAACTCTAAGTGTCGAACACACTTACGTTTCATCTGAGCTTTTTTCACTCCTGTTTTCTTGGGCTTTTTCCCCTCTGCTTGGCTCTGTGTGTCTGCTGGGTGTTTAGGGCTGAGCTGATTGTCCATATGCAAGTCAATTGTCTTAATGATGAGTGGAACAGGTGAAGGGGTTTCCTCTGATATCACTGCTGTCTGAGGTGAGATGTTCATTTCACCCAGATTAATCTCTTCCAGCACGTTATCATGAGCCTGCTCCAGCAGCGGATCTGACGGGGGACGGACAGCATATTTATATAAAGTCATATGCAAAGGTTGGGCACCCCTGGTCCCAACAAGGAACACCCTTAAATATATACAGTTTTTAACATATTAGATAAAAATATAAATATGGATAAAAATATATAAAATATATAAAATATAGTTTTGCAGATGCCACATTTTATCTTTAACAAACAGCAATTGTGCATTAAAATGTGCAGAAGTGAGCTCTCTGCAGAGAATATGTCAACTTATTTTCACTTGCATTCTTTCATATATTGGCTGTTACCCTTTAAAAAAATTGTTATATCATAAATTGTTACAAAAGAAGTATACACAGCATTTTGGAATTAAACTCTTCATTTACATACTACATTATTACACTATTTTATTAATAAAATTAATTAATTACATTTGGGTTTTATGTGATAAAAACCATTTAGGAAACTTTATTTTTAACAGTCTGGACAAACATTTTGAAAAGTGCCAGTTACAACCAGTAGTTGAGAGTGATTCTGTATGAATGAGTGAGAGAGTGAGCGAATGAGTGAGCGAGTGAGTGAGAATGTCTTTCTTTACCGTTTAGCGAGGTGTTGCTCTGAGACTGGCTGATCAGCAGTGCTGTGTCTTCAGCCCCAGATTTCTGTTTGCGGCTCTTTGGCCGAGCTTCATGATTAGCCGTCATCATCTGAGCATTGGCTCGTCTTTTCTGCTGCTTCTTGATCAAAAGCGTTCGCTGTTTGTATGAACAAACATGTCAGCTGATATTGTGAAATGCTAAAATGTCTCTGCACTCTAACTCTACTCCTCATGCATCATCACACATCTGTGTATCTTCTGCACTGCACTTCATTACTGCTTATCCTGCACTGGTCATGCTTTTTTGCACAATGCTGTAGATTTACAGCAGTACTGAATTGGGTACTGTGGGTACTGTGGAAACAATACTGCAACTGTAAACTACCATCTATGGATTACTGTTATTATAACACTGTAACAGTATCTGTAACTCTTTACTTTATATATATGAGTTTGGTATATGTGTCACACACACACACACACACACACACACACACACACTCACACGCACACTTACACACACACAAAGTATTTCATGCTATAGATTTTTTAAATTCTGTTTTATTATTTTTACCTTACTTACGTGTATATATGAATGTAACACCTATACCAGATTTGTATACCTTAGCAGAGCCGTGAGCTCACACACGCACACATACACACTTACACAAACACATTGTATAGCGTTTCATGCTATACATTTATATTCATGCTATACATTTATTTATTTAGAAAGAAAAAAATGATTTGTGTACTGTAAATAGAAGTTTGATAAAGGTTTCAGTGATTTATCTTGGCAGAAACAAACAAACAAACAAACAAATAAATAAATAAATAACCAATCAATAAGACTTGAAACGGTTTTATCCAGTATTCAAATACAAGAGCCAGATACTAGAGAAGTCTAGAATCTCTACTCACCTGATTGTCAAGCTTCTGCTGGCGGATGTCTTGGTCCTCCATGTCTTGTGTTAAAGTGGTAGGATAGTTTTGTTCAGTCCTCACTGATATGACACAGTCACATACGTCACTACCAACAACAATGACACTTTATGCTCATAGGAGCTCCGGAGGCGCGATTTTAAAAGCACCTGAAATAAAAGGTATGTTTCATTCTTCCTCTCTCTCTCTCTCTCTCTCTCTCTCTCTCTCTCTCTCTATCTCTGCAGCTCCATCTGACTTCTCCACCTGTGTATAACAGAAGGGAAAGAAGATTAGAGAAGATAATGTTCTTACAGTCCGCACAGCCCTGAGACGCCATGCAGAGACTTACAGTCATCACTGACATCAGAGGCCACTCTGTTACTCTGCTCTCACACAGAGTCCTTACCCCAGTCTCAGTGTTTACAAACCATAATAAACAATTAAGTGTTTATTTAATATTACAACATACTATAGCAAAATGCATTTATACTCTTGTTACTGCCCCTCCATCATTCTTAACCTCTTTAAAGCCCAGGAACTGCTGCTGGGTCCAGGCTCCTTTTCCTCACTCTTTAAAAAACCTCAATTAGTTTGTATTGTTTTCAGTGTATTTATTGAATAATTAGCACAAACAAATGTAATTAACCTGAGAATTTAAGGCGTTCACCTTCTTAAATGGTCTTTCTCAAAGATTATTGGTTCCTCCACTGAAAAAATATGTGAGCAAAACCGACTGAATTTCATATTTAACTGGTTGAAAAAAAAGACATGAACATGCAGGTTTATGCAGTTTTGAATGCACTACTGTAAAACATTACTGTTATAGTCACATGAAAAGTTTGAACTACTCTGATCCATTTTGAAGTGGAAATAAGTAAAACACATCCTCTACAGGGAAAAAAATGAATAAATGAATAAATAAAAAATAAATAAAAAATACATTTTTCTATAAAACCTTTTTGCAGAGTTTAACATCGGAAAAAAAAATAACACATTAAATGTGCCAAAACCTTTGCACAGGCTGCATTTTATGTCTTTTTCAACATGTTAAATTCAGCAAATAAACAGTAATTGTGTGTTAAGATGTGCAGGAGTGTAGAGGACGAGTTGACTTATTATCGCTTAGAAAATCAACAAAACGTAATTTGACCAGAGGAGTTCAGATTTTTGCATATGAGTGTAGTAAGTGTACTCGAACAGAAATAAAGAACTTCTCTGAGGAGCTTTTAAGTAAATAATTAAAGTAAATGATTATGAAAACAAAAAGTTTGAGGGAAAAACATTACTTACAGATTATTCTTCAAATATTACTGTGTTGTGGAAAGAAGAATTTAGTCACTTACATTGCAAAGTGCTGATAGACACTAATTTAAAATGAATTACATCATCCGGCGTTTTCAAACAGGTGTCTTTGTGTACAGAAAGAGAAAACATTACAGTTGAGTCCTTTTCATTTAATCAGGTCAGGTCTGAGTGTTGGTCATGTTTGTGAGAATGACTCTGCAGAAACCACAAAGATTTCCCCTTGTAGGAGGCAGTGTACTGTAAGCGGTACTGCTTTGAGTAAAACAGAAAATGAGAGTGCTATTGTTGCCCCTCTTGTACATGTCTGAGTCAGGACCGGTGGTCTTAAAGGGGAAATCCACTGATTTTTCAACACTGCTGTATGATAAAATGATTAAGTTGTAAACAAAGTCATTCAGAGTGGTGAAATACTTTGTTTTAGGGAAACTTACAGAGTCAGAATTGTTTACAGTGATGGTGACAGGAATATCTGAAGAGTTTAAAACCTCTGAAATCTCCCTCATGAGTTGGTTTTGAATACACTGCCTGATGTCTAATACATTGTTTTACGATAGTTTTGTGATATAGTTTAAGGTCTACAAAATAATTTAACCATTTTATTTTAATCTATTCATGGTGGAAGGATACATGAAGGGTGTTAAAAGTTAAAAAAAAGTCCCCAAAGAAAACTTCATTTTCACAGGAATCACACAGGATTTTTTTAATATTTCAACTCAGACCAAGAGGAATTCCCCATTAATGTTACTGCTGTTTCACCTCCGCTCCGGTAGAGGGCGGGGTCCTCAGCGCTGCTCTGCCTTACTGGAACAGTTTGTTGTTGATGGCAGGAGGAGGAAGATGATTACTCACTTTATAAGTGTCGATACTGTGAGGCTCTCCGAGTTTATCTCCCGATAAAGTTTATTTTATGCTTCTCCAGAGCTCCTGTAGACGGCTGTGTGATTCAGTCCGGTAGCGGTTTAATCCGGGGAGCCAGGATGGCGAAGACATGTCGTTATCAGCTGCTTTATTGATTAAGGTAATGTCATCATTCATATACTGTCGACTCAGAGCGGCCACAGCTCGGAGTAAACATCCTGTGACCCGGTAAAGAGTGAAGAAGTTATTAAAGTATAACAGAAGAACGAGCAGTAATGTCGGGGCTCATATCAGTACTTATTAAAGTTACTAATCATGACACACAGGGTGTCCGAGTTAGTACTGATAACGTGTCGTCTGTCTGTCTGTGCTCAGTTAGCTAATCAATCAGTTTGGATCACTTCACCTCAGTTTGTGGAGTAAGAGGATCTGAGTGAAGCAGGCATAACTTGAGTAACTTATTCTTGTCCTACAGTTTGTTTACATTTAACAGATAAATCAAAAGAATTTGATGGATATTATTAAGATATAACTACTGCTGTTGATGCTGAATAACCTACAGGGTACAACGAATCAGTAAAACAAGCTCATTACTGCTCGACGTGAGCGTTTGATTAGGTAGATAGTGCACTCTGTCTTTGGCGTTGGCTCTTAATCTCTGTCGTAAAAGCAAGTTACAGGATTAACCAGTAACTGATGGCATGTCTGTAGTTTGTTTATTAACCCTTGAATGACCAGATCTGCAATATTAACATTTCCATTGGTCTGTTTGTTTGCTTGACTTGTCTGAGCACAAATCTGATTTATTGTTTTACTTAATTTAACAATGTAGCTGAATGTTGAGTTTTTATCTTATTTTTATGTTATGTTTTGAGCTTTTCAGTCTTTCAGTCGTCTGTGACTTTTTAAACACAAAACAACAGAAAATCCAAATTTGATTTTGAATGAAAGTATGAAAATTACATATAATAAAAACTGATCATTTAGGTATTGTTACAGTGTATAACTACACCCTCTACAGTCCACCATCATGAAAATGTGTTGGGTTTTGACCTAAAAAAAATCAAAGAAAGAAAGGAAAACTCATCAGATTATTTTCACCTTAATCAACAGATTAATTACTTTTCAAACAAATTTTAGTTTTTGAGTTTTAACCTCATTTACAGAATTTAATTGTGTTTTGATCACATGAGACTGCTTATTTTTTAGCAAAACAATAGAAAATCAAAATTTGTTTAGGCATAAAAGTATGAAAATTATATGTAATGAAAAACAAATCAGTTGGGTACTGTGAGATGTTCATCCAATGGACAACTATGTACAAAATCATCACTTTAGACCAATCAGAAGTTCTGTGGAGTTTCTCCTTGTCATAGTAAAAGTATGAATGGATTAATAAGAAGGAGGGGCTAGGGGGCTTGAGGTGAAGGTTAAAGGGCAATCAGAAGATTCTGTCCTCTTCATTTCTGCTCTGAAGAGAGAGATCAGCACATTGTTAAGATGGTTTTTTCTGATGTAGATCTGGAGAGGGATTTTTCCCTTAATGGATTTATTAGCCAGTTATTCAGACTTCTTGAATTTTCACAAACTCAAGAACCAGAAGGAAAATGCAAGTGAGTAACATGATAAAGGACAAACAGAAGCTCTGATGTGACCGCTTCTATTGAAGAATATTTTAGTAAACTCACTTTTCTTGTCTTCTTCATTCCACAGATGTCCTGTGTGCTGGTTCACCTTCAGTAGGATGATCAAAAGTCAAGAAGATGTAAGACGTCTTTTTCTTTTATTTCATATTGTGTGAAAATCGAATGAAGCTGCCCTTTATATACTGTGAAAAAAATGGACCAATAGAAATTTTAAAAGGCAATATTTTTTTAAGCTACATTATCAGGTATAAAGTTGGAAATGTTTTTCCCTTTTCTACAGCGTTACTGGTACAGATAGACAATGTTTTCTTTTGAAAGCAGTAATATTTGCCTGGTACACATCAGGAAAGTGTGTAAAAGAAAGTGCATGAAGTTTAGATTAAGCAATATCTCAGAATGAAAAATATGTTTTTTTTATATTGCAGTGACAAGAGTTCCACTCCAAGATGGATGTGGATATTGAATAATTCAATGGCTTCCATTGCAGTTGATAATATTTTTCGGCAGGCAGTTTTCTTGTTTAAGTTTAGAATGATTTGATTTGTGTATTGTCACTGTCTGAAAAAAAACCTTGTATTTTCAAAATGATAACTTTACATTAGAAGCCAAAAACATTCCTTAATTTTAAATGTTTATATAACAAGCCTTTTTTTCATTTCTGTTGGTCCATTCATTATGAAAATTGCAAACAATGTTAAGAGCAGCATTTTTAAAGTATATAAGAACAAAAAGAAAGAAAAATGAAAAAAATGAAAAAAAAACCAAAATTTGTTCTTAGCAGGAATTCATTGCCGTGAGGGTTCAGGATCCTCGGGTAGTGAATGAAGGATCATGGAACTCATATGTGGATTTTAAAATTTTCCTCCATGTAAGTAGTTTTTTTATAAAAAGATTTTCTATAAATGAGTCTCTGACAACCACTGATTATTTGCTATGTAAAGAAGAGTTGTGAGTTCTTTGCTGGATTAAGCTGTATTTTAGCTGTATTTTAACATCTCAAAATATATAATTTTAATTTTGAAGTACCTTACCTTGGGTTGTGCATAAGAAAGTCATTTTTTATTATTGTTATAATGCGAGCATGTTTTTTTTGTCTTTGTTCCAAGACTAACAGCAAGGCATTTACAGCTAAAACTTCCTGTGTGCGTCGCCGATACAGTGAGTTTGTATGGCTGAAGAAGAAACTGCAAAAGAATGCTGGACTTGTGTAAGTTTTACTGCATAAAAATTGTAGTTAATTTTTTATAACAGTATTAACTGTTGAAAACAGTCCAAAACAATGAAATTGTGATAGGTTGTAGCCTGACATCTCAAAAAAAAAACCCTCAGCAGATTAGTTCACAGAGGAAAACAGGAGAAGCTGTGTATTCACATAAACACGACTCTCTTTGTCTCACAGACCTGTTCCTGACCTGCCTGGGAAATCATTCTTTTCCTTTAACAACACAGACTTCATTGAAAAAAGGAGACAGGGTCTACAGACCTTCCTGGACAAGTCAGTATTATCGTCATCATATTCATCTGTGATGTGGTAGTTGTAAAGGAACTGTGGAATGTGATTCTGGCTGTATTTTATGGAAGTTGCACATGGGAAGTAAGGCATGTTGGATAATGTCAGGTTACACTTCTGTTTTTTGTGCCTTTTTTGTTTGTTTTGGTTTTTCCTCAACAACCCCAACAACCTCTGACGTGTTAAGTGGATTGCATTAAGCAGAAGTCAATTCAAAAGCCAAAAATAGAAAGGAATTATGTGCAAACTGCTTATGAGAACAGAATATTTGTTTCATTCACATCAGCCTTATAGCTTGTGATTACGGCATCATTTGATCTCATGCTGTCTTTGCAAAACAGGGTGGTGCACATGACCGTGTGTCTGTCAGATAGCCAGCTTCATCTGTTCCTGCAGACTCAACTTCCTGTAGGCCACATTCAGGATTGCGTGCAGGGCCACACTCCATACAGCGTGACTGACGCTATTCTGACTTACGCCTCCTCCAACCGCGGCTGGGCTCAGGAGGAAGAGGACGGCTCACTGGAGCCATGCCCAACGGCAATTTCATATGAGTCAGTGGAGAGGTATGGATGGAAATTGTCTAATACTAGCGGTGCATGATATATACTAACTCCAGAATTATTGGCACCTCTCTAGAAACTGCACAAAAACAATCATAAAACATAACCGTACATGCTTACCATTTATCAAACACAAAGTGTTCCTAAAAGAGCATTGTTTTATTTTAAGAAGATTGTATTCTCACAAAAACATGTGGGACAAAATAATTGACACCCCTAAAGAATATTTTAAATAAAATCAAACAAAGTTGCATCTTCAGAGAGAAGAAAATCTTTCATTTTTTATCTTAGTCTCCAGGAACTCCATTGTTGTCTATGACCATTTCTTGTTTCCTGGGGTATGAATATGAGGTTACACTCATGTAAAATCCCTTTGTCATCCAGTAACATGGGTAAAACCAAAGAGCTGTCAATTCAGTTGAGACAGAAGGTTGTGGACCTTCACAGAATAGGAAATGGTTATAAAAAGTGGTAGTAAGTTGAAATGACCGTTAAGCACAATCAGAGTGATAATAAAGTTTGAAAAAGCATGGAACAGTTGATTATTTTCCAGGGAGAAGATATACGAGCATACTTACAGTGAGGAAGATGGTAAGAGAGGCAAAGAGAAACCCAGGGTTTACAGTTTCAGAACTGCACAGTTTAGTTTAATCTTTAGGCTTTCAAATGTGAAAATCCACGGTCACACACTCCCTCCCTGACTTTTTGGAGTTCCAGAAAAAAAAGTATTTTCTGAATGTCAGCCACAAAATCCAGCACCTGAACTTTGCAGTGTCATTGGAAGTACAAGTGAAATCATGTGATGTGGTCAGATGAGTCAGAAATGTAACTTTTTGATCATGTGCACCATTATCACATGTAGTGAAAAAAGTGACTGCATACAATGAGAAGTACTTGATACCCACGGTCACATATGGTGGTGGATCATTGATGCTTTAGGGCTGCTCTGCTGCTACTGGTCCAGGGGCTGTTGTGAAAACAATGAATTCCCCTAAATGCCAGGAGGTTTTAGCCAAAATCTGTCTGCCTCTGCCAGAAGGCTAGAAGTTGGCTGTGGGTGGACCTTTCAACAAGACACACCAAACACACATCAAAATCCACACAGAAATCGTTGCTGAAACTCAAAATCAGAGTTTTGCAATGGCTCTGGAAATGTTAAAACTGGAAATGTTCTGCACTGAAGAGTGGTCCCAGATCTCTATATATTAACCTTTTTTGGATTCTCAGTTATTTTGTTTTCTATATTATTTCACACAACCTTTTATATTAAAAGCCAAACTATATTTTTTTATGTTTTAGTGACTGCTTTATTTTAAATACAGGGCATCAAAGAATGCCATACCATGCTTTAATGATTTTTACAAAAATATTACATTAACTGTTTTTCCACTTTATAAAAGCATTACAGAAAGTGGCTCAGTGCTGTTATTCCCGCCAAGGAGGTGTCATCACATATCAATAAGGGGGGGGGGTGCCAATATTTTTGAAACCTATGTTTTGGGGGAAAACATTCTAAAGAACACCTTTTTGGTTCCAAAATACAGTGTAAAAATGAAAATATGCAGCTTACCTGCCTGTTTAACACTGAAATATCACTCATGGCATGTGTGAGCTCATTTTCATGAAGGGTGCCAGGAATTCTGGAGTTGACTGTATATTGGTAGCTGATTATAACATTGGCTAAAACATGGGAAGTTATCTAATTTGAATTACAACTGATAGCATGATGCCCTGGTTTTACTCGCACAAGAACTGATGGATGTTTAGTCTCTAGTGGGCATTTACGTTCTGTTCAAACTCACTTAAATAGAGAAGAGTGGAAACACCACAGCACCAAACATGGGAGACAAGTACAATTCTTTTGCCAGACAGGAACACCAAAGCTATACTAATTAGGGATGTCCCAAGCCTGTTTTTTCCCCTCTCTGCTCGTTTCTGTTTACCTTAATGTTGGCCGTTGGCAGATTCTGATTTGGTCTGATCTTTGTAATTTCATAGATAATAGAGCCACATTATTTAGGTAAAATATGCTAGTTTGCTGATTATTACTGCAGTTTTTAGTATATGCATAATGGGACATTTTTAGACTGATATGTTTGGGTTTTTAGCCCATTTTTAATGACCGTTTTAATTATTGCTTATTATTATCTAGTTAATTTGGCTACCAGTTACTTTAAAATGCTGAATTCATATTTTTGTAATGCTCACACAATAGTCTGTAGTCTACTACCGAAGCATTGGTATTGGTAGGAGACACAATAAGATGTTAATTATCGTTTATTATTCTTGGCACATATGTTGCGTATTGGTTCACCCATAAACAATGATATACATGTTGTGCAAGTTTAAATACCAGTAAATTACATTTTTCTTGGCTTTTTAAAGTGAAAATTTTACTCCATACTCTACAGAGAACTTAAAAATGGGTATTTTCTGCACAATATAGTGCATGATTTCTGTTCATTTGCTGAGTTTATCATACTGGGAAAGAAGAAAACATAAAATGTATAATGTGCCAGAAATTTTGGAAAGACCACATTTTCTTTTCTTTTCCCAATATATTAAGTTCAGGAAATAAACAATATTTGGGCATTAAAATGTGCAGAAGTGTGTTCTCTGTGTAACTTATCAATGTGTAACTTATTTGCATTTAGATTTACTAAATTAATCAAAACACATAATTTGACCAGCGGCACTCACGTTTGCAAACAACTGTAGCTGTGTAAGCATTGCATCATCCAGAAGTCATTCGAGCCATTGACCTTTGTTGTTATTTTCAGCAGCCCCTCTCCCCACGTTCCCACTTTACAAAATGAAGAAGCTGCAAATGAGTTGGACACCACTGACCTCGACTCCGTAGAGCTCAGATTATCTGAAGCAAATGCAGCTCATAGAGATGGGCAGCAAGAAAGAATGCAGGAAGGGGATCGGTGTGATGACCTGGTGGTGGAGGTTCACCACCATCACGTTCCTCTTTTAGAAGACACTAAAGAAGAAGCTGATCTCAGCGTGCCAGAGGAGACAACACAAACACATGACAACACAAGAGACACCAGTGCAGATACAGCCTCACAGGTACACAGTGCAGAGGACAAGTCCCAGCCAAAACATGCAGTTAGTAATGATACATGGGTCAGCTTTTTTCTAAACCACACTCAGCCGCAGTTCTGAGAAGCAGACCAGCTTCGTAAATAACTCAGTTTAGAATACCATAAAGGCAATGATCAAACCCTGACCCCAAATGCTCTTTAAATATTACCGCAGTACAAATATTTTATGTTTTCATTTTGGTTGTTTATTATCTTGCAGCAATCTAAAACTATATTCCTTCAACCAGACACCTGTTGGTTAACCTCAACTGTCCACGGTTTCCAAGTCAACCCACCTGTCACTAGGAGCTATTAAGGGGGACCAAAATGAGGCCTGTTATAACAAATTACATGGTGTGTGGAAGTGGCTGAGACAACCACAGTGAATACAATAACAGAATATCTGTGAGGAAATGGAGAAGAGAGCAGTCCACTCTAAGTTCTCCCTTTGGACAAGGACACACTGTTATCAGTTCAAGTGGAAATAGGTCAGAAATTCACGAGGATGTACCAGAGGATACAAAGCAGTTAGACTGTAATAGTTGAAAGATTGAATGTGCTCTAGGGCAGACCTATCTGGTAGGTTTCTTATCTATGCACTTTGTTCTTTCATAGCAACTGTTGCTAGGTTGAACAGGCTTTACAGAATGTTGGCAGTAATTCCGTTCAACTTAAGAAACTTCAGTGCACACTGCATTTTTGTCAAATATCTATATTTGGAGTGTGTTGCTAAATTTGAAATGATATTAGGACGGAGTAAATAGAATTTAGTTTTATTGTTGTGTAATAAAGGTTTTTAACACTTAATTTGAGATTACTTTTGAAAAAATTACCCAATCTGTCCTAACAGTGTCACCGATTTTAAATTAAAAATGCAGTAAGCGTAGGTATTTTAAGTGCTGCATTACAGTTTCTCAGTACATTTAATGGTATTTTTGCTAAAGCTTTGTCAAACCTGGCAACTTGCTGCAAAAGATTTGCAACTGTGAGCATTCTTACATTTTGCAAAAATGCGTTGGTGAATCAATAATGTGATATGGTTGAAGACTGACCTGCATTATATGGACCAAAATTACACTTTTGTTGAATTATTTGATTTATTATAACACCTGCAAAAAAAATCACCTGAACCTGTGACTGGTCTGGATGCTCACAGAACACAGGTAAAATATCGTGACTGGTTACAGTCTTATTTACATCTGGAAGCCCTCTTCAGTATCAGTATTGCAAAAGACCAATATTGCAATACACAGTGAAGAGTGTCATGTAACTCAAGATGAGGGGAGACTGATTATGATCAATCAGTATATCATAAATAATTAAGATGCTGACGAGAAAGTGGACAAAGTAAATTTTAACATTGTTCAGGTACCCCACAGATAAGCAGTCTCAGTCTTGAGGCATCACTGACGCAAATACTACTGACATATGTGTGCTTGCTTTTCACACTGCTTAACAAGAGTGAGAAGAAAGACTTGTTAGACTGCCTGGGAAATGTCTGAGGGTAAACCCCAAACCGGCTTACCGCTGGGCTCCAGGCTGTAAGATGGCGCACAGTCATGTACAGAAATTCCTATTGTGCAACTATTGTGCTTTTCTTCATTCATAAGCTCTTTTACTACTTTGGCTAATAATTTTCTCTGCACTGGAATTTGCTGTTAGAAGAGGAGATATTAGACAACCACTGAGTGCACAAAACATTATGGACGTATCAGATGAATCCAGGTGAAATGTGGACTTCCAATTGATTTCATCCATTAAATCCTCTACATGAAAGGGGGAAGACCAGGCTAAGCAATTTATTTCTCATATTTAGGTAAAAGAGCAACTGGCAAGCACACAAAAGTTTGACACTGTTTCGCCCATAGGCTTTGTAAGACAGTCAAAAACGTTGCCAACCTATTTTGAGCTTGTCAGTTGTTCTTTTTGCAAATATGGAAAATAAATCCTTGAACACTGTGATCCTTGAGTACTGATTATCCTTTTAATTAAATCTTAGAATTTTACTTGGAAGTTGAAGCACCACAGATGATTACATTAATACTTTTGTAAGCCGGCTTTAAGAGACATGAGACTTTTAGTCTCTCTCTTGGGTCACATTCGAGAAGTGGTCACCAACCCTTCTTTTGGAGGTCTGCCTTGCTCCAGGTTTCACCTCCAGCCCAAATTCACACCTCCTTCAGCTGTTTAAGGACTTTTAAAGGCAATAATTCGATGGATCAGGTGGGGTCTATTTGGGTTAGAGCTGAAGTCTACAGGAAGGTAGATCACCAGTAGCAGGGTTAGTAATCACTGCGTCACCTTTCTGTTTAAAAGTAGGTTCCAGGTTGTGTTAACGACTGCAGTGCTGCTGAATTTTTAAAGGTCAGCAGTGTCCCTTGTGAGTCTGGAATACCACTAATAAACATTCATAAAATGGCCAACCAGCAGTCAGAAACGGCTTATTGTTGAAAAGGGACACGGTGTCACTGATGCAAAGAATCATTCTTATTAAGCAAAAAGCCACTAGAGTGCAAACAGCACCTCCTGGTGGAGAATCTTCAGCTTGCTAACTGTGAGTGAACAAGTGATAACAGTTTGCCGTTATTGCAGTTTGGCATATGAACAGGCTGTCTACACTAACTCAGCTGTCAAACTTGTTTCCATATAACATTCATAAAGTCACTGTTGGAACAAAACAAAATGGAACTGTGTTCCATGTATTTCTAAAATTTGTTTGTGCAGGTTAATGACCTTTGAAACAAGGTTAAGAGTGGCCAGGAGTAATTCCATGAACATGATGAGGAGCAAACTGGCAAATTGAAGCTGCTCTGTGGTCAAAATAATAACATTTTAGGAAAGCATCCATAATGTTTTGTACAGTCAGTTTATTTGTCAATGTGCTCATTCTTGTATTAATGTTTATATTCCACTGTTGCAATATTCCCGCCACAACAAAGGTCATTTACAGGAGGCGTGTTGCTCTGGCTGGTTTGAAAATGATGGAGTGCTCATTGTGCCTGCTGTGAAGTTCTACAAACCAAACTACATCTATAATAATTAGGATGGAGCTATGATAGAAGAATCTTCAAGTTCTAAATTATGTTCCCAAAGTGATATTAATCAGCAGGGCAAATGTGAAGGTTTGAGTGCAGGGTGCATGTTTGAGTCCCAGCTGTGCCGTATACCATCTGTGACACAAGGAGATTAAATATCTATATGATAAGATCATAGAATTGAACAATTGACATTCTCCTCCAAGAACATGGAGGTGATGCAATATGCGGTGACACTGCAGTTGAAAACATGCAGCTTTAACTCTCGCAGCCTTCAGTAGGGGCACGTTCTGACCTGCTTCGTGCTGGACTGATAGTACTAATAACCTCGGCTGTGATAAAATTGTGAGGAAAACAATTTGTTAACAAAAAAAAAAGAAGCCTCTGTGCATTTTTACTTTGCTGGATTATTTCTTTAGCTTCAGTCACATGAGCAGAGCTACGTCAGTCTGAGAGAGTTCATGCTTACTGATAAACTGCATGATAACTGCTAACAAACAAAAATAAACCATACTAGCACACAGGGTTCATGATGTAAATAAGGATGCAGTTCTAAATTGTAATACAGTTGCACTGAGACGATGGGAATGATTTTACTTTCCAGTGGTTAACCATCAGTCTGTTTCACAAACACTGCTTATAACGTTGATCGTGATTGTATTGAGAAATACTGACAGAACAGAACACTGCAGAAAACTGATCAGTAGGAAAGGGAAATTTTTATTTTCTTTTTTCAAGTGTTATGGCTAGTACTTTATATGATTTTATTGCATAGGTGTAAGTATATAGTGTACCACGAAATGGTATACTATATTTGCCAAATTTGGTGTATATTTCTGTGGTTTACAGGGATTTGCAGAAGGGTTTATTTGCAGGGATAATTTAGATGAGAAAGTATACAGGTTTGAAATATAGCAATTTATTTTTGCTTTGAACAGATGTTACATTTTTTACTGTCAGGTTTAAATCACTGTACCCTCATGATTTTATTTTGAATATATTAAACAAGGATGTCGAGGGCCAAGCCTATCTGTGCACAGACCCTCAAAGCTGCAAATGTTTAGAATTATTAATGTACTTACTAATGGCAAATAAAGAAAGAAAGAGAAAGAAAAATAACTCTGAATACTTATTGTCTGATAAAGTCCCTGATTCCAGCTGTTTTAAATGCATGTTGTACATTTCAGCAATTATTTCAAGTACTTCTTCACTACTTCATATTGCACTGTTCCACTGGAAAGATTACTTTTCAGATTTCTTTCTTTTAAATTGTTGTTAATGGCCTTTGAGAGTTTTGCCCAGTCTGACCACTTAATGGAGATGTGAGATTAAAATGTTTCCCAATTCACTCTACCAGAACACTCTTCACTCTACACTCTTAGCAAAAATTATTCTGTGTAGTACCAAAAAGGGACGCTTTTTGGTGCCATCTAAAACCATTTTGAAAAGGTTTGTTAAAGAACCATGTACAATAGTTGTCCGTCATAGAGAAGAAATCATTTAACCATACAAAGAACTATTTATGCATTCAAATTCAAACTGCCTCTTTGGCCAATCAGTTCTATACAGAACCAATGTTTTTACTAAAGAACTCTTGAAGAACCATTTTTTAGGGGTGTACCACACTAGCTACCCATTAGTGACCTACAAAGTTTATAATAGCTATGGTGGAACAGCTGTATTGGGGACAAACACATTCTAAAACAACTGAGCCAGTTTTGCTTGGACTGACACTTGTTGCCCACCTGGTGTTTGTGTAACGTTTCTGACCTTTTGAGTCAGATAAACACTGACCTGATTTTGAGTTTAGATCAAGCAAAGCGTTATCAAAAAGTAAATGACACCAGCCAGTAAATCACTGCTGTTTGATCAAAACCTCATATCTTTAAAACAGTAACTTTTCAGGAGAAGGAAAAAATTTTGCAACAAGTTTTCTGACCAATTTAAATTTCTCAACATTTAAAATTCCTATTATTTCATTTATGCAAAACAAATAAATAATTTATATAAAAGAGATAAAGAAAGACAAATGATAAGTTCTGTGCAAATTTGTGCATACAACATCAAAGGCAAATATATCACAACATGACAAAGAGGCCACATAAAACAGCATAATGATAAATACTTCTGTCTTAAAGGGGAATTTCACTGATTTTTCAAATTTTCTGCACAAGTCACTGGAGAACGGGATGTAGCCGAGATGTTACTAAAACATGAACAAACAGAAGTGAAATAATACAAAATTAAAAACTGAAGGTGCCCTAAGAATAAAAATGAGGTCTGTTTAAGTTTGTTCTACATGTTATTCCAGGTTACAGGTGCACAGTAAGTAAAACTCAATATTCTGAACTCAGTAAAAACAGCCAGCACCTGCAACATAAATCATTCTATTATGTTGTGTAAGGGCCTGCATTAAAAATACAAAGGGCTTTATAAATAAATAAAATCCAGTGTCCACCACGCCCCGACCTTAACATACAACTTACAGTGCAGTGTATTATGATTGTCGCAGGTAATAAATCTTAGAGTGATACACAAAAAAATCGAAGCTGAAACATTCATGCACAAAATGCTACCATAGTCCAAAGCAGAAAGGTCAGTTGCCTCAATAAGCATCCTTCTACAATGCAGAGAAGAGCATGTGTTATTCCTATTAAAGAAACCTAATTTTTCCAAAATTTGCTCACAAGATTAGTTACATAATATTTAAAGGAAATCTTCTCATCAATCCATATTCCAAGATGCTTGTATACTGTGACTCTTTCAATATTTGTACCACCTTTGGTAGAGATGTTGAGCTTATCATAGTCAACATTTCTGGCTCTGGAAAATAACACGAATTTTGTTTTTTCTGCATTAAGAACTAATTTTTGGTTATTGAGTGACCCTCGTTAAAACAGTGCTGAAGGGATCTGACAGCAGAATGTATAGTATCTGCAGAGCAGTACAAGACCATCATCAGCATAAAAATGTACAGAACTGAGCCCTGTGGGACACCCTTAGTAATCTGCACAAATTCAAATTTAACATCTCCCACAGTCACACACTGCTGTCTGTTCATGAGGTAACCCTGAAACCATTCATATGCAATTTGATTAAATTCACTACTAAGAAGTCTTTTTGAAAGTAATGAGTGATCCACTGTATGAAATGCTGTTGTAAGGTAAATAAAAAGGGCTGCATAACGCCTCTTTTTATCTAAAGCTGAAATAATGTAATTTAAAACTAGACTAGACTATTTACTAGAGATTCTAGTATATTTTTTGTCAGATCACATAAGCACATAAGCAGCCTTCCAGACCTTATGAACTATCCCAGTAAAATTGAAAGAGTAAAAATATATGTTAACTACAACTGGAGCAGCAAACTTTAAAAGACAGGGAGGGAAGGCTTACAATTAAGAGAAATCACTGCATTGCAGAATTTTGCTGGATTTGATTGTGATTTTGGAATTAAAAATAGATTATAATTAGATTTAGCCTTTAATAAAAATTCTTTAGAAGCTTAAACTCTATTATGTCGAGATTTTCTTCTCTTGGGTGGGGGTGAACGGCAGGAATATTAGTTTGGAAAAATGTTAAGGATTAAACTTCAAAGACAGTAAAATATCTTACTGACACAAATGTTATTCCAGATAGGAATGGGTGGCATTTCACAAAACAGGACTTCTCATTTAGACAGATAAGCTCAAAGTTCAGGACTGTCCAATAGCAATGTTCCTCTGTTCTTCTCCAATTGGACAGGCTTAACTTTAGGCTTAAGTTATCTGGCTAAACTGAGAAATCCTGCTAGGTGAAATACCCCTGATCCCGTTCCTGCTTTGCATAGTTGGGTTTTCTCTTCTCTTACACACTTCAGCTATATTGTTAGCTAATAATCTCTCCTTTTTGAGCTAAAAGGTGTGCAGAGCAGGTGAAAGCACAAGAACATGCAAGAACTGTCAAAGCCTGTCCACTGTCCCTGTCGCTTTAAAAGGTCACCATAAGGATAGAACATTCATAGCCAAGTTATGTACATCCAATAACAAATAAAACTTTTTATATAAAACTATTTTTAATCATAACTTATTGCCCATAATTGTCGCTCTTCTGCTGTGTGCACCGGCACTCGGGCCGGTGTCCTGTACTTCCAGTAATAAGTGTGATGGAACAAAGGCGGGGGGGCGGCACAGCAACATCTCGGCTACAACTCCTACTGCTTTTACTGATTTACATCCACTGGTTGGGATGTAAGCAAAGTCACTCAGAGCGGTTTAATGTGAACTGCTTCATAATACAGAAACTCACTGACTCAGGTTTTCTTTACAGCGGTGCTGATAAAAACCAGGGGTCACAATGTCTATATTAAAAATACAGCCAACATACAAATATAGCAAAAAATAGCCGTTTTATTTACCACTAAAATTACCAGTGAACCTACACGTCTCTTCTGAATTGTTATATCACTGCTGTCGAACTAAGCGATAACGGTAACAAAATGATAACTTTACAGAAAGAAAAACATACTTTACTTTTAATGTAAGTCAGTGGAAGTGGACTTTTCCCCCCAAGTAATTCTGAGCCATTTCTTTTGGTCCATTCATCATGAAATGTATTATAAAGGGCTACAGTCATTATGACCAAAACTGAAAAACGGAGACACAAGGTTTTGTTCCGACACTAGCAATATGTAATGTTGATTTGAACAGTAAAATAGAGGTGAATAAGTTTTCTTTTGGTGACTATTTTGCCTTATATCACCCTGCATGTACGTCTCCACCATGGGTTCATTTAATGCCAAAACCTTATTTTATGCCAAAACCTCATCTTAAAACCACTGTAAAACATGTTTGAGACTTCAGGCAATGTAATTGTAACCATTTCATGTAATAACCTTCTATAAGGGAGCTTTTAGAGGCATTAAACACTACAGACGTCTGGTTCCGAACAATTCTGTAAGTTTCGCTAGAGCAGAGCATTACACATCGAACTACTCTGAATGACTTTGTTTACATCTTAACAACTTAAGTGACATCTTAGAGCATGTACGACTTTTAATAGTTGTGCTATTTGGTTCTGTATAAGAAATATTTGGCTGACTGCTTCACAAACAGTCACAGGGCTTATTTGACTCTATGGCATCGACAGGCAGGGTTGTGTGGCTGGCAGCAGGGCACTGCTGCGTGTGTTATGGTGTAGTCTGCAGTAGATACATTGTCTGTGGCAATATCCCATAACAGAGCCTCCCGTTCTCTCTCCACTTCCTTCAGCACAGTCTGATACTCCTCACTGGTGGGGTCTAACGGTGACCCCTCTGCTTCATCCTTATCAAGGTCAAAAATCAAAGGGGGATCATGAAGCTCTGGCTTTCCACTTCCTCCACCACAGGCTTCAGCACCACCTGAGAAAATTAAAACAGCAGTTCCTCAATATCTGACTAATTAGCAGTTCAACTGAGAACCTGCAAGTGAGTCACTGTGCACATGCCTGCATACTGGAAACGAAGAAAGAAACTGTGTTTAAAAAACAGATCATCGCTGTCCTAACAAAACCTTTATCTTGTAGGAGAAGGAAAATAACTATTTTAATGTACAATAATGTAACAACACATTATAGTAATTTTCAACCATTTCTATTGGTCCATTCATCCTGAAATTTTCATATAATATAAAGGGCAGGTGACATTTTCAAATGGTGTAAAAAAAAAAAAAAAGGAATAAAGATTTTCGGTCTTGACATGACAGCGATGAAATACACCTTTATTTTAACTAGCAGAAATGTACCTTGTAATGGTAACATTAAACCTGACCAGGTTAGTTACTGTAATTGTAATCAAGTCACTAATGTCAAACTGAATCCATTTTAAAGCAATAATAAGCAGCATTTGTTTGTTAGTGGCATTTCTATAGAGACTGCCATTACTAAAGAGCTGGTCACTGGCCATTACTTATGGTTTCAGAAAAGAACTGAACTGACGCTGATTAGAGGCATATTACCGGAACACAAACATCTCAAACGACCAAGTCTATTACGGTTAAGCAATGTTCATTCTTCACAGCATTTCCTGTGGTTTATTTCTTCTTAGAATAGTACTGGTAATTCACATTCAGTACGACATTAAAACAGAGACCTGTGATGTAAAAGGCCTTGTGACGTCCCAGCCTGACGGTCTGCAGGTCTCCAAATTGCCCTGCTGCTCCACTGTTTGGATGCATGAGACTCTGAGGATGGAAGACAACCTTAGTTACAGTGTGTGCTATACAGTGAGTTGCCAGTTTATTAGATACATAAAGGTGCACTTTGAAGGTATACAAATACTGCCATTCACTGATGGATGATGTAGAGGGCAGATGACAAAGTGTCATAGACAGTCAGTAACTGTAAACCTATTTCAGTCAGGAGCTCTACATCCACTGCGCAATAGTGGAATGAATATAAGCCTGTAGCAAATAAAGTGTGACCTACACAGCCATTTCATTGCAAGTTAGCATTTATTTTTCAATTAGAATATTTTTATTGTTGAGAATTAAATGTGTGCCTTTGTTTACTTAGAAAAACATATTTACTGTTGTATCTTACATATATGCATTAACAGTGGCTAGAACCCCACCACAAATCTGTTATGTAGCATTGAGCATACATGTTTTACTAGTATCAACAACAAAAGTCAGTTCATTTAAATGATTGTTAGGTGTGTAAGAAATCAGAACATTACTTCATGACGTTACATCTTAATAAAATAGTGTCATTGAAAATCTGTTTTTTTAGTGTTTTTAGTAATTAAATATCAGCATATTATGTAATTACTCAGTTTCATTTCAAATATTTAGATAAAAAGATATATTTTTCATATTCTTTCAATTTTTGCCCAATATTGCCCCAAGGCAATGTAGCCCAAAAGGATCATCAATTAATTTTTTTAATTATTTTTTATTTTAATAATTAGTTAAATTTTACATAAGAAAATTTAATCAAACATTTTTTTATTTTTTTAGTTACTTCCAAATGTGTGCAACAGAGGGTTAAGAAATTTCATTCATGCTTTTCCTCTATGGTGCAGATCACAGTTGCTGAATGCTGTCATACCTTATGTCCTGAGTCAGAGTCGTGGAGCAAAACGTTTGTTATATCGAGGCCATCATAATGTCTGTCTGATGGTGGCTCCACACCAGCTAGAGTAAGGATTGTAGGGAAGATGTCTAAACCACTGCAGATGAGGAAGAGAAACAGTCATTGTAAAGCCAGAAAATAGTTGTCATTACATTTATCAGCCCATGAACAACCTCTCATACCTGAGCAGCGCATTGCTGCTGGTGTTGGGTGATATTTTCCCAGGCCAGGTGACCACTGTTGGAACTCTGTGGCCCCCTTCCCAGGTGGTCCTTTTGGATGAACCTCCACCTGTTCACAAAAAAATTAATCAAAAATATTAAATAGTTCCCTTCAAAAAAAAACCAAAAAAAAAAACCTGTACACATAGTGATAAATGACGATCAATTAGTGATCAATCTGCTTCAGATCATCATTTTATGAAAAAGCTGTGTTCTTTCCAATGATATAAATATTTTATGGTATACCATAAAATAGGCAATATGGGATTTGAAATGTGACTTATCATGTTTAATGTCTCATACATCAGAAAACTACATTATTTTATTATCAGTCCAAAGGCACAGGAGTACTGTCATATGAGTAATTAATACCAAAATTCCTGGATCTGATGTACTTTAGTTTGGAGATACAAAGTGCTAAATTTGCTCTAATGGACCAATTTTTTCCTGGGTTTTAGCCATAACATGAAAAACATGCATCTCCGTATCTGGTTTCCTTAAACACACCGTAAAACAATTACTTAAAATTTCACACATCTAGCTGAAAATGTATTGCTAAAAGTTGCTACGCATTTTTAGCTAAGAGTTCAAAGGAATTACTTTTTACAAGTTTATACATTCTACTGTAGCACTCATTGGGCAAAAAATGAGACCATATCCGCTTTTAAAAGCCTCTATATCTATGACAGTACAAGACAAATAATTTGCACATTATCTGCTGGGACAGTGGCATTATTCCTGAAAGTATTATGCAAATCTGAGATGGTCTGTCAGGAGACCCTCAGTGATTTCACAGGGATTGAAGGAGTATAATCACACTGTGGATGTAACTTTCCATTTCAGACTACTATAAACACATTATTACATAGAAACACTGTGTATCAGTGGTTTTGGTTATTACCTCTGCTGGTCTGCCACCTGCCCACAAAAGGCCCAGCACTTCCTGCAAACTGGCATTTCTGCTCCCAGGGGCCATTATCACCTGAAAGATGCACACTGAGACCTCAGATCCACAGCCCTCCTGAATTCTGAAATGCATTAACCTTATTAATGTTTTATCAGCTCTAAAATAAAAGTTACATTCATTATTCACTGTGAACTGTAGAAAGCCACCACCACCACTACCAAAGCATCCACAGGACTTTATGCACACCTAATACTGATGACTAACTGACTCACCAGTGAACCATATGAGCGTGTTCTCCATGCTAAAAGCCTCAGTGGCAAGCTTTATTGACCCCAACAAACTGTCCATATCACTGAGACTGGCAGAGTAGGCATCCTTTTCAGTTACATTTAGAAAGCCGTAATGGAACAGAGGAACATGCATATGCGCCAGAGCCACATACAACAGGAAAGGCTGCCCCCTGTTCCTGGACACACAAAACAAGAGAAGACTGTTTACATAGCAGTGCCATATCCCAATCTGGTCAGACTGTCTCTTGTCAAGATAGAAGGCAATTTTTTACATGTATTTTTAGATCACCAACAGCACAGAGTAACAAGCAGCAGCAGTGATTCCACATTATGAATAAAGGATAAAATAAATACCATTTCATTATATTTCAATATATCTTTAGGCTTTTTCAAAACTGTTATGTTTTCAACATAACACATGCTGACTGGATATAATTTACTGAAGTGTTTTTACAATATACTACATCTTTAAAATAAAATACATGATATTAAGTACTGTATATTACAAGACTGCAAGATATGATACTGCAACAGCAACTCTGATATATGAAAAAAGAAGGAACAAGCGACTGAACTATTCACATGGTTGTGTCTGTGTATCACAAGTGATGTGAACGCCTTCGTCTCAGCTGTCTCGACATTTACTCTGAAGTATAAGGTAGTAACATGAAATAGGAGAAGCTAGGCAGAAAATACCGCACCAACTTGTGATCTATCCTTGGACTATGTCAGAGGTCAAAGTCACAATTCTCTGCTTGATCAGTCAAACTAAACAGGCCTGTTTGTAGATTAAGCATGTCATACCAGATCAAAGTCCTGCTTCTGAAACAAATAGTTGCTTATACAGAATTAAGATCCAGTTATTAGTAACTATTAGGCTTAGCTCTGAGTCTTATATTAAACGTTATAATGATGAAAAAGAGAAAACGTATGATATTCAAAGGCAAAGAAGATGATGAATACCAGAACTTTAAGATAATAATAGTTAGTTACTTAGTCAGAGCAAACCGGAGCGAAGAATCATTTTTAAAAGAGATTTTAAGGACACAATGAGACCCACTGCCCTGGACAGTATTCCATCATTCACGACTCATCATGCTCCAGAAATGTACGAATCAGCCAAGATCAGACCTGGTCAATTTTTGCTTCAATCAAGCAATCTGCAATCAGCCAATTCATTGTTTTTATTTTGGTATTTGTGTTGCCAATTTTATGATGTAAATAATGTGAGGCATGTAAGTACACTCGTGCTGTATCTAAATGCTGTACACTGTAGCATAATTAGACATTACTCATTGTGCTAAATAATGTTACCTCTCACTTTCTATGCAGCACCTTAAATGATTTATGTTATTTACAAATTTTCAACTTATAAAAAAAACTACTTAAAATTAAAATTTAACATTTGGTAAAGTTTCAGTACAGTTATGATGGTTTTCATAGTGACAAAATTCAATGTTCAATCATATGTTTTAATGAAATCAAATAATTAAGGTAAGGTAAATATACTTCCTAGTGTCTGAAAGAGTCCAAGGAAGATTCATCGAGGATCTGCACTACCACCAAATTGCCGTTTTGGCTTTTCTCCAGGAGGCCCAAATTTCCAAAGGACCATTAATGCTGAAAAGCAGCGTGATGGGGATGCCTGCCATGTCTTTGCTAAACCATACTACAGACAATTCCCTGATTTTCTAGAAGATGAGAGAGTCCTTTCAACTCCATCAGAAGCTTGTTAATGACTCAGGCAGAAGTGCTCATATCCTCTCTACCTTCCCAAGATTCCTGGATACAAAAGGATTGGTAAATTTGGAATGAGATGTTTAGAATGGCTTGAAATTTGAAAGTATTGCTTGTAGTAGTAATTTAATATTTTCTTTCTTACAGGTGGATCAAGATTTCACTCTCCTACTTCATGATGACACATCCTTCAGGCAATAATTGAGTTGTTTTTGTTTTGCCTGTTTTAAAGCATTTGCTATCATTTCAGTGACAGTTTCTTTAACTTGTTCATGCATTTGCTAAAAGCAGGATTGATTACGTTAAAGCTTTTCTTACTGGGCTTCTAAAGAAAACAATACATCTTCTCCCTTGGGGCGTTTGATGAACTTTTCAAAGCACGTTTTGTGTTTAATTTGTCTTTCGATGGTACACTTGTAAATGGAAGACGGCATGCCAGTCTTTTGTCAAATAAGTGATACTTTTGGTTGAAGATCACATTTTATTATTGACAAGTTAGCTATTCATTGAGAATTCTGATTACCATCATTACACATTCAGAGTAAATTTCATTAATCATTTGCAATTCAAGGCTCATTTGATGTTGCACATGGAAGCTTATACATGATTTAATCACAGTGTTTGCATTTAACTGTATGAATGACTACAAGGAAGAAAAGGCAAAAATAAATGTTATTTTTGAAATTTTTTTCTTTGTAATTCATTCTTCTGATTAATTTTAACAGCTTATCAGTATAGATATCTTGCCAATTCAGAGAGTGAAACTAATACTACAGAGCCAATAGTAAAAATGTAACTCAGAGCAGTGTTATTAAAAAAACAACTCTGACAAAATGTTAAATGTTTAACTATTTTGAAAGTATTATTTTAACTCCGGAGAGTGTGGAGCTACATAAACCCTAAAAAGGGTTGAAATCAACTCTTTAGGAGTTAATTCAACACTGGACTTTCTGCTGTGGAGATCAGAATCAGGCTCAGCCATAAAAATCCATGATCTGTGCACATGTACTGTTCAGCAGTTTCCATATAACCATCACCATTCGAAATAAAGATGGGGTACATACCTAGCAGTCAAAATCTGTCTGACTGCTGCTTTAGCATATTGACCTGTAAGTTCCCAGAGGTCCAAGGGTTGTTCAACTATAGTCTGGTTTTCAAAGAGAGGTAATGCTATTTTATCGTGACATCCTCCACGCTTCCTGCTGAGTAGAAATTTGGCAATATTTATTAAAGGGATCAATATAAATCAATGTGGATTGCAGAACCTAAATCTATATGCATCAGATATATATGCTGAACTCCTATGAGTTAGACATGTATGAGCTCACCTGCTATGTTTACTTTGCTCACATGGGAAACAGCTGGGGAGGTCAAAGCCAGGCTTGTCAGTGCAGCCCATGTCATTACTATATGGGATACCCAGGTAATAGTCGAAGCCTGTAGTAGAGAAAAACAAGTGCATGTAGTTAAATCTTTCTGAATATCATACTCTTCCTTCATATACGATTCAACTACTCAAATGGAGCTAATTATGACTTAACAGAAATATGTGTTTAGAGGAGAAATTAAGGCAGTAGTTCAATATTATGGTTGGTGCTGCACAATGTGGACAAAGTTCACTGTATAAAATTCCTTCATGTGGTGACAAAGTGCAATTATACTGATACATAGTATGATTGCAATATACCTTACATTATATTGAAAACAAATTAGTGAATCCTTCATGTAACATGGTTAGGGACTGGCCTGCAGCATTTTTAACCAAAACGATTTACATTTTTTGGATCATGTGCTTTGTTTATTCCAAATATCATCCAAAATAACAAATGTGATTGGTCAGGATGCTCACAGCACCCAATAAAACATTCAGTCAGAGAAGCTAATTTGCATACTGCACAGCAATATTAGTACTGTGTAGACCAACACTGCAATAAACATCAACAATATACTGTAGGGCTGTCACTACCAATTATATTAGCAATTGAATAATCTATTATTTATTTTGACGAATATCATTTGAGTAATCCGTGTTTTTCTGAAGGGTAAATTATATAAATGGGCTTCCCTGAACAATAACATACTACACAAAGCTTTTCAAAGATTCCAGAATAAATTACTGAAAATAATAAGAAGCACTTTGTGGGAAAAATACAGTGAGACATTTTGCCCATCAGGCTTTGTTTCTTGCTGCAAAAGACAGCAAAGAATTGGAAATATCTGCAGGGTATTAGCAGGTTTCAGCAAATTCAGTTAAATGGTCATAAGGTCATTTTATTGCCAGTCTTTGAGAAAGTCTGAGATATCGGTAATGCTGAATTTCTCATAGCCAAACATACAGTTAAATAGCAAATCTTCACTTTATAGCTGAAGTAACGTCTCTATGATAATGCTCATTTCTGCTTGAATCTTTATTCTTCATTTCTGTGATGCACAAAAAAACTGATTTGAGCGCTAAAAGCTCCCCCCAGTAAAGAATCTTTAGCCTGCTTTATAATAACCAGTGGATACCCTGTTTATCACTCAGATTGGGGACAAATCACTAAGCTGATTAATTCAGAGCATACATTCCTATTAATTGATTTTTTCAAAATCATGACAACCCTAATATACCTAATGTACTATGCAGCCTTACTTTATAATTCTGTCCTATCACTGTACATTAGGTCTATTAATGACAAACTACTTCCAAGACACTACAGTGTGTTAATAGATGAGGTGCACCATTTATAGTATCTTTGTAATTCAGTTCAAAATATTACAGAATTGTACTTAACTCTGTGGATTGGATGGTAGGGACCATTGTGTCCAAGATGCCATTTTCCTGTAGCCAAAAATTAGATCAGTATTATATTTTTTTCTGATCAATTCTAAAGAAATTTGCAGTACCACAGTGACTGGTAAAGATAATCACAATGCAAAAAACATCACTATGACTATTATGTTTTGGCCTTCAGTTAAACTTGAGTCACCGTGGAGACAGTGTGGCATGCATTAATTAGGAGCTAATCACAGCATCAGGCCTTTCTGAGCTTGCTCACTAAAAACCATCAGAATGTTAATCACAGTGTTATGCTGAATAGTGATTTAAAAGCACGCTGTGTCTACCAATCATGGCAGTATAATAGCCAGCATCATGCAGGAGCTGAGCAAACGTCGTCTCATTGAGTGGAAGTCCTCCGACAGAGCCTTCTGCAAAGTTGTGAGTGACTCCATTGCGTAAGCCGTGTCTGCCAGTCAGCAGCGCAGCACGCGAGGGGGAGCATGTCGAGGCAGGAGAGTGGAAGTCCGTAAACCTGGAAAATGACAGCGCACAATCAGGACAATAAATAAATAAATGGACGTACAAAATCAGGATAGAAACTATGTTATGATACAATGCTGGCCAAATCAGTACAACAAAACTGTGAATATGTTTCATACAGCTTTGCATTCAGTTGTCAATGTTTCAAAATATGCACAGAATACAATGTAATATATTTTCAATACACTGTGTGGTCCTTTTAGCTTCATGAAGAACAACGACTGACCAATAATTTTCATCTAAAAATGCCTATTTATTTGTTGTACCCCCTTAATGCTTTTAGAATATAAAAAGCCTATATATAACTATACATTTCACTCTACCTTTTGCCTTCCAGCTTTAACATGTTCAGCCAGGGTGTAGTACCGTCAAACTGTTTTGTCCACAGGTCTCCCCAGCCAATATCATCTGCCAGGATGATGATAAAATTGGGCCTTTCTCTAGTCTTTGTCTTGTCTCCATTTTCAAGGCAACTGTTGATGTAATACACCAGTCCTGAGAACAAGCAGCAAAACAGTAGCAGCACGCCAAATCCAGCTTCTGCCATTCTGGGAAGCAAAAAGAATAAATGTTCGTAAAAATTCACAAAGTTACATTTAACAGGCAAATTGGGAAACTGCTATTGGAGCTATGTGTCTATAGCTGATTTTCTAATTGAAAATAAGTTAAACATCCTCTACAGACTTGAATATTGAATATGTCCGCAACACATAATTAGTATTTATTTACTGGGTTTACCGTAATGGAAAAAATAAAACATGAAATCCTCAAAATATTTCCCCTCAAAATGTTAAATTCAGCAAGTAGCCTAACCTTTTTTTTCCCCTCCCATTTCATTTAGTCCTACAACTTATCTGTTTTACTTGTGCAAAACATATAAACAACTGTGCAAAGTGAAGACATGTATGGTAACCTCCAGTGAAAAGCTAATTTTAACCAAATTTATTCTTGAAAGCAATGACTAGCTACAGGACCCTCTCTCTGCCCCTTTATTCAACGTAAAGTCCACTAGGCCTATGAAGAGAGTGTGTTCTCTCCTCTGGGTCCCAGGAGACTTTCTAGCCCAGCAGTAACAGCTGTTACATAACAGGCTAACAAACTTCACTTAATGCACCGGTCCTCTTGCAAAAATGCTCAGGCCAGTCAAATTCAGTACCTCAATACCGACTCAGAGCACTGCAAACACAGAGAGGAGCAGATAAACAGGTCCTACAATTTCAAATGTACCATATGTACTCCATAGGAAAAGGGGGTTAAGAGCATGATTTCTCAATCAGAGCTGAGTGTAACCCAATCCTCAAAGCTCACACGGCTGTAACCTCCCACCAGGCGAGCTGCATTTTTATCCAGCAGCCGCAGCTCCAGACACCACATGTACTCCTGGCAGAAAGCACACTGCAGTGGCAGGCAGCACATAAATTGTGTTTTTTCTCCGTAACCTGAGAGAGCAGGTAAGAACTTTTTTTCTTCTCTGCTTCTTCTGTGACAAAATGTACAAAATTTGGACATTTGAATCCTAACCCATTCATGTGCAACTACGATTAGTATGATGAGGAAAAAAGCTACAGATCTTGCTCTGTTTAGTCTAAAGTGATGAAATTTTGTATAGTTATTCTTTTGATAAATATCTAACAGTAGCCTTTTGGGGTTTTGACTACATACTTTTTCATACTTGTATTCACAATGAAATTTAGATTTTCTGTTGTTTTGTTGAAGTAGTCAGTTGTCCTGATCTAGTGGTCAAAAAACTGAATGTAATATGTAATATGATAACCAGAGTAATATCACTCAAAATTTAGCCATATGGTTTGATCGATTTGAAAAAGTTCTTCAGATTTGTGCTCAAACAAGCAAATAAAAATATGGACCAAAGAAAATGTAAAAGATATATGTAGTAGTACACTGATGGGTTAAAATGCTGATGGCAGGAACAAAAAGTTTTAAAGTGATTAGACAAATCCCAGTTGGCACCACCCTGAGTATATAACTGTGTGCCACTGGCCTGTTATTGATCTTAACACTATATCGGTCAATATTGCCCTCAGTATGCGAGCACAGATAACATAGGCTACTTTGGGTGATTTCTAATTGTATTGCTCTGTACAACGGCATTTAGGGTCTAATGATCAGATTTAAGTTTTTCTATGAGTGAGTTGACGCATAAATCCCTTTTAAATGAATTTCCCAAGTCACTTACATTTGGCCTCCTCTGTGAGGTAAACAGCGCCGGCTATGCTGAATTAGGCGAAGGACATTTCACCTACTGACCTGAGTAAGAAGTGTTATGTGTCGTACAGAGACTTTAATGTAAAAGTTATAGACTATAAAACATCATAACTGTGGTTAATTACCACATTACGCTAAATAAAGCGGAGCCCTGCAGGGGTCTCTGATCTAACACACTACACACGTGCACTTATGAAGAATGACTTTGGCCTCAGTGCGCATGCGCGGTTCTGCGCAGTTCAAACGCGCCCCAGTTTTCTTTGCTCTGCTGCAGCTGCTTCTTAACTTCCTAGCGACGACAGAGGACAGCAAAAAAAAAAACAACAGCAGGCATTTAAAAAGGTCTAAAAGCCGACAGCGTGAATTAAAAATGGATTACTTCGAAAAGTTCTCACCGAACACGAGCTGTTTTGGTGGAGCTGCTCTGTCCTGCGGCGCCGCCTCACTGATGTGTTGATATGGCGCGACGTCATGTTGTCATCACGTGAGGAGCGAATTTCAGACAATTAGGCCACGCCCCTTTTAGTAGCAATGTCCCATACCCTATTTCTCTCTCACTGACTGAATGGTATGGCTAAAAAGTGAGTAATCACTTAGTTTATGATATCAAATGTAGTCTTTTGGCCACTTACGGACTACAAACACAGAAAATCCTACTTTGATTATAAATCAAAGCGGCTGCTGTGGTGACCAGGCCAATTACAATCTTCACGGGGCCCTCATATACATACTGACACGGTTGTACAGTCATGTCTCACAAAAAGACCACAGATTTCTTAACAACATATCTCAACAGTTAGCTTCCATCAACACCACAGACAGATCTAACTTATCTACTTCTTACTCAGAATGCATCTCATCCATGGTAACCATTTTCAGATGGTTTCCTCACAAGCTTCAGCTTGATATATTTATTATTTATGTAAGTATAAAATTTTAAATAGGTAGTCAGACTTAAGCATTTAGGTTAACATTAGATGGTCGTAGGTGGAGTGGCATGCCTTGTTAAAGACATGCCAAAGTATGACTTGTTTAAGACATAACAAACATTTAAAGTAATTTTCATATGGAGGTCCTTTTTTTCACTGATGCCACTGCATCCAAGGTATAACATAATTACAAAGCTTTAGACCAGTCAGAAGAAGTTCTGTGTGTTTCTCTTTATCATACTAAATGTAGTTGTTGGAGCTGAACAGGATGTATATCTACTCCACAAGTCTAGCTGTGTGTTGTCTGCATGTTGCTGAAAGTAATTATTTTTTAAAATTTTATCAGTTCATCAAAGCATACATAGGTCAACCTCCTAAGGGTTATTACATACTTAGTCTTATTATTCAAAAACTACTTGACTATAATGCAAACTAGCTGAGTTATTCTTAGATCATAGAAGTACTAAAACTTTGGGCCTGCCAGTGGGCCCTGGTCATTTAAGAGGTTAAAGAATAAATAGGCCCAGAATTGATCCTTGAGGAACTCCCAACGTAACTCAGTATTGTTATCCCCTTCATAGTTTAAGACTGGGCCAGAGAGGCAAACCAAGTCAGTCAAGCGAAATTTATCAAGGCAGCATTAAGATCGAAGAGAAAAAAGATATACAGATAATTTAAAAATCTATGATCATTTAAATGCCATTTCAGAGCTCCCAAGAAGTAGACAGAAATATTTTAGTGACGTGTATTCATGTGCAGATAAATATGTACCTGAATGAACACTATAATTATCTGTCCAGAATTTGGAGTTTAGAGCTGTACACTGCACACAGGAGAATATAGTTTTGGTATAGTGCATCTGTGCATAGTTACTAAGCACAGGCAATAAGGACGAATTCCATGTTGTAGTTATACATTCACTTTTTCAGGACATCAATTGATTATAAGCTTAAAAACGTAAAACCTAAATATATATACAAAGGCTTGGCAAAACGTCTCAAAAGATAATAGTGGAAAATGATGTCAGCTGTTAGCAGACTCAACATAATTACTGTGCAAGCTGTCTACCAACGTTTACTCTGTTTAGGTTAACTGTGTGAATATTGAAAGTTGTTATAATTCAAAGGCATAAAATATAGTATGCCCAAATTACCCAGAAAGATGCTGTCTCGTATCTTCTGCTTCTATTTAACATTTTCACCTTTAATTCCCAGGAACTGCATACAGCAAAAACAATTTTGATTTCACTGTCCAAAAAAATATGTGTAACACTGCAGTACTCTGTGTGACATCTGCTACTGAATGACACAAGGCATTAATATTCTACACAAGTAAACTTTGTTGTTTGTGTTTTTATTTCACAGTTTTGACTTCTCTAACCATGGCATTGTGGATCTTCAGAAAAGATGGTTGTCTGGGACCTAAAGTCTATTCTGAGGTCCCAGATGGAGGCTGGGGTTGGATTGTGGCTGTGGCCTTTTTTCTTGTGGAGGTCTTCACCTACGGGGTCATCAAAAGCTTTGGCATTTTCCTAAAGGATCTTATGTGCGAGTTTAATGAGAGCAACAGTCGAGTTTCATGGATCATCTCAATATGCGTGTTTGTAATGACTTTCACAGGTAAGATCCATTTGGGTCACTGCCAAACCAGCTTTGGCGGAAATCGTACTTGATGTTTGTGTGCTCATCTGTTTACCCTTCTCGTCCATATACATATTGCTTGTTGGCTCAGCGCCGCTGTCAACTGTGCTGAGTAATCGATTTGGCTTCCAGCCCGTTGTGATACTTGGAGGATTCCTCATTTCCTTGGGAACAATTTCCACTGCGTTCGCCAGCTACATCAGTCAGATTTACATCACTATCGGGATTGTTGCTGGTAATCAAAGCCATTTGCTCTAATAAGGGTTTTAAGCACATGAGAATATAGAATAATGTGAAGGTAGTGGTCAAGATTACAATACCGATCAAATGTGTTGTTCAGAAATAGTTCTTATCTTTTTCAAAAGATAAATGCTCCAATAACAGATAACTCTATTTAGTGTTCATTTTTCTTTTGCATAATAGGTAATAAATAATGTAATGTAATAGTGTAAAACAGTACTGTGCAAACGTCAGAAATCACCCTTCACTTTTACCCGGAAGCCTCAACAGCTTCATGTAATACAAAATTTTCAGTATTTAAGGTGTCCAGGCTTTACCTTTATTACAACGTTCATTCTTTCCAGGAGACTTACTTTCAGTTTTCAAAAAAAGCTGCACTGATATTTTTTCCACATCTCCAAAGTTCGGTCTTGGACGCTGGTTGCATTTTCTGCTTCTCACAGTCCAGCAATCCCAAAGACATTCAGTGACATTGAGGTCTGGACTCTGGGGTGGTCAGTCCATTGTTCTGAGAACACCAGCAGCTTCTTTGTTTGATTTGCAATTTTCTTATTTTTCTATTTCCTTTTCTAAGTAACAGATTATTGGCAGCTACACATCCTTTCAGACTCACAGTGTTGAGTTGTCTTCTCACAGTGGAAAAATGGACAGATTCACCTGTGGATTTTTCAGATATATAGCAAGAGTGGAACTTGATTTTCTCCTCTCTCTCAAAGAGGAAAGCTTTAAGTGCTGTTTGTCTGATGGTGACAGTTTTGATGATCTACCACACTGAAAAAAATAAATTTACTGAAAAAAAAGTTTCGCAACAATTTGCATTTGGTTTTTTAAGTAAATTTAACTTAAGGTGATTTTAAGTAAAATATACTTAATTACTAGTGTTAACTGTTACATGAATAAAACAAGTGAGCCATTGTTCCTGTTTCGTGTTCCACCACCCTACAGAATTTAGCTTCAACCCTAAATAAAACACAGCTGATTTAATGACGGCCTTTAGAAGCATCTGAATATTACAACTCTCCCAGAATGTAGATCTCCGGGACCAATTTGACCACTCTACTATACAGTGTTGTAAGGAAGCACATCTCCTTTGTGCTAGCATTTTGGACAAGACAACACATTATCAATTAATACTTTATTGAATATTAAAATTTTTGTTGATTTTTTTATTGCATTCTGTTGCATGTCATAAAATTCCCAAATGTATGCAGTGTGGTTCACTGGTGGTTTTGGATAGTCAAAATAAAATGGCTATATTTGTGTTGTAGATACTGTGACCTCTGGTTCCACCACCACCACCACCACTATAAAGAAATCTGAATCTCTACAATGAATGAACTATTTCACCCCAAACCACTCTGAATGACCGTTTACATCTCATCCATAGAATTATACAGAAATTTTGAAAAATGATGAAATTTCCCCTTTCAAGAAACAATACAGCCGATTAGTCAACGTTAGCTAAGTTAGTGTGCTGCCCACATTTTCTGCCCAAGAGACAAATCATAAATGGAGTGAAATTCACAGCAACTCAATCTGACAACTGACATCAGCTAGCAGCGTTTGCTAGCTAGCTAGCAAGCTAATGTTACTTAGCTAGTTGGCTACGGCTAGCTAGTTAGGATACATAACTATTAAGCTAACTAGCTAAGATACGTTACCACTACACTGAGACTACTTAACCTGACTAGTGACAAATGAATTAAAGTAAAGCTTCATGGGTAGATATTTATTGAGACGCTCAACAGACGTGTTGACAGGGTTTAACTTTGCTGGCCGTTTATCAGCACAATGCTCAGCTGGTGTGTAACAGCATGCTCATGGTAGCTAGCTAGGTTTTACTCTATAACAGCTGCGAATTTGGTAGGTGAAGGAAACAGTAACACTCAAGTGCAGCAGTGCAGGGAGCCTAGCAATGTCTGTCTCGCCGTCGTCTTCATCTCGGCATCCGTTAATTTAACCGAATAAGTGAAATATGCCATTTGAATTTTTACTTCTTTGCTAGCATCAAATAAGTATTCAATTGATTCTAATAATAATTTTATTTGTAAAAACAGTTTTATTTAGTCGCAATTATTATTTAGAACTAGCTGAATCATTTTTTGAGTGCAGGCCTTAAACAGAAACTCCTGTTTTTTTGTGCCTATTTTCCTTTGGCTTTCTCCTTCCTTATGTACATGGTTATGTCTAATTTGTATTTGTACTTGGCTGGTTTGACTGCAGATTAAATTAATGAAGGGTGGTCTCTGACTTTGGTACAGTACTGTCTTTGCTTAGGTGCAAAACAAGTATAAATGAGTACTATGATATTTGATAAACAGTATAAAGTAGTACTGTGATATTTGATAAACAGTATAAAGTAGTATTATGATATTTGATACATAGTATAAAGTAGTACGATGATATTTGCCCTTGACAAGTAAAACTCCACGTCTCAAAAGCTGAGTGAAATATCATCACACTTTGACTTTGTCTCCTTTAAGGATTGGGCTACTGCCTGACATTTCTCCCCACTGTCACAATCCTGTCCCAGTATTTCAGTAAACGTCGCTCCCTGGTGACTGCTATGGCCTCTACAGGAGAATCCTTTGCCATATTTGCTTTTGCACCAGGTAAGAACAACCGAGCTCGGCTGTTTCACTCACTGTCCAGTTAGTCACTTCATCTGAATGCACGTGTCTGTTTTGTAAAAACATGAGTTAGCCTACAATATTTAAGCCAGAACTGACACTGTCTGATATCATCTTTTCAGTAAAAGGCATACCTTTATCTTCATATTATATACAATCAGTTGATACCAAATATTGATACCACTATGATTTTTTTTTTGTTGTAACAACTAAATATTTGCACTCAAATGTGGTTTCTATTACATGACATTAATCTTAATGGTATTGGTATTGCAAATACTCATATTACATATACTTGCATTTAAGTGGCAGTCAAGGAGCAGTGGTTTTTGTATCAGTGCATTTCTATCTAAGCTCAGATAATATGTATGTTTCATTTGTGCCCTAAACTTTTTTTGCAGCATTCACAGCACTTAAGACACATATTGGCTGGAGACACACAATGGTGGTGCTTGGAATATTACAGGGTACCGTTGTTATGTGTGGACTTCTGCTTCGGCCCTTGATCATCAAGCCTAAGACTGCTAATGAGTGTTTCACTCAACCTCTGAAATCCAGAAAGCAGGAGATCATCAGCTCTGTCCCTGATTCCAAGCTCCATGGTTCTTGTAGCTCTGGAGGTGCACAGTCACAGGAGCAGCCAGAACAGAGCCTTCAAGTGGTGCGACAGCAAAAAGAGGCAGACCCCTTTCAGATACCCCAAAGCCAACAGGACCAAAGCCAAGAGGAGCCAAGCAGAAGCAAACTCCTGGACCTAACAGTGCTAAAGGAAGGCAGCTTCGTGTGCTATGCTGCATTCGGTCTCTTTGCAACACTTGGCTTCTTTGCCCCGCAGCTCTATGTGGTGGAGCTTAGTGCCAGCATGGGTACTGAAAGGGACAAGGCAGCCTACATGCTGTCAATAATGGCTGTGGCGGAGATCTTTGGACGTCTCGCTATTGGCTGGATTCTAAGCTGGGGCCGCATTAGGAAGATATTTGTCCTGCTTGGATGTGTGACGCTGATGTGTTTGGTCCTTGTGCTTTTCACTGTAGTCGATGGTTTCTGGGGACTGGCAGTCTGCTGTGTGCTCTATGGATTCTTGTTAGGCAATATTGCATCCACACACATACCCATGTTGGCTGAGGATGATGTGGTGGGCATCAAGAGAATGCCCTTAGCTGTGGGCGTTTACGTCTGCATCCAGAGCTTTGCGGGGCTTGCTGGACCACCTTTAGGAGGTAAATAAATGTTATTTCTGCTGTTTTAAGGTCAGATCACACCAACCCAACATTCTCTAACAAACCCAAGTGGGGGTTGATGTACTATACCTGTGTTTGATTATTGGGTTCTAGAATGTTCTCCCTCCATTCACTCTGATTCAACTGAAGTTCTTATTCTAGAACATTCTGAAGCCGACTGCCAACTACAGAATGCTAGGCTGCTGTGCTCTGGCCTTTGGAATTGACTCTTTGCAAAAGCTCCAACTCCCGCAGTTACTGTTGCTATGATAAGGAAAAGTGTGTCTGAATTAAAATTCCCCAGTACACTTTTTTACTGTCTTTTTAGCCTAAATAATCTAAAACTAATTTATTACCACCACTGTTCTGTTGTGAGACGTTTTGTCTGAGGTTTTCCTTCATTTGATGGAGGAAGTATCGCTTAAAACAGTTGTGACTGGATGAGAGGCGTGTCATTCAATATTTTGCTGTCACTTAAAAGATATTTACTTTTTCAAACAGAAAATTACTATTTTTGTTGAATGCTGGCTCATTATTTGTTTCAAATGTTTTCCAGGTGTTTTGGTGGACATTACTCAAAACTACAGCTCGGCCTTCTACTCCTGTGCTGCGGGAACGGGGTTAGGAGCGCTTTTCCTTGGGCTGGTACGTCCAGCGAAGACAGGTCACCTTTGCACAAAGAAGTGTTTCAGCCCTTGCCAGGACATCCCTGTAGTTGAGCATGTGAGTGAAGATAAAGTTATGCCAGAGGAATTCCTAGAGGTGAACATTCTCTCCAACCTACAAGGTCAATCTTGAAGAAAGCTGTCTTCTCTGTGGACTTAGTTGGGACTTGGGAAACTATCAGATCTGTGAATGGCTGATCATGGAACAGCTTTAAAATGGATAACAGTTTGAGACAGTGGTTAAATTTCAACAATAACATTCTTCTTGAACAGCAATTGCTTCAGATGAATAGACAGAAACAGCAAGGTTGGGTTACCTTGTCCTCACACCTGTCAATTATACACAAAATTGCCTTAACGAGAGGGGTAAGTTTGAAATATCCATGACAACAGAAGCCTGAGCCTAGACACATCGCACTCTCCTCTGCATTCATCCATGTAAGTTCTAGTTACAATTCTGGATGGCCATAGAATCAGAACTTGAAATAGTTGTCTGTAACCACTCTAGCCTTAACAGACCATTGATGGCTCAAATCAGCTCGAAATCTCCTGTGCACTAAAATCAGAACTTTCCAACAGCTTAAATTTGATCAGTTAAAGCTCTGAAGAATCACTGCAGGTTTCCTGCTCTTTCACATATCTGATCCATATCATCAAGCTCTCTAGGAGCTGAAACAAGTGTGCAAGGAGAATACCTCTTTATATGTTTCTTAAAGGATGAGGAAAGACTGAAGTAAACAGTTTATGACTATTGTATATATTCCCCATAGACTGTTGCTGAGATTACTCTGGGTTCTAAAACTATCCAAATGTTAAATCCTGAATGATCATTTTCTAATTTAAAGGAACGTTTAGTTTTAGTTATTAAAAAAAAAAAAAAACAGTTCAAGGCGAATTCTCCTAAAGTAAGACACGCTGCAAAAAATATTTTCCACAGGGTATAAATCGCAGCAAAATTGCTTTCAGAAACTTGAATACGCTTTAATGAAGCGATGCAGCATACTCTAACAGTTTTGCTATTATTTACATGCTATGGTGAAATCTGAACAGGGGCAGATTTACTAAAAGAGGCGCTAATTAAATCATGGCAGCCGACTTTTACCAAAATAGGGTTTGCATATGTAAGTAAATCTCATAATGCATACGCATAATGTTTTAATACACCTGAGAGTATTTTGTTTCCATGTTGTTTCTAGGCACAGGAACTGAAGCCATCAAAGCCAGAATATAAAATATAAAGCTAAAAGACAGATCGCTGTTGTGATTGTACAACACCATTTTGAACCTGATGCAGTTCTTTGTCCTGTGGAAACCCATGGGAGGTCATTTTGAGCCATATTACACTACAGAAGCAATTCACTTGATTAAAAACAATTTTTAAAAGTCTAAAAACTAGGAAAATTGGCTTTTATCATTATTTCCTTTAAGAAAATGGAACTTTTACTAAAGCAACGGAACCTGCTGTGATACAACAGAGACTTTCTGAAGTTACACAAACACATAAGCACCTTTCGAGTGGCAACTTAACTTCATAAATTAAAGTACATAATTAAGTACATGTTAAACATTGAGTAGACACTTTACGTACTCAGTGAGCCTTTTTACACCTTGCATGTGTTTCATGTCTGGATCGTATCTAGACAAACTTTGGCCAGATTCCATTTACACTTTCAGTAAAATGCATCCCACTTGTGATCAGATGAGATCTGACTATACTTTTCCAGCATAAAAAGCACATCAACATGTGTCACTACCATTTTACTTCTGTTTACTTTTTTCCTCCTTTATGATGCTTGGCCTGGACACTGTCAGAGGCCTGGAGTGCATGAAGGCTGTTTGTTTTGGGTCAATCTCAGCCTTGTTTATTCTACATCTTTCAACTTATTGTTTATTTTCTCAGCTGCTAGTCAGCGCTCAGCAGATGCATTTCCACTCACATAATTGTAAACAGATAACAAAAATACCTTCCATTTACACATCTGTTAAAATGCTGTCAAGATCTGTCTCTGACTGTGGTTTGAGTGACCAAACCGTAATCCAATTATAAAGCGTCCTGGGTGTGAAACTGAATGTGATCTAATAATTGAAAACGCATGTTGATGCAAGGCCCAATATGTAGGTCACAGCGATCATTAACATTAATAACTGAATAATAATAAGTCTGGAGTTTGAGAAGTTAAAATCTACAATGTTTATTATTTCACACCAGCTAGGGGATAACTGGGCATTGTGCACACATTTCAGAGAGCAAATAAACAAGATAACACACAAGATAAGCGACTCTCCCAATGCCTCTATACATGTGAAAATTAATCAACAAAATTAATAAGATAATTAATTAAATAAATATTTAGAAACAGAAGAGAAAGCAGAAGGTGATCAAGGCTGACAGCATACAAAGAATAAGAGATCACCATCAAGCAAAAGCAAAAATTGACTAATGATTGATTGTAGTAGAACTGTGATACCATAAGATACAGTTATCATAACATAACTTATTGAGGATGTTAGGTACAGTATTAGGCTTCCCTTAATGACCACTCACTGTATTTCATTACTTAGGCATTGCAGTGAATTGAGATAAAAGGCAATAGTACATGGTACAAAAACACAGAGTGCTGTAGATATTTTAGTCATTTAATTTTTTTAAATAAACACACTTTAAGAGTGAATTATTTAGCAATTTTATTTAAATTGTTTCTGCTGAATTTTGCACACCGACCGTCTACTGCATAGTTACTGCTGCATTAACTTTATATTCACATTTTGGGACCAATTATGTTTTTTTCTCATGACACTGACATATATTTATCAATCCTAAGACTTTGTCACTATGTGTCAAAACGAGGTAAATGCTTTCACATCACTGTTAAACTACAGGACACACCACTTAAGAAACTCTCAATCTTAGACTGCTCATGTTATGCAAAGAGTGCTGCCTGGGGAGAACAGCCATGTGACTGTTCCTCCACTGTCTATGAGCCGATCTACTTTAATGTGAAGATCTATTCAGATATAAAGCTACAGAATGTGAACACAACCTTTAATAGACCTTTAATAGAACTATATCAATGTGAGCATGAGAATGGAACGGTCAGTCTGAGTTAACGCCTTTTATAATTACTGTGCCAAGGATGTGAAAATGTCTACATTTGAAGGTTAATTCTCAAAGGGTAATTCCCATTTTGCAGCATACTGTTATAGACTGAGCACTATTATAAGACTTGAATTTTGTATATTTGGAACATGTTCCCAAAGGATGATTTTGCAAAATGTTTTGCATGTCTGGAAGAGCAACATAATGTACATAATTATTCCACACAAACCCTTTTATTTTTTGACCTGAAATAAAGTAATCTGAGCAAAATCTTTTGAAATACTGTATTTCATCATAATTTTACAATAATGTATTTTGTATTGAACTTTCAATTAGTTAACTTACATACATTCAAGGTGCAAAAAAAGGCAAATAAAGCTTCTTTGTTTGATCTAGATAAACCAGATCCACCATACATCAAATATCTTTCCACTTATCACCCTCATGAGACTATAACATAATTAAAATATTTCATCTTCCAGTATGCTCAGACACTTACATAACCATTCCCTGAAGCTTTGGAAAGCTTGAGTGGGTTTGCACAAGTGTTGTCCAGAACTGCTCACTCCATCCTCTATCCAGTGTAGTAAAGCCTGTAGGAGGCACTTCAGATTAACACACTGACCAGCAATAACACATAATAAATATTAATACAATCAGCTCAAACCCCAGCCATATAGTATAGTGTGTGTGTGTGTGTGTGTATATATATATATATATATATATTAGTTTATTGGCTTTACATGAATTACCCCATGAACCTAAAGGCCCATATGTGTCCCACACTTCAGTTTCTCACTCTCATATCTTCATATCAATTTATGGTAGTTACTGAACATTAAGTTTTAAGATTAATCTTAAGGACTCCAAGTCTAAACATTTGTCTCTATGGGAAAAATGAACAGTGTTTTCAAAAATCCCAACTGTTGCACCACATCTTATGGTAAACAAAAATTTTCTGAAAGACATTTTTCTTGCAAATGCCATTAGGTCACCTGATTCACAAGGTCATTAAGTCTTATGATGACAAATCTGCAGCAGGCGTTTGCATGTAGCATAAATGTAGCAATATATTTTGTCTACTCATAATGAAACAGTGATATACAAGGGGGGGGGTGTACATAACCCAAAATGTACAGGCTTTGGAACTTGTTGGTTGAGCACAATAAGGGCGGTTTTCAGAAACTGCAGTAGTTTTTTCCCATAGAAAAAATGGATTAGACCAGGGGTGCCCAAACTTTTTTGTCTTGGGGGTCAAACTGCAATGTTGGGCCAAAAAGTCAAGATACAAATAAAGAAGGTAAGTAGGTTTCAGGTTGAGTTTTTAAAAAATGTACTATAAAGGTCATAACAACTGTATAAGTATTATAAAATGTATTATATGTCCTACGTTTTTCTTGTATTTTATTTAGCCCTTGAGGTCCACTTATGACATTTGTGAGGTTTTATGTACCAAAAATGGTCATGATTAATTTTTCCATGACCATGTTCCAACTTTTTATCCAAATCTTTATCTCTTAGAATTAAACAGGCTGCTTTTGTTACTGAACCTTAAAGGCTGATATATGTAAATGATGTCTGCTCTGATGGGCTGCCCTGTATTGTTCCTTATTCAAAAAGCATTCAGAGCTGAAACACTCTCTAGAACTTCAGAGTGAATGGGTGGGGCTGCTGTAGGCTGAGCAGGTATTTGCATGCAAATGAGTTGGTTCTCATGACATCACAGAAATAATGAATTCCAAACAGACTGTTTTTATAGAATAGCTTCTATACATGGATTACATGGAGTGGATAGTAAGTAGAACATTTTGAGACTGACTATGTTTACATACCACTTCAAGCATCTTTATTTTAGAAAGAGAAATTTGGTTTTCCAGGATATCAAAATATTTTGGAGCATTTTGGTAGCACTGGCTTAGAATCATGGCTTGTTTGAATGCAAATTCTAAAATGATGACCAATCTCAGAGGCTGACAGGGTTTAAGGGGTCAAGTCTTGAAACGCTTGAATTGGTTTGTGTACTGGAAAAAGATAGAATGCTCTGTGATTGGTTGCCTGAATAGCTAGCTTCCTGTCTGAGATCAGGCTGCAGGTGACAGGTGATTTTTGGCACAGTTTACCTCTATACACCCCTCTTACCTTGTACCTGTCGGCTATCTTAAAGCCAATGGCAGACTGTAGCTTCCTCAGGCAGATGGGGCAGATGTCCGGTGGCCGACGGTCTGATTCTTCTAAATGGTTGGAGCCTTGCATAACACACTGGAGCCAAAGACAGTGCTTGACACCAAATATGTGTCCAATCTCATGTGTCAGGGTCTGCCAGAGAAACACAAACAACTCAATGGCAATTCTTGAGAAAAACATCACAAAATTTAAAGTAGCCAAACATTGATCTTACTGACGTATGCAATTTTTGTAATTTCATGACCAATACATTTGGTAAGTAATAAGGTTAGAGCTAAATAGTGCAATAAATAATAATTCACAGGACTGGTTTAGATTGTCTCTGTTATTTCTTCATGTTTCCAAAAGACTGCTGGAGGACCATGACCTAAGACAAGGTTTAGGATACTACACTGACTGCCACACCTTACATGAGCGGAAGAGCAGGGTGCTGGTGATTGGAGGTGTATAATAGCCCTGGAATATGCTATAGTCTCCTGGCTTCAGCTTTATCGCCTTCTTCAGCCGTCCTGCATAATTTCTTGTGTAAAAGTCATCGTCATACCGGGCAAAGCTGAAAACTCCCATTCCTGTGGCACAAATGCTGAATATTTAGACTTCTATTCTATAAAACAGCTTCATCAATAATAAATCCAAAGTTAACTGCAATGTTCTAACAAAGGATTCAGTAAAACAATGAATGTTAATTCCTTCAGTGGTTGTCTTAGTCTATGCAGCCACTCAGGATTTACATCAGATATGCTGAACGTGGCAACTCTATTCAGCTAATCCAGAATAACAGGGATTAGAAATCTCAGCATGGAGACTGGAAAATCTGACCAACACAGTTCCATTAAATATCACCTTCAGTGAGAGATGCTTGGCCAAAAACAAAATTCCAGGAGTCTTTTGGGTACAGATCAATCATCGTGATCCCCACAATGCAAAATGCATCTTTTGGCTTCTTCTTTTTCAGAAAATTCAGCAGTTCTCCTATGAACATGGCAAGAAAACAGTCAGTAAAGGACTGTAAGTAATGAGTGAAAAAATGGCAGAGAAAGAAAACATCCGGTTTGGGGGTCACGTTGAAATGTGTTAAACAAAATAACCAAAGAACTAACCAACACTGCCCCTTCCTCTGAGCACTGACTGCCCTCTACAGGACAATGAGCGGAAATGGCCAAAATCAACCTCTTCGGTATCCAAAACAAGCACAATGCCTATTAACGCTTACCAGCATGAAGCTGAAGGTTATGTGTATTGCTGTTGACACGGAAGGTACAGCCTGTGGACGCGATTGTTACTGGTGGTAGAAGCTTAACCACCAAGCCGTAGTAGAACGCCTGACAGTATCCTCTCAGCCACTCCACATACTGCTCAGTGATCCCAGCTCCTTCACCGAAAGAGCCTGCAGACAGAAGAAACCCAAGGCAACATTATAAACATGAAAGGTATCGACTCAGTGCAAGATACTACTCCATTTGAGAACTAAAGGCAGACCCAATGCTCTCCAAGAAACACCAACACACCTAAACATTGGGTTGTTGTACCATATCTCAGTGTGACTGATAGGATGTTCTAAAGCCCTCAATTCATACTGGTCCTTTTGGCTTGTCAGTTAGAAGGCCAACTACCAGTACTACAATGTTGGTCTTTATACTAACCAATAGTCTGTATGTAGATGGTCTTATGGCCATTGTTAGGTGTGCTGCGGTACGGGTTGCTGTAGAAGCTCAGAAAATCCTGAGGTGCTTCAGGGTGTGAAGGAATCCAGTCTGAATCAGAGTGAATGGTGATGGGACTGAACAGTGGACTGCCAGGAAGGAGACCCTCTTCCAGCAACCTCTTTTCCTCTCGGCTGTACTGCTCATAGGTCTGGATCAGGTCCTTTCGAGTGGAGCGGAGAGCTGAGCGCAGTTTCTCCACAGGATGCTCAATCACCTGCATCTGACATGGACATTATAAGTAGACAGAAATATACACTACACAATCATGGAACAGCACACACGGTTCAGTACACACATTAACCGAGGTATAATTTGTGCATAATGTGTTTTTTGTGGCTTTTAATAAAAGTTCTACCTTTTTTGTATTCATATTTTTTATTTGATCCATATTATTGTCTCTGTTTGTTTTAGTTAAAACTCTTCATGTTAAATTATTAAACTTTATTTTCTTTTATTACTGTTACTGAACATTATTACTTGTCTAAAGCACTTTGAGCTGCTACGTGTAAGAATTAAGTTTATTATTATAATCTATGTCCTACAGTCCTTATAGTCAACAGTTCATATGGACTTCATCTACACTTATCTGTTCTGTTTCGTACGTATTTTAAAAATGACATCTGGAATATTTGCTTTTCTGCTCAGTTTGAAACGACCTCGAAATGTCTTACCATGACAGCTGGCTTCTTATTAGAATTTTCCATTCCACCTTAAATGGTGCAGCTGTTTCATTATCACTGCTACAACATTTAAGGTGGAACACAAAATTATAAACTTTCGAATAAGAAATTAACTTCAGCCTCGTAATCTTACCTTACCAACAGTGGAGATCTTCAAGATCCGGGTTCATCATAAATGTGATTTATGGAAGCTCGTTTGAGGGGTTTTATATTTAGAAAGTGAAACTGGATTTTTTCGGGCAGCCGTAACTTAGTTAGCAGGAGAAGCAAGCAAGCAAACAAAAAACTTGCACAATTAACGTTAAATGTATTATATAAAGTCTGCAGACACTGAAGAGTTCAGAGGCTTCCTTTACGTTCGTCAGGACGTTCAGGGGCTGTGAGGTTAAACACGGCCGCGCACAGATCAGTCCGAACAGCGGGATCCTTCGGGAGCTCAGACCCGTCCCTAGGCCTGACAGTCCACACTACTGTTTACTAACAACGCGGAGCTCAGTCATTTTATGGCTGCCTGTGATCATTTTTCAAAGCTAAAGTCCCGCCTTGATAGGCTTTTCTTTTGAAAAAACACAATCGGACACGAGCCCCACCCTGAACATTACACTCCAGATTATTTTCATTTGAAACAACTGGTGTGTAAGGGCGTTTTGTTTATTAACGAAAAGCACAAAGGCACACATTTTCTGTCGGAGTGGTTGACTTTCGGGGATATACTCTACTGTAACAAACATGCCCAGGTTGTCTGAGTATACTAACTTACTCATCTCATATTTCCTTTTCCCTGACTGTTCAATGTTGCTGCTATAGTCTTCAAAATAAAAGTCCCTCTGCTGCCGGTTAGATTGCTTCACCGTACAGCCCTAGCAAACAGGTTTCTGTGTAGTACCAACACAAGGTGCAATGACGTGCAATAATGGCAGAACCATAAAAAATCTTTAAGGAACAATATAACCGGTACATTTAACCATGTAAAGGACCATTTATAACCTTTGCCTTTACTAGAAACCCTTCGAAGAACCACTTGAAGGGTGCAGAAAGTTTTATTTTGTTTTTCCATTTTATTTTTTCTTCCACTAAAGCTCAGAGCATTATTCTCTTTTCAAATGTAGAGGAAGGCAAAGCGTAAATCTCTTTATAAGAATAAATGGAATCATTTGGCAAAAAGCTAAAAGTTTTCAATGGTGTTCGCGATGAGTAATGGAACAAATTTCAGTACTATCAGTAACAATTCACAACCTCTAATGTAGAGTTTTACATTAGAGCAAAACCAGCTTATTGGAAATAGCAAATTCTACAGGGAAATCTGTAGATTTAGATTTAAAACATACATCTAAAAGGAAGGCAAGAAGATCAAAAGGTCTTGTATCTCTGTAAAATAGTCAGATTTAATGGACCAAAAGGAGTTATACAAAAGCGATTGAAAACAATGAAATCGATACTGTACACAAAGAACATAAGTGACAGTTGTGGGCTATGACTAAACTGAGCAAATTCTTTTGCAAACCGTGAAAACAGACCCCTGTGCCAGTCTTCAGGAAATCAGCTTAGCACTGTAAATTAGCTAAAGTGATGACAGTCTTCTAACTCAAAATTACAGTAAGGCTTACACCACTGTCAAAATCATTTCACATATTCACAAGCAAGAAGCCACTTCAACAAGCAAGATTTCTTAGCTAGTCATATATGTCAACAGATGATGTAAAGGACTTTGTCATGCGACACAGTTTTTACCCAAAACTGCCAGCTGAGATGAGAACTGAGAAAAATCTGCTCTCTAGCTCTAAGATTTAAAATCATAAAATATGCAAGGTTGTACTGTAAATGGTCATATGAGGTGAATTTCTGAACGTCTTGGTCTACATTAAAAAACAAAAAATGCTTCCTCCCATTCCCAAAATAAAATCACACCACAAACCCTGAGGAAAAACTGCCCACTTAAGCCAACAACATAAGACAATAAGGTTATTTGGTTTCTTGAAGTAAATCTGACATGATAACTGCATATGTACACATATTTATCTAACTCTGGTAAATTAATATATAACCCAACATAGGAAAGTTTCATAGATAATGCTGGTCACATTTCACTTTTAAGGAAACATTAAAGTGAAAAATCTGCCAGACTATGATTCAAAACTATAGACAAGGGATCTGTACAACATACATTCTGTATAACAAAGATTTTTTCCCTTTTGATAATAACAAAAACAACAGCATTACATACACGGGTACCTTAACTAGGATAATGCACGTTCAAGTGCAATTATATGGTGTTCTGAGTGGGGTCACCAAACACCATGATTTGTTCAACGAATCCAAAAATTGCAATCATTAAGGGGTGCTCATCAATTATGTGTCTACAATGCATATTTACAGTCCTGAGTCTCAGCAGTTAACCAGGCTAGTCAGTTAGCATTTGGAGTGTGACTCTGAATGTATAGTTCAGCTACATTTACCACTTAGCTCTGTGGCATGTCCATGCCTGCTCCACAAATATGAAAGCCAGACACTTAAAAGGGACTAACTGTTCAGTCCACCAGCCACTTGGGTAAATAAAATATAAAAATAATTACAAAAAATAAAATATGAACCTTCCAAACACACTTCTCTCAAAAGCACAGATATTGTTTGGGGCATCAATGACCAATATAAGCTAATTTTACTAGCCTGCTATTCACAAAGGTCGTCACTAATTCATCTTCCTTGTAATTCATCTTCCAAGTTACTTTTTTCATTTTACCTAAATACTAGTTTAAAACAACTGCAGAGTAGCAAAATAATTTTTGTAACAGTGCTTAAATTAAGTAACTGTACTGCAGGGCAGTGTTCATTAAGCTGCATAACCTATAAACCCACACAAATATTTAAAAATGCTTATTCCAGTAAGCGTCGTCCATCAGAAAGGCTGCTTTTGTCAACTTTGTTGTCACTTTGACATAGCACCTATTTTTTTAATGACACTGTGTCACGACACATTCAGGTGAAATGACCTGCACATCATAACAACTTACATTTGTGTAAAATTTATAAAATTAAACATTTTACCTAAAGACCTCTTTAACCACACTGACTTGTCCAGCTATGTCATATAAGCACTTTTACTGTGACATCCTCTGTCATTTCACCACAGAGAGTGACAGCCCCAAATCAGAAAGAAAACAGTCGACATCAGCTGACACAGTGTTTATCGATATTGATGTAGGTTTGTCAGTTGTCATTAAGGTCTTATGAGGGTTGTCACGTAGCCTTACGAACGCTGCCCTATAGTAAAAAGTTACTAAAAAATAAAATCTTGTGTATATTGTAGATGGCCTGATGTCTACAGATAAACAATGAATAACTACAGCAACATTGAGAAATAGAGGTCTTTAGAGTTATACGCCCCAAAACTCTTATCTGGATAGGAGAAAGCCATACGTCATACCGATCCACAGGACATCAGTGAGAGTTCATCTGCAAAATCAGCAGTGATCAGGTTGGAGCACCAGAACATGGAGAATGTGTCTGACAGACAGCTTATTAAAAAAATAATAATTAAAAAAATTATAAAAACAAAAGGGGAGCTTGGTGAAGTAGTCTTACCTCCCAGTGGCAACAAAATGTACCTGCTTTGGGCAGGTTTTAATTTCAGGGCTTTTACTAAATCATGGATCATGTTAAAGAGAAGCCAAAAACAGAAAGAAAGGAAAAATTAAAACAAAAACAAAAAAACAAACAAACAAACAAACAAAACTCAATAAAATGGACTGATCATAAACAACGCCCCACGTCTCTCATTGCAACATGAGCTGTTTCAAATTTTCGTGCAAGATAGTGTCCTTTACATCACGGAAGACGAGTCGGATGTTCTCTGTGTTAATGGCAGTGGTGAAGTGATAGTACAGGGGTTTCTGTTGTTCACGACGCTTGCTGCGGAAGCACTCCACTAGGAACTTCTTCACTTCAGACAGATCGTGGGGATCTGCCGTGTACTCAGGGAAATAGTCTTTGATAGACACAATCTTCACTTTCTCTTCCAGCAAGTCCATCTTATTGAGAAAGAGAATGATCGATGCATTCGAAAAGACACGGTTGTTGACGATGGTCTCGAATATGTTGAGTGATTCCATAAGCCTGTTGGTTTGACGGTCCTCCATTAGAACCTGATCAAACTCGCTAGATGAGACAAGGAAGAGGACGGAAGTGACACAGTCAAAGCACTCGAACCATCGACGGCGCTCTGACCGCTGCCCGCCCACATCCACCATCTTAAACGGAACATTCTTGATCTCAAAGTCATACTCATGGATGCCCTTGGTGGGCTTCCGTGCCAGAAGTATGTCCTGCTGAGTTGGCAAGTAGTCCTAACAATAAGAAGAAAATGAAAAAAGATCAATTAATTTCTCATGATTTTCTCAGATATCAGTGCTGAAATTGCACTAACACTTATACTGACCACTGTAAAAATGCATTCTCTCTTCACATTTTAAATACAGTGCATTTAGTGAGGAAAGAAAAAGTAATTACCTGCTGCCCAATTCTGTCCATATCGTCCAGAAAATATTTAACTGATTCACCCTACAGACACAGTAAGAAGGAAAGAAAGTAAGAAAATGAACTATGGAGCAATTACAGCACTTGCATAACAAACATCCATAAGTTTTTCATACAAAAATTTTCATGTAGATATTTTTCCAATCACAATACATAAACATTTATGGAACAAACTGTATCTAGACCCACTTTAATCAGCATTTGGAATTATTCGTACAGAGTTACAATAAAATGAATAAACTGGAGACACTTTATCCAGCATCACCAACCAAACATTCTACTCTTCTGAAGAACATAGCCAAATAATCTGCCAAATCTAAATATCTGCCCAATAACAATATGTTTTGTAAGCTACTGTCTGCTAATACTGACATGATTCCAATATCACTATTTAATTACTTGGAATATGCAATGAATTTAGTAGTTAGACAGTCTAATCAGTTCGTTTATACAAAGTTAAATGTTGGCTGCAGACATAAATCAGTTATAAATGCACAAACACAATGCAGATTCCTGAGGTGTTTTCAAGCTACTTCTAATTATTATAGGCACAAAAGCTGCGACCCTTGTCCCCGAGAGCTCAGTCCTAAACCCTGAACGATAAATCCTCCAATCCCTTATTACAGAGAACAAGGATCAGTTTTAACTCTCTCTCAGTAGCTTTCATTTAGTGCAAGTAAAAAATCATGTTCTAGAAGCATTCCTTAAACCTTGAGAGGCAAAGCAATGAGTGGACTACTTTTCAGACATGAAAGTGATAGACTGGAAAGTACAATTCAACTAAACTAATTTTATGTTTCCTCACTTTAGAAGAAAACAACAAAAAAGCAAAAATTGATAAAGAAAAACACAACAGGAAAGAAGGAACAGGGACATTTCTGTGACCACATGACAAGAGTTTCACTTTCTGTTGGAAGACTCCACATGCTGACTCTTGACACTGAAGACTGTTGTAGAGGAAATAAAATACTATTTATCAGACTAAAAGAATTTTAAGTTTTTAAATCTGTAAAATCTAAATAAACTGTAATACCAACATAAACCTCTTGACAATCCCAGTAAATAGCTCGGAAGGGAGCCTCTGACCGTCAAATCTTCTAAACATGAATTAAAATTGCATCAGATATTAGTGTCATTCACACCCACTTTATTGATGGGTGACTTTAGTCATTAGATTAGACAAAATGCCCATGAAGTTGATGGACTCTTGTGCATGAAGGTATCATAGTCCAAGAGTGAGTCCTTTACATGGTGGTATTTTAAATAATGGTCTGAGCAGAGCTGGGCAATATGTTATATGTACGGTAGTCTTAAAAAAGATGGTTCTTTAGTAAAGAAAATGGTTCTATATGGAACCATGAACACTTAAAGAATCCTCTGCATGCGCAAAGGGTTCTTTGCATTCTTCAGATTGATACAGAATGTGCTGTAGATGGATCAACACAACCTTTTTGAAAAGGTTCTGTTGATCCTATATAGAATCCTTTTCAAAGGAGTTCTAAACTGAACTGTAGACAACAAATTTTCCTTCAATCTGAAAAACACTTTCATGATGTAAAGGATTCTTTGTCCTATATGGAACCATAAATATTCATTTTCTTTACTAAAGATCTCAGAGAACCATCTTTTTTTAAAGAATCTAGTACACTCATACTGACATCACATCAATGCTGCTTATTGGTTTTAGCTGTATTTAACGTACATATTTAACGCAGATATTCTTATCCTGAGCAACTTACAATTTAATCATGTTACAGAAAAAAGGCAAATACAGCATTGAGAGTATTACCCATAGACTCTTATTGGTATTGCGTGGTGTGTTTCACCTGGGTGGGGAATCGAACCCCAGTCTGCCACGTATGGGCAACGGTGTAATAATACTGCGTAAGATTCCCTTTGATGAAGCAGAACAAAAACATCCAAAATAAGCCCTGCCAGGTTTCTAAGGCATTCTGTTAGCAGTGCTCTGGAGGAATGAGTTTATTAACTTCATCATTACAAACTTAAAAGTTCGCATCTGATACCATGACACTGTGATATATCTGGAATATATAAGGGTCTTGAATTTTATCTTTTATGCTAATACTAATTCTTACATTCCATCCCAGAGAATGGAAGAAATAAAAGTGGCCAACATGTGGCTTCATATGAGACCAGAGATCTAACTGTGTGCCTATATTACAGCACCAAATGTTCTGAGCAAAAGGTTTTTCCTTGTCTTACCCACAACACTGACCAGTACAAGGCGATTAAACAGATCAACATTCTTAAACTGGGAACGCCACCCCCACCACCCCACAAACTCTGTTAAACAAGCTACACAAACAGTGTGTGTGGACAGTTCTTTCGGACCACACGTTTTAAAATTAGAATTGGTATCACAAAAGAAACATTTGTATCGTCCCACCCATCACAATGAAAAAGGGGACTTCACACAAGACATTCAGATTCAATGTTGGCTGAAAACCATGAAAAAAAAAAATCAAAACAAAGACACACAGGAGGAGTTTGACGTATGACTCTACAGATTAGGACGACCAACGTAGGTGGTTTCAGACTCACCAGCTGAAACTCTCTCCTCCTGTCATAAGCAGACTGGATCCCGCTGTCAGCCCACAGGGCCGCGGATCGATGGCAGATAATGGAGAAAGACTTTGGTCTCTACTATTCCCTGGGCCATCATGGACGAGCGGGTGTCAAAGCCCATCATGACTTCTCCATGGGCCTGGTTAGAAGGGTCTCCCCAAGGGATGTGCAGCTTTTCTCTGGCATCCACGAGGACCCGCACTCCTGGAAGACAAACCCAAACAAGGAAATTCCAGTGAGATAAGAGAGACTGATAACCTGTTAAATCCTTCACACAACGTTGGATAAGTTGGAAAAGCAGGTATTCATGAGTAAACACGTGGTACAACTATACCCAATTAACAGAGGTCATGTCAGATTTACAATTCAGCACAAAATACGCTTTATTACTACACCGCGCATTGATACGAGCAAAAGCAGGTACAGGAACAGAGGCTTAGACAGCCTTGCTACATACAGATCTATGCTACAGATAGCACGGATTGCTAAGAGTAGTGCGAGAAACCAAACAAACACAAGCTGAAGCTGAGTTTTGTCAACTTAAGTCAGAGTTTGCCGAGCCCTAGAACGCCCTGCTCCCACCCTAGGTGTGATTCACTGTGCCCACGGCTCAATAAAACTCATACAGGCCACCACAGGCAGCACGACGGCCTCGAAGGAACCGTCTTATTTCAACGTTTTGTCTGAAAGTCCATAGGCGCGGCGCTCGCTCCGTGTACTGTGAGCGTAGCTCTAACGCGAGCTAACGCCAGATTCACAGAGCTCTTCAAGTCTTATCGAAACTTATCGGCCGAGGTTAGTTCACGAAATCACTTTCACTTTGAAACAAGTACAGGACGTTGACTCGATTGTTTCAGTAATCGACAAACACGCGTTTTCGGCAGCAGAAAGTGAAGTACCTTTGATAACATTGCTGTAGATTGTAGCCCGGAACTCTTCTTTGGCCCGCTGATCGAAGTCCTGCCCATGAATTATGCGCATTTGTTTGAGGAAAGTTGACTTGCCACTTTCGCCCGCTCCCAGAAGTAAAATCTTCACCAGCCGCTTCACAAACGTCTTCTCCCGAGAAATACATCTGTCTATCTCTTTGGACTTTCTCTGTTGCTCGACCTCGTTGCTGGAGAGAAAACAAGCGGGGATACAAACTAAAGCCGTCCGGGAGGGCAGGAAATCAGCCATTTTTGTACTAACAACTTCATGGATCCATCACTCGCGGGAGCGCGCGCGGCTCGGTGCGCGTTCACGAAACTGGGCGGTGACTTTATGCCCAGTTTTAACTTGTAAATTTGTTCGTTTCAATGTAAAACTCAGAATCACCGCCCAGAAACATAATAAAGTAAATCTGTTTTTAAGAATATACGATTTGTTGGAGAAACGTTCATATTTCGACATTTGTTTATCGGGATTAAGCAGATCTGTCTGTAGCTAAAAGCAGTTAAAAGAAAAGGACGATGAGGACAGTTAAACACAGATATTGGACGTAAATTTAGAATAAGTTCTGATGGATAACGATGCCTGCAGATTCGACTTCTTGTCGTTTTTGTCTGTAAGCTTTCTCTGCGTTGGGCTAGACATTAATTTGTCATCAGGTCCACATTTAAAGGGGAACTCCACCCATTTTTTCAAAAAGAACATTCTACATAATTGGCATTTTGGTGTGAAATGCTCCGCTCTAAACTCTAAACACAGTCAGACTTCTTCACAGTGGTGGTGATGGGAACCAGACGTCCGCCTCTAAAAGCTCCCTCACAGGAAGTTATTACATGAAATGCTGCCTGACACTTTTACAGTAGTTTTGTGATGAGGCGTTGTATTTTAATCCATTTATTTTAATCCGTTCCAGGCGGACGGGTGGCGTTGTGAGGAAAAATAGTCTCCAAAGAAAACTTTTCATATTTATGACTATCATCAACGCTGCATATACAAATGTACAAGTCGTGTAGGTTCACTGGTGGATTTGAATAGTAAATAAAATCGCTATATTTGTGTTGTAGACATGGCGAACCCAGGTCCCTATCACCACCACTGTAAGTAAATCAGTCTGTAAGTTTCTCTACAGTAAACCACTTCACATCACACCAGTCTGAATGAATCCGTTTACATCCCAACCACTGAATAATTCAGAAATTTTGAAAAATAGTGGAAATCCTCTTTAAGCTGAAGCACTTGTCAGGGGGTGTAGGAAATGGGAACCAAGCGGTCAGAAAATACAGCTTTGATTTCTTTCACTGGCACAAAAACTCAGTGCAATGAATGACCAAAGCCATTGAGCTCACAGCAGGTCAACATCGCCCCCTACAGGACGGCGCTGTGTCACTGCCTGCTCTCATGCAGGATGTGACAGGTTTGACTTGTAGGAGCGGAGCTGCTCTCTGATTGGTGGAGACAACCATCGTCTCTGTGTGTGTGTATCAATAATAATAAGAGATTAGGCAGGATTAGAAAAGCTCCCACGTCCATCCGAGCAGCCACTTCATCTTTGCTCCTCGACAGTGCTCGGCAGGCTGTGTCCTCCTCCGCTCTGCGCACTTAAGACCCAACATGACTATAAGAAATGTGCGGGATCACGGACAGCGTTACAGACCGCGGATGTCTTGCCTCAAAAAGGTGGGTTGAACGCATGAATGGAGGGCTGAAACACCGTCATCTGGGGTTTGGTGTTATTCAGCACAGCGCACGTTGTCTTTTTCGAGGCTATGTTTCACTGCTGCTATTAAACGTGAATTACTGCTTGGAGAGAAATCCTGAAAGACTGATCCATCTGTGGTTCATCTGGCTGCTCACAGTCGTCTGTTAAACCTGAACTGATGCCTTTATGCCAGCTGATCTGTAGGACTAACTCTTCCACCTAAACATTTCCATCGCAAGTAACTGTTGCTTTTGAGTGTTATCTATTATTATACTATAAATATATGTAGGAATTACAGTGTAATATAAACATTAAAATGAACAACTATTAGTAAGAAACATCTTTAATATAATTACTGACAGTAATTATCACATGAAGGCATTTTATTTTCATAATGTAAACTAATGAGCACAGTCTCAGTGTAAGCTGTCAACGTTTTCATACTTTATTTTATGGAGCTTTATGTTCTCTCCATCACCTCAAGCTCTTTTTAACCTTCAAAAGGATTTCCCAGGATTTCTTTCATTCCATCTACATTCAGTCCAGTCCAGTATTACATTTCCTCTGCTTGTTTGAGAGTTGTTTGTATGTGGGTATAGATGCTGCACACAATTAAAATATACAGATACAAACTACTGCCAAAGTCAGAGACCACCTTCACTTATTTGAACTCAAATCAAAACAGCCAAAAGGACAAGTTATTCATCTTTCAGCATTGGGAAAAAAAGCAAAAACCATATTTAACAAAAAAATATACAGAAGCCAAAACAACTAAATATAATATCACATTTCATGTGAAATCAGTGTTTAGTGTGACCATGATCTGGATTTATTACAGCTTCCGTTCTTTTCGGGATACTCGCTTTCAGTGTTCCAAAAAATCTGCAGGGATATTTTTCCACTGCTCCAAAGTTTGGTCTTAGAAGTTGGTTGCTTTTTGTGCTTCTCACGATCCAAGTAATCCCAAACACATTCAATGATGTTGAGGTCTGGACTCTGGGGTGGTCAGTCCATTGTTCTGAGAACACCAGCAGCTTCTTTGTTTGATTTGCAGTTTTTGTTCTTTTTTTGTCTATTTCCTTTTCTCTGTAACAGCTTCTTGACAGCTACACATCCTTTCAGACTCATAGTGTTGAGTTGCCTTCTCACAGTGGAAGGGTGGACAGAATCACCTGTGGATTTTTTCAGATCTGAAGAAAAATGGAGCTTGATTTTCTCCTCTCTTTCAAAGATGAAAGTACTTTTTATCTTATGGTAACAGTTCCGGAGGTTTACTTGGTCTTACATGCTTTCATTTAATGTTATTTTTTGAAAACTCCTGTTTTTCACTCATTTTCCTTTGACTTTATATATATTTATTTTTTTTAGTTATTGATTGTTGTTTATTTTGTCTATTCTATCAGCATGTCAGGTACAACTGGTCACTGTGTCCAAGTTAAGGTCAGTGTGTGCTTAAAGGTATTAGTCCAGCTTTATCACCAGCCTTAGGTCTGTTAAGATGTTGTGTTGGGTGATGCTGAAGTAATATTTTGAAGTAAACACATGCGCAGTGACTGCCTGTTGGCTGCCCTCTAAACCTAATATTGACTCAACATCGGGATGGTAATGGCTCAATCACTTGGTTAAGAGCTCACTGTGATCCAGATGAGGGTGCATGATTCCCCCAACAGCCTTCAAAAGCCAGAGACCCTGACAAAGCAAGAAGCAACTTCAAACAGCCCAAAAGAGGAACCAATCAATCACGGATGTATTTCAAAGGGGTCAGCCACACACCCACCAGGGCATGAAACAGCATGCATGAGGATGAGAAACGGCAGTGATGGGATGTTTGAAAATTGTGTGCTACGACTGACTTGTTGACCAATGTAAAGAGCGCTCCTCTGAGTTTTGTAGCCTTGTTCATTGTCTAAAACTCTTTTTGCAGGACATAAAAATGAGAGACTTAGTAAATATTTAAAAGTCAAAAATAACAAATGCATACATTAATCAGTCCATACGCTGTTAGAAATAAAGGTACTGTCCAGGTACATTTTTCAGTCATCATGGTACAAACCATGTAAATGTACCCTCAAAGGCACAACAGTGGTTTTAAAGTACAGTTTTTCCCAGTAGAAGTATATTTATACTTTTCATAACAAAACACAAAATAAATATTAAAACAAATACATCTAAAAATATAATTTAAATGGATTATGGTACAATTAAGTTCCCTGACTAAAGGTATTAAAGTGAAAAGAGGGGTACTGCCCCAGTGATAGTTTCGTCTCTAATGACAGTTTTAAGTGTCCTGGAATCAAGTCATTTTGAACTAATGGCTCAATCTGTACATGTGCGCCTCTAATTAAATGTTATTCTTTTGAGTGTGATCCCAACTCATCATGAGATGCCCTGTTATAATCAGGACAATTTGCAGCTAAATTATATGTAAATCTAGCAATGCAATTCACTATTCAAGAAAATAGGCCCTGAAGCTGGTGACTGACCATGCTAAAATATGTCAGGAGAAGCTGAACATGACAGTTCTTCTAGCACAATGTCACAGTGTACACAGTGAGAAACATGAAGAAGGTATTGTTGACACTAGCCTGAATTTCTGAGTGAGAGTACTTAAAGGAACACTTGAGTATTTTTCAGCCTAATCTCTATTTGTCACATATGTAACATATCGTCTTTGACCATGGACAATAATTTTGACTCAAAATGAAATCTTGAAAACTCACTTGGGCTGAAACATTTGCCAGTTGGCCTCTATTGTAAGTGAGTTTTTTAAATTTTTTTATTAAGGGGTCCATTTCGTGGAATACTGACTTCCCCTCTGTAACGCAGGGGCAGAGGCAGGTTGCAAATGCGAAGTACCTTTTTAGGGACAGTTCAATATTCCCAGTCACAGCAGGCAGAGGTCAAAACACAGGCAGGCAAAACAAGAGGCAGGTCCATACTCGAAACCAGGAAACCAGGAGAGTAGCAGTGGTCAAAAACAGGGAACACCAACACAAAGAAAATAGGACACACAGAGACTTTGCAACCACTGAAACAAACAGAGGGGTTTATATGGGAGTCTAAATGTCCAGGGTGTAAGACACTCTCACCTTTTTAATATGTAAACAGTTTAAAAACTGTATGGTTCACTACCCAGTCAATACAGTACATATATGAAAACTATGCTGCAAAAACAGTTTAATTTAAATATATTGTTCCTGTGATGTCACAAAACCTACTCATTAACACATATTCACCTATTCAGCCTACAGCTGTTTAGCCCCAGCTGTTCATACTGAAGTTTTAAGGAGTGTTTCAGGTCTGAGTGCTTTTGAAATGAGGCACAATACAGACAATCAGAAGAGAGCTCATTTACATATATACCAGTCCTAAAGGCTCAGTAACAAAAACAACCTGTTTTATGACATGAGGCTGGAAAATGAGTTATGACCATTTTTGGTATATAAAACTACACAAATGTTATACACATTAAAATACGTAGGATACGGGTCTTTTAAAGGTGAATAGTACTGTACAAGTAAAGGTAGTTTTTCGTTATTAGAATCATTGTCCTCTGTCTGTTTTACTGTTATAATGGCAGATGGAAGCTGTGGTGCTGGAGATGCAAGACCCCAAGACTGGGGTAAAATCTCAAACCCAGAGGCTGGTCATCACCACCATCCCTCATGCCATCACAGGTAAGCCCAGAATGCCTATCAGTGCTTCACTGCTGTGTGGATATGTGAATGTAATTGTGCGGAGTTGTGCTTAACGCAAGAGGAAAATCCTGAGAAATGGAAAATCTCATACAGCATATGAGACGCCAGCTATAAGCCAAACTGATGAGACTCCCCCACACTCAGTGATTTCTTCAGAGATTACTTTTTACTGTGCTAGTTCACTGCCAGTCCATGCATTAGAGTCCTCTTATGTAGGTCTAGGTCTGAAGTATCTATTGCCATGACAACCCCTGAGCAGCTGGCTGCAGTGATTCCCTCCTCCTGGCTGTGTGGTCTCAGGGTGGAGAGCTTTTCTTCTCTTCTTTCTTAAAGCCTTGCTGCTCTACAACCACCAGAAGCTTGAGACATACAAAAGGGGGTACAATGCCGTAAAATTAATAAAATGCAGACATTTTAGTGCCCAGAGTCATCTAAACATTCTGCACTGCCAGAGTACAATAAACATTAAATCAAATATCAGCTTGAATTATCAGTCAAATCTAAACATCTGTCCAATACCAATCATTGTTTAGGCAATTATCTGCAGATATAGTTCTGATATCATTGTTCATCCTTACAAAAGAGGCTATGAAAAACATCTCAAAATTAAAAACAAAGATCTGGCAAAAAAGAAATTAATATAAGAAGATGATGTCGTAATGGGCTAGCATCCAACCAGCTGTGCTGTCAAAAATTACTGTAAAATTACAGTAAATTACTGCCTACTGGTTGCATTTCTTTCACAGTAATTTACTGCATCATATTAACAGTACATAACAGTACAACAGCAACTAAATATTGTGACTCCACAGTCACCTGGACCACAAGATTAGTGTAGTTACTGTAGCTGTATTCTGTAGTACACTTACAGCAATAAGCTGTTATTAGAATATAGGAATCATCTGTATTTTTACACAACAACTGTAAAAGTAATGAAACTCAGTAGCCAGTAATTTATTGTAAATGTAAATATGAAAGTCCTATGAATATGTATTAAAATGAAAAAAAAAGAATAAAATTAAGCAAAAGATAAACAAAAATAAAATAAACAGTATTAATAAACATATTTATTATTCACAGAATATATACACAGGATATCTCAAGTATGTATTTTTAAATGCATATACATATGTACACAGTTTAAATTTGCTTATAATTTGCACAGATGTGACCAAAAACTCCCAGTTGCTGTCATATCCCATGATGCTGAGGGGTACAGTTCACTGTCAGTGTCAATTAATTTGCTGTATTATTACAGAAAATCTCTTAAGATGAATTGATTTCACAATAAAATGTATATAAAAATTTTGTGAAATCCCGGCAGTAATTAACAATGTGTTTGTTACTATGCAGTAGTTGATGTAATGTACAGACTCTCTAAAATTTGTATAACTCTGTGTTTAATATATATATATATATATATATATATATATATATATATATATATATATATATATATATATATATTATTTTTTTTTATTACATATGTGGAAGACTTAAAACTTAATGCTCCATAACTACTAAGAATTATTCTACCACAAAACTAACATGTAGGTTTGTATGGGAGAGGAACTGAAGTGTGGACCCTCTGATGGGTCCTTAGAGAGGTTAATCTTTCGATTACAAGTATTTTTAGCATTGTTTCTGAAAAGTGGGTTTGGCCTGGAGAGGACACCCAATGTGTACATGAATGATTTAGTGAAATCACGTGGGTCAGGTCAGCAGGCCCACCCACCCAACTCACTAATGAAGCTGCTCTGATTCACTCACGCAGGCTTCTGCTCATCTGGCTCCAATTAAAAGAGCTCCTGCTGACCACACACCAGGAAACCCAGTCATGACCTGACAGCTAGTACAACAACACTCCTATTTCTTCATCTAATTCCCTTTTACACTATTTAAGGTCTTTAAAATCCTAATTGAAAGGTTGTTAAAGCAACAGGATATGAATTTAATAATGCAAAGCACTCTTTGAGAAGTAAAATTTCATTTGCATGACAGATTCCTAAAAAAAACACTGCTTAAAAACTCTTTAATAAAACCATTCTTTGAAAGGTTCTTTAGGGAACCAAAAGTGGTCCTTCTATGGCATCACTCCACCTGTGGAAATTCCACTGATTTCTCAGAATTTCTACAAAAATCTACATGTGTCTTCTGAGTTAATACATTGTCACCATCGAAGAAAAACTTTGTATCTCCTCTCATCTTTTATTATTTTTTTTACAGAATTAAAAAATGCTACCTGCCCTTTACACTGTGTTAAAATTTTATGATGAATGGACCAATAGAAACGCTCCAACATCACTTGGAAAAGTTGTTGTTCCATTTATTTCCATTAAAGTTAAGAAGGTTTTTCCTTTCTACTGTAATGTTGCCATTTTAGAGAGACAAAGTTTTTTTTTTCATGATGGTGAATGTATGTAATCTTGATAATGGTAAAATAGTGGTTAATCTGAAAAAGTATACTGCGTATACTTCTCCACCCTGCACATATTTTAAAATTATGTCTCAATCCAAAACCTTTTCAAAACTAACGTAGAACAATGTCTCAAACACCAGGGAACATATGTGTAACCATTTAGTGCAATATCTTTCCGTGAGGGAGCCTTTAGAGGTATTAAACTCTTCAGATGTCTGGTTCCTATCACCACCACTGTGAACAATTCTGACTTGATATGTTTCTCCAGAATGGAGTATTTCACACCAAACCACTCTGAATGACTTTATTTACATCTTAACCATTTAATTATGCAAATATTTTGAAAAATCAGTGGAGCTCCCTTTTAGCAGTGTAGTTTACACAAAAAACATTCTTTCTCCTTTGTTCTTTCTGCCTTTTGCTCCATAGTTCCTTCTGTCTCTTCGTCATATTTCCTTTCTGCAAGTCAACATTTTACTAGACCGGCAGTGTTTTATTTCCCGACTCAAGTCATGAAGACCCACTGGCCTGGCACACTTTGGTGCAGTAGTCATATCTGGACTCACATCATTAACTAATTATCAGGCCCTTCATGAGCTGAATCAAAAGTAAGAAAGAAAGTTTATACTTGTTTCTGCTGCTGGCAGGTCACCTCTGTCTCATCTGAGCTCACTATTAGATGCAGTGGTGTGTGTAGCCCCTGCAGGTGAGCTGCAGCTAATTAAGCCAACTGTCCCACCCGCTGTGGTAACTTTATGCAAGCTTTATCAGCGATGGCTGTTTCTTACTGAGAGTTGTGGTGAAATTGTACATTATGCTGATGCCTCATTTCATAACTGTAACTACATTTCTCTCCTGCCTCCAGGTGAAGATATTGTTGAATGGATTGCTAATCGCTTCAAAATAGATGCTGCTGGTAAGTAGAGTGAATTATTTTGTGTATTGTAGTGAAAATCATTGCTGTCACAACAAAACGCCATATCCCTAAACTGATAACTAGCAAAAGGAGGATGGTCTTCATCTTAACATAGCGTCGATGTCTAAAGAAAAACATATCTCCATTTTTTTTTTTCGAATTTTACATTTCTATATCATCTGCAGATACAGCAGCTGCCTTTTACATTGTCTGAAATTGTCACGATGAATGGACTAATAGAAATACTCCAAAATCAGTTGGAATTGAATCTCTTTACATTAACTTACATTAAGAGTTAAGAAGGTTTTTGACCTCTCCTGTAAAATTACTATGTTATAGATATAGTTTTTTTTTTTTGTTTTTTAGGACAGCAACAATATGTTACATGTAATTGTAGACGACTTCTATCGATTTATTAATCATGACATGTTCTCAGAGGGCAGCTAATTTTTTCAGTGGTATAAGAAAATAAAAACAGAAAAAAATCAAGTTACAAGCATTTGATATGACTACTGGACAAATATGCATCACTCCTGATAAAGAGTGGATCAGTCATTCTGCTGTTGCGGTCGCAAATGACGCATTAATGTTGATATGTAATTCAAGTGTAAAATATGGCTTCTTATATTGAACAACATCAGTAAAATTGTAACAACGCTGACTGTTACACCACAGACAAAATGACTAAAATCTGAGCTTTTCTAAAATATAGTCCACTGCCCATTTAGTTTCAAAGTCACACTTTTGTAGAAAAATAAAAGGGGCCCATATCAAAGGAAATCAAATTGTCCTCACTTTGTTTTAGATAAATGTAAACACTGATGTAGTATGTAAACACTGGTAACGTTTCACAATACAGTCCATACAGTCTATATATGGAAACTAAGCTGTGAAAACAGCCCATTTTTTAATTCGCTGTTTTAGGGATGTCACACAAAAAAAAATCACACTGAAAAGTTATAAGGAGCGTTTGAGCCTCAGCTGCTTTTTGAATGAGGTGCAATACAGGACTGCCAGTAGGAACAGAGATCAATTGCACACATATCAGTCGTACAGACAGTAATAAAAACAGCCATTTAATTCTAAGGGATAAAAAGAGGTTTGAAAATGGATATAGAGAACCTCAAAAGGAAAAAATAAAATAGCAGAAAAACCTGCCGTGAGCCCTTTAATATTTCATGAGTAACACCACAGACACCACACACATTCTTTTTGCAACAGTATTTTAGCACAGTTTATCAGAAAAAATACATATATCACTGTTGTCGGAATAAAACCTCGTATCTCCAAACTGGTAACTTTACAGGAAAAAACCTACTTTACTTTTAATATAAGTCAATGAAACCAAACTTTTTCATTCAGTCATTTTGGGCAGTTTCTTTTAGTCCATTCTTCATGAAATTTACACGCAATGTAATGGGCAACAGGCAGTTTTTGACAATTATGTCAAAAACTGAAAAACGACAAAAAATGGAGATACGAGGTTTTCTTTCAACAACAGCGACATATATATATATATATATATATATAGAGAGAGAGAGAGAGAGATGTGCTATGCTGATTTTCATGCATGACATGACAAACTCACTGAAATAAAAACGAAAAGGAAGAATTATAGTTTTATCATAGTTTTTGTCGGTTCATTTAGGAATAGAGCAAAAAAACACAGACATCAACTTTCTGTGGTTTATTCTCATTTTAAACTCATTTTCATGGCTTCAAATCTGTGGGACATCATTTGCCACTGTAATAGTAGAAAGACCCAAGAAATGTCATTTTCTTTACAGTACATCCATACTAGTGCTCACTGTTTGTTGATCTTTTGATTTTTCACTACACTCGTTCATCAAGTCCTCATCTTTAGTCGGTTCCTTCTTTTCAGTCATTTCCTGAAGGAGACATGACTTGGAGAACTGTATTAAAAGCAACTGTATAACCTGTATCAGTTGTGTTGAATAATTTCTCTATCACATTTGATCCTAGAGGCCCGAGCCATGGGCACCATGATGGTGGCCTTTGGTTATATTTACCCACTACAGGATCATAAGAGACTCATTCTCAAACCAGACACTTCACTGTATCGCTTTCAGGTAGCAACCCTCTTCAAACTATTTATTGCATTAAGGGCTGGTTTCCTGGACATGGACTAAGATTAGACTGTAACGTCAATAGTGCATCACCAATAAAAATCCAATTTGGCCAAGGTTTAGGCTTAATCTGGATCTGGGAAATTGGCCCTAAATGCATTAGATTAAGAAAGTTTATTCCAAAGGATTGCTTTTTTTGTTAAAATAAATGAACCTACAAAATATGTGCCTTATTTACTATGATTATTTCTGTAATATTGATAAGAAAGAGCTCATCCACTTTTCTTTCTTAGACACCATATTTCTGGCCTGCACAGCAGTGGCCAGTGGAGGACACAGACTACGGTCAGTAATTAGTCCACACATTCTGATCTCTTGTAAAATTGTATGTATGTAAACTACACAATGATTATGCCATTTCCATATGATACTTGCAATATTATCTTTATGTGGGGATTCTCTGTTATAGATAATGTTGAATATTTCACTGTTCTGTGGAAAATCTCATGGTTAATTTTCTGTATTGTCTAGCAATATACCTGGCAAAGAGAAATATACGTAAAAAGGGGATGTTAGAGCTGCATGAACAGGTGCTGCTTCTACAATCACATTCACAATCACCTCTCTAAATATACTCCCATCATATCTGTTGATTACTGAACATTGTTTCCATGGTATCCAATCTCCTGTAGCCCTTAGCACACAAACTAATAACGAATGAGTTTTCATTTCAGGAGCAGTACAATAATCTTCACAAATGGATGAACCACAAGTGGGACTTCATTGTGATGCAGGCCAAAGAACAGTACCGGTCAGTTAAAACAAGTCAACTGCATTTGAATTTACTTTAATCAAATGTGTACATCTACAACCCATTTCCAAAAAAGTTGGACGCTGTGCAAACTGTAAATAAAAACAAAATGCAATGATGTGCAAATCATTTAAACCCTGTATTTAATTGAAAATAGTACAAAGACAACAAATCAAATGTTATAACTGAGAAATCTGATTGTTTTTTGAAAAATATATGCACATTTTGAATTTAATGCCGACAACACGTTTCAAAAGAGTTGGGATGGGGCAACAAAAGGCTGGTAAAGTTGTGTAATGCTAAAAAAACACCTGGTGGTTAATTGGCAACAAGTCAGTTACATGATTAGGTATAAAAAGAGCATCCCAGAGAGGCTGAGTCTTTCAGAAGTAAAGATGAGGAGGGGTTCACCACTCTGTGAAAGACTGTGCAAGCAAATAGTGCAACAACTCAAGAATAACTTCTCTCAACTTAAATAGCAAAGAATTTTTTGCTTTTCACCATCTATGGTACATAATAACATTAAAGATTCCGAGAATCTGGAGAAATCTCTGTATGCAAGGGACAAGGCCAAAAACCAGTATTTGCTGGCCAAGATCTTTGGGCCCTCAGATGGCACTGCATTAAAAACAGACATGATTCTGTGGTGGAAATCACTGCATGGGCTCAGAAACACTTCTGAGAGCCACTGTCTGTGAACACAGTTTATCAATGCATCCAGAAATGCAAAGAAGCACAAAGAAGAAGGCTAAAGACCACTCAGCTTCTTATCAGTGCACAGTTCAAAAGCTAGTGTTCATGATGGTATAGGGGTGCATTAGTGCACATGGCATGGGTAACATGCACATCTGTGAAGGCACCATTAATGCTGAACGATATACACGTTTTGGCAACATATGCTGCCATCCAGATGACGTGTTTTTCAGGGAAGGCCTTGCTTATTTCAGCAAGACAATGTCAAACCACATTCTGCATGTACAGCATTGCTCCTTATTAAATGAGTCCGGGTACTAAACTGACTTGCCTGCAGTCCAGACCCGTCACCACTGATAACATTTGGTGCATTATGAAATGAAAAATACAACAAAAGAAACACTGAACTGATGAGCAGCTGAAATTCTATATCAAACAAGAATGTGAAAACATTTCACTTTCAAAACTACACCAGTGTCTCCTCAGTTCCCAAACACCTACAGAGTGTTGTTAAAAGAAGAGTTGATGAAACACAGTGGTAAAAATGACCCTGTTCCAACTTTTTTGGAACGTGTTGTTGGCATCAAATTCAAAGTGGGCATATATTTTTCAAAAATAATAAAATGTTTCAGTTTCAACATTTGATATGTTGTCTTACAACTATTTTCCTTTAAAAATATGGTTTACATGATGTGCATATCATTATATTTTATTTTTATTTACATTTTGCACAGTGTCCCAACTTTTTTGGAAATGGGGCTGTACATGGAAAAAATAGATAAGCAAAACAGCCACCATGATGTTGTTTAAATGTGGGGCCAATTGTGGAACACCTGAATCAAACCAATTCAAAGCTCTAATCCAGTGGCGAACTGTGACTACCACAGCTAGGCCTTTAGGACTTGAAAACTAAGAACAAAAAACACTTTCACAATCATTTTTATTTCTTCTATGGGATTCCAGTACTGTGTTAGTGCTAAACTAACAGCAATTCACATGAACAATTGTGGCTGTTTTAAATTAATTGTTTGTAAAACATATCCCATGAATTATTTGAAGCTGGTAAAAGACATATTAGCATAGATTTTACCTTGTAGCACTTTCACAGTGACTCTATCAGTAAAGAGCCATGGCTGCAGCTGTTTTCTATTTCTAACATCTGACTGAAACACATTGGTTAGGCTATCCACTCGTACTCACAGTCTGTGAGGCCTAAAATCACTGTTTTTCTCACAAAATATGCCTCACCCTTTGAAAATAAAAACATGATTGGTTGCCAAATTATATTGGTGACTAGGCATTCAGTTCGGGCCATAAATGTCAAAGTTGATTTCTACGAGCACCTCTATGGGACTCTAGTAGTATATTAGCACTAAACCAATAGCAAAATCACATTAACGTTTTTTGGCTATTCTAGTTTAAACAAAGACATTTGAAGCTTGAAACAGATGTATTAGCATGTATTACAGTGACCATTGCAGTAAAGAGGCCAGCGTGACTGAAACGCACTGGTCAGGCTACCGCTCGTACTCACAGCCTGTGACATATCTAGGATGCCCAAAAGTACTAAAGTGATGTTTTTTCCTCACAAAAATTGTCGTTATGTTGGATTGATCTGATGCATTAGGCTTCAGTTCAGCTCCTAAAGTCCTAGTCAATGGAAAAGCTCACTTGACTGGATCTACATAAATACCAAAGTGAAAAACATCCTGATTGGATCATTTTCTGTTGGGAGTTTGAAGAATTTAACCTTTTTGTTTCCAACCAAATGTTACCAATAAAATAAGAGTACTACTATAGTACTTGCAGAGTTTAAATAAAACCAGCATAATGATTATGTTAAATAAACATGAATTAAAAATTACATACAGGTATTTTTACTTCACAGAAACCAGGCCTAGAAAGCCCCGAGGGTTCTCATCTGTATTTTTCAGTGTGCATTTTGTATGTTATACTTTAGATGTTTAGATATTGTTCTTGCATGAGTTGTACGCTAGCCTTTTGTGTGAAGCAGTTTCATCCAGAGCCCGTATTGGATTTTACTCTCGGAAATGTGTGCACTGAAATAGTAATGTACTTAGACATTAACTGGAACCGTATGGATTTTCACAGTGTGATTTCTCTGTGCACAGGGCAGGGAAAGAGAGGAAGAAACCAGATCGGGTGGTGTTTGACTGCCAAGAAAGAGCCTACTGGGTAGTACACAGACCACCGGTGAGCTAATAAGACAACAGGTCTTCCAAACCCAGTCCCAAGGACCCCCATGCTCTGCACATTTTTGTGTCTTTCTCAATCTATAATCTCTCAATCGAGTCTGACATTCCTAACTCACTTTATGGACTGACTACCAAGGGTTTTTTGAGCTGGTTCAGGAGTATAACAGAGAAGAGAAAACAGAAAAATGTGCAGAGCACAGGACTGGAAACCACTACTATATTTAATTGCTTCAGAATGTTAATGATAGCTCATGTTCCTCAGTTGTTTCTGATACAGAAATAGTGTCACAGTACACAGTTTTTAAGTAGTTTGAAGACTTCACACTTTACTGTAAACTGCTTAAACACTGTGTATTATATCCTGTGTTTATTTCTCACAAAAGTGAAAAAGACAAAATCAATAATTTGTCAAACAAAGTGTGTGACAAAGCATATTCTTAACTGAACAGATTCTTTACACAATTCTGCATGGCAATCTGTAATTGCATAGAGCAAAGCTTTATTTTACTCTCTTGTACTATTTATTGAGCAGCCAGGAACAATTAGTGGGATGGACTATGGACTTGAGCGAATGGTAGATCCCAATCAGGAGGAGGTAAAAAGGTGAGTTTTGCCTTTTTTTTTTAATGGGTGGAATAAGCTGCTGACTAAGCTTCAGCCCTTAGTATTATTTGCTATACTGTTCAAAGTAATTACATAGTAATTTTTCTGCTTGTTTTGATGTTATTTTGATGCAAAACACACCGATCAGGCATAACATTATGACCACCTCCTTGTTTCTACGCTCATTGTCCATTTTATGAGCTCCACTTACTATATAGGTGCACTTTGTAGTTCTACAATTACAGACTGTAGTCCATCTGTTTCTCTGCATACTTTGTTAGCCCCCTTTTACCCTGTTCTTCAGTGGTCAGGACCCCCATGGACCCTCACAGAGTACTATCTGGGTGGTGGATCATTCTCAGCACTGCAGTAACACTGATGTGGTGGTGGTGTGTTAGTGTGAGTTGTGCTGTTACGAGTGGATCAGATGAGCTATCGTCTCTGACTTTACATCTACAAGGTGGACTGACAAGGTAGGAGTGTCTAATAGAGTGGACAGTGAGTGGACACAGTGTTTAAAAACTCCAGCAGCACTGCTGTGTCTGATCCACTCATACCAGCACAGCACACACTACCACACCACCACCACATCAGTGTCACTGCAGTGCTGAGAATGATCCACCACCCAGATAGTACTCTGTGAGGGTCCATGGGGGTCCTGACCACTGAAGAACAGGGTAAAAGGGGGCTAACAAAGTATGCAGAGAAACAGATGGACTACAGTCTGTAATTGTAGAACTACAAAGTGCACCTATATAGTAAGTGGAGCTCATAAAATGGACAATGAGCGTAGAAACAAGGAGGTGGTCATAATGTTATGCCTGATCGGTGTAAGACACAGCACAATAGTAACTTTTCATCAAATTCAAATGAAAGCGAGAAAGGTAAAGTTTGTGAATTAACTTCAAGTTGGTCATTGCTATGTTTTCCTAGGTGGTTGCTAAGGTGTTGCTAGGTCATTGCTATGGTGTCCTAGGCGGTTTTTAATATACATGTATGTGTGTGTGTTAGTATGTATGTCAACCTGAATGTAATGTCCATAAGAGGGTTTTAGACGTAAGGTTTTGTGGTTCTAGCTCAAAAACTGTGACCTGTGAAAATGGTACAAAAGAGCATAGAATAATAACTACTTACAAACACAAATATGGTATCAAAGAGCTTGTTTCTATGAGCTATGGGTAAGAAACAATTCATATCAAATTAAGCCATGCTTTTATTATTGCCCATGATAACATCTAAGTATTAATTCAACACTTATGACTCTAAAAAACAGTTGAGCATATTAATCACAAGATTAGCTTTTACTTGAACAGTTCTGCCTTGAGGTACTGTTAAATGTAGAGTTGTGTATGTTGACTGACATAAAGCAGCGTCCATGGTGAAAGGAACTGCTGAGACAGTGTTAATATAGAGGGAAGCAAAAGCAAGCCTGTCAAGGACACGTTTAGTCTATCAGCTTATATACAAGAGGATTTATGGTGTGATAATCTCACTGTTGCTGCACACCAGGAGAGGCTGCTAAACTTAGACGTCATGCATTGCACAGGTTGACAACTAGCTAGTGTGCATTACTGGCTTTGTGGTTTACAGTAAATCATTATGTTCCTTGAGAAATACATCAGAGCATGTGTATTATCTTGATGATTTTCTTGCGTTTCTCTTTCTTTTGCAGATTTTGCATAAAATATGTGTGGGAAAAACATCAGCAGTGTGAGAAAAGCTTGTTTATTAACCACAACAGAACATCACCTATAATAATTTACATGTAAACAAAGATTAAATACTCACATTTTAAAAAAAAAAATCTGTGTTCATGTAACAAAAACATAAATATGTTGCATAGCATGGATTGTGGAATCCATAGCATGGATTGTGGAATGTATGTTTTGATTGAAAGGACCAGGCATAAGAATATGAACTTGTAGATGAATACTGTATAGGTTTAAATAAGCACTGTGTGTCTCATTGTCTTCAAATTGCTTTAATTTGAAGGAATAAGTTCTCATTTACAGTGCAGAAGGAAACATGTTTTGTATCTATACAAGTAGACCCAGTAGGCTCATAGGTTACACCCTTTTGTGCAACAGAATGGGTAAGATAACAAATACATAACAAGAGTAGATGTTCATGAGATGTGCCATTCGATGTAGGACAATGATCAACTACTGAAAGGTCTTTTTCCCCACTTAAAAAAAATACTTTAGGCCATGTTTTGCTGGGTTTTTTGGGTTAAAAAAGGATTTTCTGAGTCTTCTTCAGCCATTTGTCTTTACTTATTTTTCAGAAAAAAACATCTGAGTACTACAGAAGAATAGTAAGTGGTTGCCTTACTTATGTTTACCTTTTCCTTACAGTGAGTATACGTTATGTACAGAACAACCTAACAATGTTGTAGTATTGCAATTATGATATTACATAATGAATAATATGCTTGACCTCTAGCTAATTACTATATTGTCATTTCACTGTAGATCATCTTCACTCAGCAATGCATCATGAGGCCTAGAGTGAAGTCATCTGTATCCATTGGAGCGTATGTCATGACATGCACAAAACATGCACACTTTTTACATTATGATATCACACATTATTCCTGTTAATGATCAGTTTTTATCCCCCTAAAAATCTACAAATATGTAGTCAGGTCCATTAATTTGAAAAAAAAATTTTGAATAATTATAATAATTTGAAAAGCCTACTGCGATGGACTGGTGACCTGTCCAGGGTGTGTCCTGCCTTCCGCCCAATGACAGCTGGGATAGGCTCCAGCACCCCACCACGACCCAGAAGGATAAGCGGTTTAGATGATGAATGGATGGATGGATGGATGAAAAGCCTATTTACTTCCGGATCAGGAGAACAATTTTGGGCATTACAACCATTTTTGTACATGGCCCCTCATTGTTAGGGGCTCAAAAGTAATTGGACAAGTCTGCTCAGCTGTTCTATGGCCAGGTATGTGTTATTTCCTCATTATTTTATGAGTAAGCAGATAAAAGTTCTAGAAATGATTTCAAGTGTGGCATTCGGCGTTTTAATCTGTTGCTGTTAACTCTCAATTCAAAGTCCAAAGAGCAGCCACTGTCAGTGAAGCAAGCCATCATCAGGCTGAAAAATCAAAACCTACAGAGAGATAGCAAAAACAGGTGTGCTCAAATGAACTATTTGATACATTTTTAAAAAGAAACTGGTGAGCTTAGAAACACCAAAAGGCCTGGAAAAGCACAGAAAACAATTGTAAGTGGATGGCAGAAGAACTCTTTCCCTTATGAAGAAAGACCCCTTCACAACAGATGGCCAGATCAAGAACATCCTCCAGGAGGTAGGCATATATGAAAAGTCATCAATCAAGACAAGACTTCTCCAGAGTAAATACAGAAGGTTTACCACAAGATGTGAACCACTGATAACCTCCAAAACAGAAAGACCAGATTAGAGTAGAATACAGTCGCCAAAAAACATCTAAGAAAGCCTGTACAGATCTGGAACAACAATCTTACAATCTTATGGACAGATTAGACAAAGATCAACCTGTACCAGAATGATAGGAAGAGAAGTAAAAGGAGAAGGAAAGAAAGCAAACCACCTCATCTGTCAAGCATGGTGGAGGCAGTGTTATGGTGTGGGCATGTATGGCTGCCAATGAAACTGGTTCCTGTGTATAAATAGATGATGTGAATGCTGACAAAAGCAGCAGAATTAATTGGATGGCACTTCACTGTGCAGATGGACAATGACCTGAAGCACACAGCGAAAACAAACCAAGACTTTTTCACAGCAAAGAAGCGGAATGTTCTGCATTGGCCAAGTCAGTCAGCCCGTCCCAATCCAATCAAGCATGCATTTCACTTACTTTAGGCAAAAACTGAAGGCAAAATGCCCCAACAACAAGCAGAAACTGAAGACAGCTGCAGTAAAGGCCTGGCAGAGCATCAACAGGGAAGAAGACTTCAGACAGTGATTAACTGCAAAGCATTGCAACCAAGTATTAAAAGTAACCACTGAATGTATGATTATGTTAGGTTCTCTAATTACTTTTGAGCCCCTAAAAATAGGGGTTTGTTTACAAAAATGGTTGCAATTCCTATACAGTCCACCCAATCTGCACATTGAGCTTATATTCATTATTTAACTTGCCACTATACCCAAACCTTTCCATGTGATGATATTGCTTTTATAATTTTATTTTGCTTTTTTCTTATAGCATCTTCTGATTTATTTAAGTGCATTATAAATAAAATTACTGTTATTATGTTATTACCATTGCAGACTTGTGAAGTACACCACAACATACAAGCAGCATGATCCCTTCCTTTATCCATGCCTTCCAAGCAACCCCTGGTTAACAGACGATGTGACATACTGGCACCTAAACATGCCAAAGTGAGACCAGTTATTGGCAGGACTTTAAATTTCAGATTTAAAGTGGCAGCTCTTTATTAATTATTGATTGAAGGGTTTCACAAAGCTTGTGTGTGTGTCTTAAAGTGTTGAGAATCCTACGAAAATGAGAGTGGAGCGCTGGACCTTTAGCTTTGGTGAACTGCTGTCTGACCCTCGTGGACGAGCTGATTTCCGTCTTTTCCTAAAGAAAGAGTTTAGTGGTATGTGGCACACATTAAACATGTATAAACTCAGCTATTCTGAAACAGTGATACCACTGCTGTTCTGTAAAGTCATATAATTCACAATATTATTTCGCAAATAAAGCAAAAGCCTATTGTGACAAGTGTAGCATATAGTGGAACCAGAGGACAAAGCAGCTTTAAATTCGATTGATTCTGATAGCTAATGAACAGAAAGCACTTATGAGACTGGAAGGTGGTTTGAATTTCATTTATGTTGATGAACAGGTGAGAATCTTGCATTTTGGGAGGCGTGTGAAGATCTCAAATGGGGTGCTGCAGCTACAATGCAAGAAAAAGCTCAGCAAATCTACAAGTAAGCTTTATATTTGTACTACAAATTGCTAAAACCTCAGGTTACTGTTTTAAAAGCTTGTTCACAACCAGCAATTTGTTATGTTATGCTATGCATATTTATATGCACACTGTGCAGTACTGTGCATAAGTCAGAGACCATCATTCATTTATTAAATTTACAGTTAGAGTGGAATACAGTTGTACTTAATGGCCATTTTGACTGCAGATTAAATAAAAGAGCAAAAGTGGTATCTGGCTTTTGCACTGTACTTTTGTAATTCAAGTTCTTTTTGCTAGAATTGGCACTGATAGGCTTTATGATATCAGATGGCAGATATACAGACAATATATCAACAGGCATTAACAAAAAAAGCCACATCAAACAAACAAACAAAATGAAACCTAAAACTCCCACCATAGTACTGCCATTTTTGAAACTTCGTTTTGTTGACACAAACTTTGTTTTAGAACTTTCCTGGCTCGTGGAGCCCCTCGCTGGATCAACATTGATGGAAAGACCATGGAGATTACTGTGAAGGGCCTGTCTCACCCTCATCGCTATGTTCTAGATGCCGCACAGACCCACATCTACATGCTGATGAAAAAGGTCAGCCATATCCCCTGAAACCAGTGACAGCAATCTGCCAATCACTATTCCGGTCACTACAACAGCCACGGAGCTAACATTAGCTTTCCTTTTCATTAAGGATTCATATGGCCGATATCTGAAGTCCCCAGTGTTTAAGGAAACTCAGAAGAAGGCTGTCGCTCCTGAGGCACACAAATTCAGGTTAGCTATAATGCACAATGCATTGTGAATAATACTCTCTGAAACTCAAATGGTGCCTGTAAAAAAGATCAGTTGGCACACAGTGCTTGCCAGAGCACAAATGTCATAACACACATAACATTTTTGTCCCCCTTTCAGTGAAGCCCAGCTGGAGCAGAATGCTAAGAAGCGAAGGCCCAGTCTGAGCCCCATCATTCTGAGGCAGCAGGAAGAAGAGCAGAAGGCCAAACTGGCTGCCAGCGGCCCTGTGGACATAACGCAGGTTATGAGCAAACTGGCCCAGAAAAAGGGGACTGAACCTGAACAAAAGACTTAGATAATGACACTAAGGAGAGATACTCAGAAATATAGTCAGGTATCGGTATCACACTGATATCAGCAGAAAATGCTGGACTGAATACTATAAAGAAAAAAGGACTAATCAGATTCGGTAAAACATCTAGTCAGAAATATCATATTCTGATATTTCAATTGCTTATAGTTAAACATAACTCAAAGCAACATAGATCATGTGATAACAGTAGCCCTTGTAGACTAACATAAGAACAGCAAGTACCAAGCCAAGTATTATACTAGAATTACAACTGATTTATTAGTCTCATTTTGCACACATTTGCAGTGTTGAGTGAGTTTAAAGTTGCACTGTGTAAGATTTGGGGATTTGGAGACCTCTCTGGTGGAAACATGAAATTGCATGCAACATGTGGGAGAACATTCTGAAATGTCAGTTGTGTTTTGGTCGGTTATGCTTTTGCCAAAAAAAGGATTAGTCTGATGATTTTGAGAGTACTGAAAGAGTATTCAAAGAGAGCTCAGTCAAAACTTGGTAAAGGATGTGACTTCTGAGGATGTAAGTGAATTATCTATATTACTATTATCATCATACCTTCATCAGTGCAATGTAGATTTTGCATTTAAGACCTAAACTCTGAGCCAGACTGTGTGTGTGATGTTGATATATAAAGAAGTATGACATGCTCTGAAATCCGACCGGACACCTTTGACTTTTAAATTATTATTTCAGACTCATAGTGCGCATGCACACTTTACTTTAGCCTTTTTTTCAATCCCTGACTCAGTAAGGCTACTTCTATTAATTTTAACCAAAAAAATGATCTACAGATACTTAAATTATTAACAAACTTTCAGGTTGTTCTCAGTGCAATATCAACAACAGTAAGGTTAGTAGGAGGTTTAGGGTTACTGTTGATTAATAGAATCTTTCACACTGAACTTCAAGTTCAGTTGCATTTAATAGATATTTAGTTAAATGTTAGTTAAAGTTACAAAGCATCTACAGTGGACCATCAAAATAAAGTGTTACCAAAACTTACATAGTGCAGCTTTTACTGAATAAAAGGGGCTATAGTTTTGTATAAGCAGGTACTTCAATTAAAAATAGCTCATTTTTAAGCTTGTTAGTTAATAAAGACAGAACATATTGGACTGTTGTTGTATTGGCTGATACTCAGGATTTCAGTATTGGCATCAAAAAAGAGGAAATGATATTGTGCAATCTCTACTCTCAGTTAAATCAACAATTCATAGTTTTGTCTAGCACTACTTGTAGTTCTATGCACTGTACATCTAACTTTATAATACTGTAGGTTGTAAGATTTTATTTGACCATTTTACTTTCAGCAGTGTGGTCTGTTTAACAATTCATATGATAGACAACAAGGTTACTAATGATCTTTAATGTCATGTGAATCACTGTGTTATGTTTTTTTTAAGTGCACGTGCTATCATTGTGTATGCATGTAATGAGGATGCCTGTTCCATCATGTTTTGTTATTTTGTCTTCATTATGTGTTATGTGAAACTACGTAAACAAACAGGTTCCATCTGCATAAAACTACTGTCCATTACTCTGTTTTTAATTTTTCTACCCTGGTGTCCATCGGGTGAGTTACGCTGTTTGTCATCTATGTAATAAAGTCATGTATACACATCAAAAGCACTTCTGTCCAGTGTAGTCATATCATGTGTCTGTCATTCATAATCATGGATTCTTTTTTTGTGTGAAGCCCTTGTATCTGTCATGATGTCACCATGAAATTCATACCCACTTTAAATTGTATTTGCATTATGCATTGTATTTCTCTTGACCCATGAAACCATAAGGGCTCATATGTTGGCTCACACTTGAGTTCCTCACTCTCATAACTACATAACTTTATAGTAACACTATATTTTGATATATTTTGTAGATGGTCACTTTGTCTTTAACTTACATTCAACTAAATATCTATTAAATACAATTGAACTTCAAGTTGAATGTAAAGCATATGTTAAATCCAACCCTAAACCTAAACCTGAACCTAATCCTAACGTTAACTTTAACCGCAAACCTAAAACTAATCCTAAACGTAAACTCAACCCTAACCTTAACTTCAACCCCAAACCTAAAGCTAATCCTAAATTTAACTAACTTTAACCTTAAATTCACCCCCAAATCTAAACCTAATCCTAAACTTAACTCTCACCACAATTTTGTCCCAAAATCTAAACCTAGCCCTAAACTTGACCCTTACCTTCAACCCAAAACTTTAACCTAATCCTAACACTAACCCTAACATTGCAGTCAATCAACTGAAATTCACAACTAATCTACTAATATTTGTGCATCTCTAGGGACAATAAAAATAAAGTATGTCCTACTTTCATATTAGTTCCATTACTTACTGAACAATAAGTCTAACAACTAAAGAATAAGCCTATTATCCAAAAGGTTAAATTGAGCATAATAATAATAAGCATAACATACTGTATCACATATGTATGCACGAGTGTACTGTTAAATAAAGTATAATGAAATAAAACTGAAACTGCAGCACGTTCAAGACATTCAGTAACTTATCAAAGGGAAGTATGCAAATTAGGAAGAAGAAATAGATTATTCATTCATATACAGTCATATGCAAAAGTTTGGGCCTTCCTGGTTCAATTGCGTTTTGTTGATTTTCTAGGTGTAAAGTAGTTAATGCATCCTCTACAGAGAACAAAGTTGTAAGATCCACTTATGGTGTTTTTGTGGTTTATCTGCCAAAAATAGTGGTGTTTAAAATTTTCATAACCATTTTCCAACCTTTTTTATCCATTACAATTAAACAGGCTATTTTTGTTACTGTGCCTTTAAGACTGATATATGTAAATAATGCTGGTTAAGATTGGCTGCCCTGCATTCAAAATGCAATCCAGACCGAAACATTCCTAATGTCAACATGAAATGGTGAACTGATCTGCAGTAGGCTGAATCGGTGGATATATACTATATGGTCCAAAGTATGTGGACACCTGATCATCACACCTACATGAGCTTGCTGGACATCCCATTCCAAAACCACAGGGATTAATATGGAGTTGCCTCTCATTTTGCGGCAATAACAGCCACCACTTTTCAAACAAGGATTTCCAACAGATTTTGGAGTGTGCCTGTGGGAATTTGTGCCCATTCAGGCGAAAGAGCATTTGTGAGGTCAGGCACTGATGGTGCATGAGAAGACCTCAATCGGAATTGACAGGCTCTCTGCAGGCCTCTGGAGCTCCTCCACACCAAACTTATCAGTGTCTTTATGGACCTCACTTTGTGCACAGGGGTACACTCCTGGAACATGAAAGGGCATTTCCCAAACTGCTGCCATTAAGTTAGAAGCATATAATTGTCTAAAATGTCTTTGTATGCTGTAGCATTAACATTACCCTTTACTTTAAGTGGCCCAAAACCTGAAAAACAGCTCCAGACCATTATCCTTCCTCCACCAAACTTTACTGTTGCCTCTATGCATTCCAGTAGGTAATGTTCTCCTGGCATCTACTAAACCCACATTCATCCATCAGACTGCCAGATAAAGAAGCATGACTCATTACTCCAGAGAACATGTTTCCACTGCTCTAGAGTCCAGTGATGGTGTGCTTTATTTTGCAATAACAGCACTTGCAGTTGACTGGGGTAAATCTAGCAGTGATGTTACTGAGCTCTTCAGGCCGACCCATTCACTGCCAGTGTACTGCCAAGGAGACTGTCTGGTGACGTATTTGATTACATATACCCGTTAGCAATGGGTGTGGTTGAAACACCTGAACTCAATAATTAGGTAAGGTGTCCACATACATTTGGCCACATAGCGTGTATAAATGCTTTGGTTTTCATGACCTCATAAGAACAATGAATTCAAAACAAGTTATTATTTCAGCTTGGTTTCCATTTATGGGTGGTATGGACTGTGGAGTAAATTATATGTTTTGAAACTTTAAGTGTCTACATACTACATCAAACTCTTATTTCACAAAGTGAGGAAAATTTGGTTTTCCATGACATGGGCCTTTAATTGTAAGCCTTTTAATCAAAATATACTTGCGTATGTATTGACAGTTCTACCAGTGCTTGCTGACATTTCTTTGGCTGCTTGATTGAAATATAGTTGTATAACACTAACCTTTCTGCCTGCTGTGCCCTCAGCTATGCCGGTACACCGCCCCTGTGCCCCACTTGGCCGTGTACACAGGTATCTGTGAGAATCAAACCACTGCTTCACCAGGGCTGATGACACTGCCCAACAGCGCTGCGTGTCCTTCTCCCATCAGCGTGGCCATCGACAGCACCCCTGCCTCTGAGAGAAGGTTTGACAGTGGAGGCCCCACCTCCTCCCATTTCCCCTCCATTGCTGAGAGCACTGAGGTATCTGTGTCTGAGGAGAGCCAGCCACCTGCAGCCAAGTCCCGTGTAGCCCTGTCACTGAGCCGCCTGCTCCGCAGAGGATGCAATGCCCCCTCAGTGTTTGCCAGTCTGTCACCAAAGTGTGCCGTTACTGCAGGAGGAGGGAGAGTACAACCAATCGGAGAGCCACTCACACAACCACAGCCCAAGAGGATTGCAAAGTTAGTAAAACACAGAGCACAAGCAAAATACATCGATATACCATAAACTTCGTGGCCTTTGTTTAACCCTATGAACTCTGAGGACATGTTGGCAGGTTCAGACTTCCATTCCTCACCTCATAACGACATCCTTTGTATATGGATCATTCTACTAAATCGGTTCAAAGTCAGAGTTGAAAACACATTTCAGACATTTAACTAAGATGGACTTTAGACTACAATTTTTTTACTTAATACTTTATTAAAACAAAAGTAGTCCATCAATGTCACTGAAGAAAAAATGCATAGGAACCTCCAAAACAGGCAAAAATTACATTTTATGGCTACTTAAAAGGATTTAACAGTGTTACAAAATGTGGCACTGCTGTTTTGATGCTTTTGGTATATTCCAAATTGTCACAAAGCTCAGAAGACCTAAATACCATGATAAAAGCATAAGTGTATAAAACTGTATAAAATGTATTGTGAAAATGCCTTCAGGCATCTTGGTGTTATATTTTTGTTATATTGCCCATCTTTAGTAAATACTTAGTAGATGCATTAAGTTGAATTTTCCCTTAAGATTACCTTAAGAGGGTTAAATGTGTTACACAAAAAACCTTAAATGGTACTTAAGGGTTTTCTAAAGTGAAATTGTCATCAACTCTTACATTATCCCTTAAATATTAATAAATATTCCAATTTTTCAAAATTATTAAATGTAATTAAATGGTTGAGATGTGAGCAATGTCATTCAGAGAGGTTTGACCTGAAATGCTCTGTTCTAGAGAGACTAACAGTGTGAGAATTGTTCACAGTGGTGGTGACAGGAACTAGTTGTCTGAAAAGTTATTGCCTTTAAAAGCTCCAACAACAAGCTTTTTTAACATTTTATAATAGCTTACCAGTAAAGTTTTTGTGTACATGTGGAGCACTGTATGGCAAATAGTCACCAAAGAAAATGTATTTTTAGGTTTAGCACTATTTTACTGTTATCAGCATTACATGCAAAAACTCAGAAGAGACGTGTAGGTTCACTGGTGGTTTTGGATAATGAATATAAAGCCTATGTTTGTGCTGTAGACATCGCAACCCCTGGTTCCTATCAGCAACACTGTGAAGTAATCAGAATCTGTAAGTTTTTGTATACTAAACCATTTTACATCAAACCTCTCTGAATGACTTTGTCTCCACTGAATTATGCAGAAATTTGCAAAAGAGCTGTAGAATTCCTTAACTGTCATTTCCTTTAGGATAATTTAAATTTATTGGCCAATGTGACAAGATGGTTATGGCTGAAGTTTTGGAGGTGCTGGAAGATAAGAGTGAATGCACTTGTGCATGTTCTTTGTAGTAGAGAGAATCCTAAGCGATACAAAATTCGGAGATAGTACAGATTTGAATGTCGATAAATGTATAAAGCCAGTGATGATGTTAGCCAGTAAATAACTGGAGTTTAAGGGGTTCGTCTGTTGAATCGAAAATGAGTCATTATTAGTTATGTAAATGCTAGTGATCAATAGTTATGCAATAAATTGTTATGTAAGTCATAAATCAGTTATGTGTTTATTATGTCCCACCAGGCTTGTAAACCACTGTCTTTTCTCCTCTAGTTTTTTCCAAATCAAAGTAGATATCCCTCCTGAATGCCGCATCTACCCTATTGACTCGGAGGATGAGGAGGAAGAGAGTCCCGGTGCAGCCAGAGGAGGAGTGAAGGAAATCATCTGCCCGTGGGAAACAGTCACTAAACACGATGGAGCAGGATAGAGGGATCTACAGCTTGAAGAGGGAAACATACAGAGATACATGTGTGTCATGGTGTCACCATCTGTATCACCCAGACATGCTCTAGGAGTCGACAAATGAAGTAACAACCTTTTAAAACCTAATTGTCTATATTTCTGATAGCTTTTTAGTAGTGCCTACATGTTCTAGTAGCCGGTGGAACAACTTGGTTATAACATGATTGTGGGATTTTATATCTGTTTATTTACCTGTTTGACTACCTGTGGCTATGGTAAGGGGAGGCCTTATTTTAGAGGAGCTTTCTTTTTGCAAAATCGTCATCAACTTGTTTAGTATGGCAAACAAAAGATTTTGTACCTGGTCTGTTCATCATTTTATATCTATCAAAGATGCATTAATGTACATCTCTTTGAGAAATATTCAATATTTTCATAGTTGTATCTCCAGAAAGACAGTAAAACAGTATGTGGGACATTTACTGAATGAATGTATTACCTTCAAAACGTTTACACTTCACTACAGAAAGAGAATGTGCTTATTGCTCATATTTGACTTGTGTAAGTGCCTCAATAAAGTATTCCAAAAAAAGGTTTTTGTCTTGTAAACACAAACTAAAGCTAAACAAAGCTGTACAAACCAACGGTTCACTGTTTGGTCAGTAGGGGTAACAGCCTGGGTCCTTAACAGATCCTCCATATTTAAATCTTGGTAAAATAGCCCAATATTTGAAATACTGTTTTTGCTAGTATCAAAATACCAGCAGGTGGAGCAAGATGCTCACCAGTCAAGGTGAACTGAGTGACAACCAGTAAGAAAAGACACTAAAGGGCAGCTGAAGGAAGCTGTCAGTATAACAAATCTGATGCTGTAATGCTGAACTGCTTTTAAAAGCTCAAAATGATAGTACCTTGTGGTACAAGAGGAAGTCCACTTATTTTTCAAAAGTTATAAGCATACTTTACTCATTAAGATGTAAACAAAGATATTTAGAGAGGTTGTGAAATGCTCTGTTCTAGAAAAACATTGAGCCATGATTGTTCACAGTGATGGTGATATAGGAACCAGACATCTGAAGTGCTTAATGCCTCTAAAATCTCCATCACAGGAAGTTATAACTTGAAATGGTTACAAATATGCTGTCCAATGCCTCAGACTCCATTTTATGATAGTTCTCTGATTTGGCCTAAAACATTTTTTTAATCCACATGTAGGGCATGTGTAAAGCAAAATAGTCCTCTCTTTTACCTTTAGCAGCATTACATATAAAAACTTAGAAGACAGGTGTATGTTCAATAGTGGTTTTGGATAGTACATAAAATGGCTATATTTGTGCTGTGAACATCAGCACCCCTGGTTCCCATCATCATCACTGCAAAGAAATGTGTAACTTTCCCTACAATGAACATCTCAATGACTGAATTATGCAGGCATTTTGAAAAATAGGTGGGATTCCCCTTTAAGTGTGTTTTTCCCAGTGTTACCTACAAATGCATCCCATCACACTTATCCATTTGTTTTAATCAGAACAACGAGGCTGAAATTGTTCTCTTAAGCATCTCTGACATTATGTTTTGCTAATACCACACAGTTTACATCTTATAACTGTCCACAAACCCCACCTCCACTCCCCCCCTTTGCATTTTAGAATTGCTAAAGTAACTAGTTACATATACTCAGTACATATGCTCAAGAAAAAAATTATAGATTTGTTTTGTCTAAACATTTTTAAATAATACTTTCACTGCTAAAGCTGCTTTTGTTCTTTTTGCTTTTGTTCTGTTTAACTCTATTATGATACACTGCTTCAGTATCTGTACCGCACCGCGATGGGTCACACCTCTAACTTCATTTTATTTTCATTTAATGTACATGAAAAAGGGACGAACAGAGCCTAACCAACAAGTTTCTTTTTCCACTTTAAACTGTTTTTAGAAAGCCACTGACCATGGAAAGAAACATTTTTAGACATATTTTGCTTTGGGGTTTATTTTGGGAAAATGATGTTCCTTCACATATAAACAGTAAATTGATGTAACATTTTAGTATAAATTATGTAGCAATGTTGTAGTATGAATTCATATGCTAAAACACAATATAAATATTACATAAATATAATAGGAAAGCTTGCAGTTTTGCCTCATGAAGGAATTGAAAACGACCTGATGAGCTCAGTCAGGTGTGCTGGGATGGGGAACAGGTGAAAATGTGCAGGGCAGGTGGTCTGCAAGACTGGAGATGCACCCTTTGTCTAGAATAGAGTAAACGAGGCCATTGTGTGAATAAAGCTAAAAAGCGGTGAAAACGGAGGCCCATAGTTGCATTTCTGCAACATTTACAAAACTCACCTTCGTATGTACATCTTTCTTTTTTAATCTGATCTTGTATCACTAAACATGTTAGGAATGAAGTAAAAGTTCATAGCTCTGATTTTTACTTGGAAGACTGCCAAATTGCTCCAAAACCCAGAACGAGAAGTCAGTAGGAGGCACACATGTCTGAGACATTTAGACTATATAGATTTTGTGTTCACCACTAATTATGCTTACAATGTGGACTGTTGGAATAAGTACTTTTAGTGACATTTAACAAACAGGGTGCTTTAAACAATTATCTGAGTTGTTTATGGTGGTAATTTTACATTTCTACTGTTTTTTTAGGAAAGGTACTTTTACTTTTACTTGTGTAGTAACAACACTGTAGTAACAACACTAATACTTTTACTTGATCTTGGATTTAGGCTTCTCTTTACCCACCTCTGTATCTACCTCCAAACTACATTAATCGTTTGTAAAAATGATGTAAAATGAAATGAAAGACTGTCTCTTACTGCCTCAGTGTGGTCACCCGGAAGCAGTGGTCGTCCCCCGCTCTCTCTCTCTCTCTCTCACTGCAGAGCTGGGCTGGTCGGGCTAGCGGAGTGCAGCCTAACGCTAACCATGTCGGCTCACGGTCTGTGAATAAATGTCGAGTTTCAAAATTCAGCTCGTTGCCACATTCAAGTCCCCTCAACTCGGTAAGTTGTTTAGAAATGGTGGGACGTCTTACAGGTGCTGTTTTTAACTTGTAGTCCAGTCAGTTAGCAGGCTAATAAGTAACGTTAGCTAGCTAAGGGCGAGCTGCTGAAGTGCTGCAGTGTTGTTGGCGAGTGAAGAGCAGAGCTGCACTAACGTTACATCCTTTTAGCCCCCCATTCTTTAACCCCCTGTCCTCGCTCCCAGCTATAATATTGAGCTTCTGTAGGCCTGCTATTTTCGTTTACTTGTGTTTTTAGCTATAAAGAGTTAGTTCGACGGCAAATTTATTTGGGAAATGTTTTCTTTTACTGCCACTGCACTTCCTGCCGTGTCGCCATGCCGTGACAGTTAATCTAACAAGCTTAGCTTTCTTAGCTTTGTTGCTCGTCACGTTGCAAACTGTTGCTGCCGAAAGTGATCTCTGCATGATTGATGAGTCCACATCACACCTGAAAGCCTTAATGACATGTAATTATAAACAGCAACCATTTGTGCCATTAAATCAGTCGTATGAGACACACCTACCCAGAGTCAACAGATGCCGAGTTTATCGGGTTTGCTGTGGTTCATGGCTAGCTTAGCTACAGGGGAGGAATAATGACTGGCAGCGGGTATTTCAGGAGTGAACAACTCTTGCTTAAAATCTCTGTCGTTAATGTTAGTTGTTTTACATGTCAAAATGTAGCTAGTTAACAGATTTCGTTTTTTTTCTGTTTTATTATTATTATTAAATGTGCTAACGCCAGCACAAGTCGTTTCTGCTCCACATCCGGTGCCTGTCAGAAGGATGCACTGCAGTCTGAAGAGTTTTTTTGCTCAGAAAAGCATATTGTGGCATGTTGTCATGTTATTTATCACAATAATGATAAGTATAGTCATATTACCCAGCCCTGTATGGTGACCTGGATGCATAATCTTAAGTCTTGTCCATGAAGGTAAATTTAACATCCACTATGCTGATTGAAACCCCACTTTAATGCTGATCACATTTCTGTCAATGTAGCCAAGACTATAGCTCACAGTCTGCTCTGTGGGGGTAGAAACGAGCTGCCTTCATTCCTCCTCAGCATCCTTGTAGGTGGAGGCATGTTTATTGGCTATCATGTTCATAGGTGATCTTTACAGACAAGTGTGGGCCTGCACAATGAGGAATGTGTCCTTCCCCTTTGAATGGTAGAAGACTTAGTACTACATGTCTGAACACTGCCTTTCACTCACACAGGGAGGCTCATGCTAACCTTAGGAGGAGTCTTTAAACTGTACTCAGTCTATATCTTTGAGTAGTTGATGAATACGTAGCCGGCAGGGAGAGATTTTTGCAATGGTGCTGACAACTAAAGCTCCTAAATCAGTTCATTGTGGCATTACAATTAATTAATATGTTTTTGATGTTGGGTGTGTTTACTAGGGCTGCAATGATTTGGGTGTGGGTCGATATCCGATATTTTTCATAGGCATATCAGCCAATGCTGGTGTATAAGCATTCATAAAATGTAGAAAGCGTTGTTGTCATTATGCATCCCTGCTGTTTACATGTGGCATTTATTTCTTGGTGTGTGTTTCATTTAGTGCCTTTTTGTTTTGCATATGGTACATGTACGCCAATGTATTCCACTTAGTTGCAGAGAGAAATTGTGCTGTCTTAATGGAGCATATGTTGTGCAGAATTGATGATTTTAGCACTGAGCTAATTCTGAATATGTCAGTATGAAGAATGCAATTCGGGGGCTTACGTAAGTTAAGCCTAATACAAAAAAATGTTTGAGTAAGAGAAGACTAATTTAATCACTGAATGACAGAAAACAGCACTCAATTCCCATTAGCTTATATTTGGAGTTTATGAAGTACAGAGCTGGTATTTTCCCTTTTAGACATGGATTACACATGAATACATGGGACAAAAGCGATGATGATTCATATAGACTTGTCCGTAGACGGATTCTAATGGACAAAGGCTTTGTTAGAAGTGTTAGTAGTATTTTGTTAAGAGTAGACTAGGACCTAGGGCTTAGTTTTAGTGCCCATGTTTAACAGGATCTTAGAATTACCTCTTGCTTTGCTGATACTGTGGGTGGTTACAGTTATTCATTGTGTAAAGACCTAAATTTTCTCTTCAACATTCACAACCACAGAGATCTACCCTGTATGCCAGGGTGTTTCCAGACCTTACGCCAGCTCTATTTATTTCTCTTTTTCTATTTTTATTTCCAAAGAAGTTGGTTGTGGAAAACATACCAGAGGGCTGTATATGTGCAACCACATTTTGACTGCTTATTTTCTTTCTGTTACATTTTTCAGGAAATGGTCAGAGGTGAGACAGAAGTGAAGCTACTTTAGAAAGAAAAAAAACGTTAAGGGAAATGGGGGGATTTGAGTGGGTTGTTTTGTCCATTGTGATTGTTAGTTTTCTGAGGAACACTATGCTTTTACTGAAGGTTATTCCTTCTAGGCGTCTGGCTTCCTTGAAATTTGAGATGTGGTATGCCAAGCCAAGCACATTAGGGCATATGTGTAACTCAAGGCCAGGAGGCTGGAGCTAAGACGTGACTCATTTTAGTTCAGCACTGCAATGATAGGAGTTTCCAGATGAATTCAGTGCCCTGATTTTGAATCCAAATAAATATACCAGTCACCGTGCTTCCTGCAGGCTTTGATTTCTTGCACATATGTGTTTGGTGATCGTTAGTTCTTTACATTCCAAGCTTTGTTTTTCTTTGTGTCACAGTGGGCCTCTGACCTCTTACTGCTGCACAGCTGGTGTTTGTAACATGTTAATGTTATGGGTTATAATACGAGCATTATAGAGACCCTGCTATATTAACACAGCTTGTGAAATGATGTTGAATGTTCTCAACACAATTTCCTACTTGGGCTGATTACAATTTTAAGTGACACAACCAGATTTTATGGCTTAAATGTGGCTTCAAATGGCTGTAGTTAAGTGTAACTTTTACACTGCACATATCTGTATAGTACAGTTACAGTAGTAGAGCACTGGTTTGCTAATGCATGTTTCTCTTTGTCCTTTCTTGGCCTAGGGCAGTTTTTCAGTTTGTTGACTGTGGTTTGTTTTGAGGCATTCCCTTCAGCCACTCTCACTGAGTAATATAATCTGCACTGACCACATAGTGACTGAAAAACATCACATTGTTCATTTGTTCTCCTTGGAACAGCTGAAAAATGTAACTTTTTGGGAAATTTGTCAGCTCAGAGAAATGAGGCACAGTGTTTTCTACCCCAACTGCTGCCCCACCCTATTTTAAATAAAAGATGCTAGCCTAAACAATTTGCATCATATCTTTTCCATTCGCCAAAAATCTGTCTCCGTGTCTCAAGAGCAGATGTTTTAGCTTTATTGTAGTTGTGGCCATTTCTAACGTAACTATGTCATGTAGTCATAATAGCCAGTG